GTGATCAGACCTGAAATACAGAGAGACAAAGGTATGAGAACCAGGTCTGGGGGCACACTGGCCATTACACACATTTGATTTCAAAGGTATATATAGAAACAAAATAAGAAAATATACTCAAAAAATACTTTTAAACTAAAGCAAAAAAACAGATCATCTGTGAAAAAAAAGAAAAAAAAAGTACACATATTTACTTGTACAAGTAAATATGTTTTGTTTGCCAAAACTTTAGAAACTATCTAAAGTTTCATCATGTTGTTTTTTGCTAAGTGGTCTGTAATGAACTGAATGCACCGCTATAAACCTCTCACATAAGTAAGACATATTTATTTATAAAGATGACTGTAAAGATGTATATTTCATACATCATCGCCTGATCTTATAAAAACATGATGTTGTGATGCAGCAGGAGCTGAGAACATGTGGAAAAGTGAAAACGGAAAAGCTCCCGTCAACAACAGAGTGTGCAGACAAGCGTCACTCCACGTCTCACTTTCTCCGTCACTCCTCCAGCCTTTGGGCTGACTTCACTATCACGCATCACGTCTCAACAGGGCTATGATTTCACCTTGGCATCTGCTGAGTGAACGTTATTGAGTCATCACTGAAATGTTGCGACATCAATCCATATTACAAAGAACACATACCATACACAGATACGCATGTAAAATAACACTGTATAAAAACCAAATTATACCAAACAGGTCAAACACGTTATAATCCCATAGGAAATTGACCTCCATGGAGAGATTGTAGTGTAGAGGTTTTTGAACACACCCTTTTTCTTGGTCTTTGACTCATCTCTTTGTTTCAAGTGCTGCCCATTTACTGCCACTGAGAAAACTATCTCAATTTTGGGCGGTGACTTTGCTCTAAGGATTTGATAGAGGATTTACATCTCACCAGATCACATCATCCACTTCACAAGCAGCAACAACGCAGGCAGGAGGGAGGCCATGAAGCAGTCTGTTACAATGGTAGGTCCCTTCTTTTCTTTTCATTCAACTCCTTACACCTAGGATAGCTTTTTTTTCAAAAATAGACCTGGCCAAGGAAACAGCCAACAAAGTGAAAACAATATATAGAAACTATACAGGTATAAAATATGATTATCCTCTCAAGAACATGTTTCAGTCACCACCTGTTTTACAATATTAATTTGAGGTGTATTTCCTAAATCATTCCCATGGTACTGCGTATAGGGAAAAGGCTGATTTCTCCATCACCGTGACAGAGTGAGCCATGCATGTGAGGAGGAGCAAAGAGACAACCTGAGCTCACATTTAGTGCATTGCCTGGTGGACCAGAGTTCACTCTAATTGGACCCAATTTTGGTTCAAAAAAGCTTAAATGATGAGGAATGAAAGAACCAAACAGGTGTGCACTTTTTCAACAGTTCACTTCTTCTCAAAACAGTTCAGTGATGTTATGAGAGCTTTGCGTTTGCTTCTGGACTGACCCGAGTCCACTCATCTGCTACAAAACCACTGGAATGAATGCGGTCATTAGCAGTTGAGATGATATATTTGAGGCTCTGATAAACACGACTCACCAAGGCTCATGTTCCACCAGAAGCAGACTCCCTGTAAACATTGTAAACCTGTGTTTTGACTTTTATTTCCAACAAGAGTCTGTGTTGCTGCTCTTCTGGGAATTTACCAACTGATTGGATAACTGAAATTGCCGCTGCTCCAAAATTCATTCATTAATTTTGCACATAAACAGAGAGAACTGAGAAAAAAAATCCAAAAACGGGAGAGCCCGTTGTGTATGCCTGCTATACCTGTACTATGTTGAAATTACCTCCACTATAATAATGTGTAAAGCACAAATTGATGGTGCTTGTACTCTCACGCAGCGAAACCATTACTCAGTAGGAGCAGGGTGAGTCATAGGTTGCTAAGCTCAAATAAAAAACAAACTAGACAAAACTAAGGTGTGGCCATGTAATACATGGGGGAGCTTTTGAAACACCTGTAAATAGTACAATATTTCACTTGCACTTTGTCGTTTGCAAGATTTGCATTTCTTCTTTGTGAATTTCTGACAGTTCAAAGCTCAGAACTTATTTGTTTTAAAGGACATGTTGGGCAGTTGATGTTGTACGGCTTAGTCTGGAATGCTTAACTGTGTGGGATTAAATACAGGTATATTCATCCTAAATGTAATCAAATACAGGTGTTTCTTCAGCAATTAGGACTGAAAGATACAATGCCATTGAATCGAGACTTTAACGTCTCATCAGTAAATACATCCATGGGCTCACCCTGTAGGCACAGGTCTGGCATCATAATAAACCGTAATTTTTTTTTTGTAAAGAGAAATAAAAAAATGTTGTCCACATCATCAAGTTCAAAAAACCTTGGAAAAGCCTGGCATTTTTCTCTGAGCTACTATATCAATTGCATGTTGTACATACAATCCTCAGCCCGGGGTTCGAGACCTTCTTGGTTGATTCTAAGCAAAGATTTAAAATGCCTTTTTATTTTATACAATTGAACCTTTAAAAAATGATGCTATCCTCACCACATCTTTAAAAGAGGCATTATGCAATATTTCATGGGAAAAAAGTTTAATTTGAGCATCTTTGACCTTGTGGTGACCCAGTGGTTGTAAAACTGGTCTGTAGGGACCCTTTCACTTTCCATCACAGTGGTCTATAAGATGCTATAAGATCAATTGTGTTGGAGCTTTGTTCTGCTGAGGGACCCTGCACAAAACACAAGACACACTCTAATCGCCACTGGGTCAGTACAAGGTAAAAAAGGCTCAAATTTACACTTTCTCCCAAAAAAAAAAAACTTTGTTTAAAAATCAAACCAACATTACAATTTATAACAAAACAGATTATAATACCTAATAAGAAATGCTCAAACTGTTCAAAATGTTCCTGTTGCTTGTATTATCAAGCTTCCACAATGAGCTGCGGCTCACGCTTAACTCACAAACCAGAAGTCACTTCCCCAGGCGCGCCCCCACTTTTCCACAACGCGGCCAGCAAAAGTAAACACAGACCTTTCACAATATATTATATCAACAACAACAGAAGTACCAATAAGATATGGTATGATTGTGGTTTGGAAATTCGACAGACAAAACAAAAGCAGAACTCTAGAGATTAGAGGGCATATAGCAGTTATAGGTATAGGAGGATTTTCTACATCCTCCTATACCATCAAGACCATTGGTCCTTCCTATTGTCGATCCTTCTGGTGATGGGTGCTCGTCAAATAAGCGGCGAGGGGAGTTCTTTCCTAAAATTTGGGAAAATCCTCCTATTTACCTTTAAGTTATGGAGTTAGAATGCGTCCATCTTTGCAACAGATATTTGAAGAGACTGTTTTTTTAGACAGGCAAAGAAAATCACTTCAGACCCCTCTCATGTACTATACTCCTTCTACCGGGCCGCTGAAAACTAACTAAGAATAAGGAAAAGATACCTCAACCGATGTGAAAACTCGTTCCTATCCAGATCTGTGAACCTCCTGAATAAAGATGTTGGAGCAGAGCGGAGATGGTTTATGTCTGTGTTACTGTGTTGTGTTTTATTTCTGTCTTATGTGTGTTTTCAATATAGCAGCCTGAGAGTCCAAGTAAAAATTCTTCCGAGACATAATAAATTAATGTTGAATCTTGAAGTACACTTTACAGTATTTGCATTATACTCAACGATGTACCTAAATTGTGTTTGATGCTAACTTGAGAGAGGTGTATTTGAAAATAATATGGTAATATATACTTGTTCACTTGTTCTGTGGGTTGGTAAAGTGCTTTAGGTCACTGTTATAAGACATTCACGCACACACCGCTCTGTCTGGAGTCGAGACGCAGCCATTCCAGCTCACCTGTGCGTCAGGTGCCGTGCGCGCGCCCCAGAGCCCGCCCCCTCGCGTGCACTCAGAGCAGAGTCCTGTCGCTGCTCCATGACCCTGCTCCCTCTCACTCTTATCTGCCTCCGCGTTGCAAGTTTCGGCTCAACAATGCACACTGTGAGCTCAGAGAATGTCTTTTTGTCCGCTCTGCAGCCCAACACCTCGGTCACGACCTACGGGCTTCCCACGGACCTCCAGCTGGGGAATGGGAGCTCCATGTCGGACGAAATGGCGCGGTCGAGACGTGTCCAGCAGCAGGTCCAGATGAGACTGGCCGAAAAGAGCACACTTCCGCGTCAGAACGGCTCCGCTGCGCACTACGCCATGTCAGGTGAGTGCTTTCACCAGAAACTAGACCCCGTGGATTCCATTGTTTTCCTCAAAAGCCAACAGAGGTCAGCCTATTAGTTATTACTACTTTGTGACAAAAGCGTGTATCACATTATAAGTTATTGCCAAAACAAACACACACTGCCCCTAATAATATAAGATAAGATAAACTTTATTGATCCCACAATGGAGAAATGTTCATGTCACATAGGATTACTCAGGGTGTGCAAAAAGACAGGAAGTGTGCAAACATGCTAAAAGGTTAAAATATTGTCTCTTTTCTGCAAGATATAATATGTCCAATAGAAATTAAAAGTGATTATAGCTATAATGCTAATGTTCTAATGCTCTATCTGTATTTTAATTAATACACCAATACCATTTGTTATTAGCAAGGCAAGCTTATTTGTATAGCACAATTCATACACAAGGCAACTCAAAGTGCTGAACAAAACAAGAAAGCATTAAAATCATAAATAATCACAGAACATTAAAAAGGAAGATAAAAATATAAAATCCCTCAGTTGTATGCACAGCTAAACAGAACCGTTTTTAACCTGGTTTTAAACATTGTCAGAGAGGAGGCCTGTCTCACATCTTCAACATTAGGCTGTTTTCAAATTTCATTTGACCAGTGTATTTCCGACTTGTGATTCTTGATTAGTAATACATCTTCCTCATGATTTGTTCTTTTTTGAAAGCTGCGCCTCTCTTCAGGTGTGTGGATGTGTACCTGGCGACATGAAAGGGTTAATGTTTAACAGGCCACAACAAGTGCTGCTTTCATTGCACTGTGCAGATAGCGGCAGAACTGAAAGAGTCCCACTGTGAGATTGAATGTCATGTCTCTGAGTCAGCTCTTACATGGGTGAGGGTTCCGGACAGATACCACAGAAATGACAGGGTCGTGAGAATCAGCTGCTGTGTCTTCAAACATGTCTGATTGCAGGATTCTTACTATGTGATTCTTACGGTTTTGGCCAAATGTCTGATTGCGATATTTCTGATCAGCAATTCAATGGGGCTTTGTTCAGTAACAGTAACAACTTCAAGAGAGTTCCATTTAAAATAATGTACATGTGAAGCCATTACCTCACACACAATTCCCACACATTCTAACACATAGTAGTTTTTTTTATCATAGTTGGATGTGAGTTGTGCAACCTTTCAATAGTATAAGTGATGTGAAAAGGAGAGAATGAGAAAATAATGCTTATGCCTAGCAAAAGGAAAAACATACATGGTAAGTAATTTATATAGCGCATTTTACAGCTCATGGTCACCCAAAGTGCTTACATTGACAAATCTTTCACATACTCGAGTCAAATCAAGAAACGTTTTTCCCAAATGGATTTTTGCTCATCCTTCTTTGATTGCAAAAAGTAGTTGCTCATTGATATCACCAAAATGCATTTTTTATTTTATTGCAATTAAGAGAGCAGCCCTAATGTGTTCCCAAGAGTGTCTTGTGCATCATATTCTACTATATGTGAAATGGACATTTTTCCCTGGATCATCAGTTATTCTATTTTCCTACACACCTGAAAGAAACAGCTGCTAAATACTAGTTTTGTTTTAGTGGTAGTACTTTGAGCCTTCACAAAGAACTGGAAATTGGCCTTAGGCATGAGAATGCTTGTCTCCACATACCTAATCTATTTTCATGTTATCGGCTTGAAATGGTACATGTAAGATTCATATGTGTGCTTTAGCTCTTCTAACTGCTCCTACATGAAACAAGGTAAACGGATTGTACATGTCTAGCCTGTTTGTCATTTGCCCTTAGGCTGAGCTGGAAGGTAAGAATCAAGTCGTAAATGTTGTTGTCAACATGAACCAGTACAACAGGATAGCACAGGGTCTCCAACCTTTTTATCTATGCTATGGTTTCACCAAACCATCCACCAACCCTTTTGTTGGATAAGAGACAAATTACTCAGATGAACTTTTTCCATGAAAATTTAACTATGACATCCATAAAATCAAGTCTTAACAGATACAAGGAGGGTTTATGAGAACCAGTTATTTTTTGACTAGATAAGAGAAAGAAAAATGCCTCATACCCTCCGTGGGTGTGTCCTAATCTCAGGTGTGGGACAGGGCGTGGCCGGGGTCACACTGCGTTTGTGCCAAAGACCTGTCAGTAACATTTAAACAACTGGTTTGGTGTGTTTTCTCTTTGCTAATGATGCCATGAGGAAAACGTACATAGGCATGGAGGATTTTCATTACTGTCTGCTACAGTGAAAACCAGTGCCACAACATCAGACATTTAATTCCCCCAAATATGTGCACTTGATGGATGCACATACATTGTGCCATGATTTTAACACCATGTGTTTTTCATGGCACTATGCAGGCACTGGGCCATTTCCAAAAAGTTACCATAATTGCTTTAATAGATGTATTAAAATCAGTGCAGTTGCTGGAAACCTCTTCAACATTTATCAATTGCATAATTTGGAATTTTTACCTGTTTATTGTTATGATTTTAATTTAATCATATAATGATTTCTGATATCATTATTTGTGCAGACACAGTTGACACAAAAAGTGTCTACATTGAAACGGGTTGGGACAGTGCAAAGTACAAAGTACCGGTACAGTGGTATTTTTGCACATCAACACTGCCTGTATGGGGTTGAGTAGTAATAATAATAATGTTGTATTAAAAACAAACATCATGCTCTTCACCCCAGATATGTGAAACCATTGAGTTACATGATAAGTCATGTCAAATGTACTGTTCAGACTTGGAATTTTAAAACCGTATTGAAACGTCTTCAGTTCATAGTAATGTGAGGATCTGTCTAGAAGCCACACAACTGAACACAGTATTCTGACTGGTCACAACTTTGCATTTTCCAGATAATTGTGCAACTATTCAACAAAAACGTCCTTCAGATGAATTTGTTATTTGTATATCTTTGTTCATGACATCATCCATTTTGAATTCTTGGTTGCATACCTTTCCACTCTTAACATGTGTTTGTCCAATGCTATCGCTTCTGTAAAGGTAGTGTAATGGTAAATCAGATATCTCGCTTCAGGCCGGCCACGTTTCTGTACAAAAGGCTCAGTACAGTGACCCATGGTGACCGTATTACTGTATTATATATGTGTTTTGGCCTGTGCAATGGCATTATGCTCCATTTATGTCCACACTTTAAGGTTAACATCAAGGCAAGTCTGGTGTTCTATGAAGAATTAGAATCTGATTACTACCACCTTTACTGGAATTAAAATAAGAAACCATTTTTCTCACTGGAAATCTCTCCAGACACTGTGAGAAATTATTTAATAATAGCTTTTTAGAAATATGTTAATCTTCAAACACGCACCTACACACGCTCAATTGTGACTTGTTTTTTGCCATGTAACTACAGCTTAAGCTCAGCAGTTGTTGATATTACAAACAAACCCTTTTAGCCCTGAGACTTAACTAAGAAATGTGTAAATGCTTGTCAACCGTCCGTTTTCATTTTAATATGCTATTTATTTTTCTAAAGACACGGTATTCTTAAAATGGACAACCTTCACTTTGTAATAGTTTGTTTGGATTGTTGGTTGTTTAATAGATTCTTTTATGGGGGTGGGAGTAAACACGTTTTCACTTCTCACTTTCTTTCAAAGAGCATTTCTTCATTGTAAACAAAAAATGTAATGTTTCGGATTCCACAAGTTGTTATTAATTTAATTTTTGTTATTGTGTCATGCTCATGCTTTAAATAAATTATTCATTCATTCAATAGGGTAAAAGTACAACAGCATCATATGTCTTTAACTGTCCCTATATGCTTTTCAGACTATGGGGGTTCTTCCACTAAATATCAGACATATCAGCCAAACTTCACCTCCAAGTCATCGTACATGTACTCAGGAGGAGCCAGAACCATGGTGAGGGCTGCCTTTTATTCAGAAAGTCCTCTAGACTTTTATTACTTGGTTATTTCTCTGTCTGTGTGTTTTACTTGTGAATATATGTGTTGCTTTTGATAATCTTTATATACATTTGATTCATATTATTGTAATTGACACATTGACCTCATGATCTGGTGTCAGTCCTGGAGCCCCTGACCCTGTGTGTGGGGTATAAATGTGTGGCATTTCACAAAGAGCTGCCATGAGATCAGTCCAGGGACTTCAAATTCAACCTCTACATTCTACAATGTTAGCTTACTCTCTATCACAGGTTGCCACTATTTATACGGCCCTATTATAAGACCAACGTCACCTTGTTCATTGAGCATAGTAGTTTGTTAACATACTTACTATTGTTATTAGGTGTTGATATTATTCATATTAAGCGTTATTAGATGTTAATGTGTTGGGGTCTTTTAAGATAAACTAATCTATAGTATTTCAACCTGTATGCTACATTTGCTTGATTGTGCCTGATGTCTTTCTCTATTTGGACAGGGCCCTCGAATATCCCAGAGGACTGGATTCAGCTCTCAGTCTGCTGGGGCAGATCTGGCTCAGTTACAGCAGATGAGCATTGGAGGTGGAGGTGGAGGAGGTGGTGGTGGAGGATATTACAGAGAAGAGATGAAAATGACCCCAAGGCCCCACAATGACCTGGAGTCTGCTTCCATGCACTCTATGCGACTGGTCAACCCCTGGGATGACAGCGATGCAGCCAGTATTGTGTCTGGGGATGGTGTTTTTAACCGGCCGTACACTCAGAGTCAGGGCACTATGAATGGATACAGCACCCAGATGCGTTCTGTCACTCCTATGCGTAGATCCCTCAGTGGGACACTGTCCCGGGTTGGAGGCATGGCCGGAGTAGAAGCCGAAATGATCAATCACCAGATGTCATTCAAGGGGCCAGCACACCGCACCATCAGCAGGATCAATAACCGCAACAGGACCAGCATGAGCTCCATGTCCGGGACCATCCAAAGACCCATGTCTGTGGGAGGGGGCAGTGTCTACTCTGCAGGGGGCGACAGAGTCGACCGCGGAGGCTTCATAGTCTCATCAGCCACCACAGGAAGCTCTGGAGGACGGATGTTTCAAGGTTCTCTGCCTCGCACCATGTCCATGAAGAGCATCCACAGTGGTGGGCAGAGGAGTGGACATCTACAATGGACAGAACGAGATGGGAATGAGCATCGGCAACCTCAGACGCGTGAGTAACACTACTGATAATAATGGAATACAGCAGGACATGGAAGTTACCAAGGAACTGCATCCAATATTGAAACAATTTTGATCATAAAAAAAAGAATCAAAAGTATCAAAAATAATGCAATGGGTCACCCCAGTGTGACGATTAGATTGAGAAGTTTTTTACAAAGTAAGTCTGAAAAATCTAACTCTACTGAATTTAATTGCAGCATTAGAATTACTACACATTTTAAAAGCCATTGAAATATTGGAAACGATAACATTCAAAGCATGAAATCAAACCCCACTTGGGGCAGGGCTGCCAATGTGTGAATCAGACCCTCCCACCACCACCACTGTCCTTCACACACATACCAGAGAACAGACTAGGCATGGGAGGTTTAGTGTGTTGCCTAATGGAGCGTAGCAAGAATAGATCTTGTTATTATTATTATTATTGTGTTGCTGCTGAGATAATGAGATTTAGCATTGACCAATTAAAACCACCTCAATGAACTAAACTGTTAATCGATTGAGCAGCATTAGATTTCACATTTTATATTGTTAAATGCAAATGACTTTGTCATTTATCATCATACTCGCAGCCCAGAATGGAGATTGTGGATTTCCTAAGTGCTTTAGATTGGGAGGTGCTCCTTAGTGGCAGGACTGGTTTTGGGTGTGGCAGTCGAGTTTCAAGCCTTGCATTTCACACATCCCACAGAAGTAGCAGGAACAACATTTGCACAACAGAAAGAAATATTGATGACATTTTAGTGGTCTTGTGGTGATTGAAATAATAACCCCATGTAAAAAAAAAAAGTAAGGATTTACATTTTGTTCCATTTATATCTGGGAAAAATAGGGAACATTAGATTAGTGAGCTATATACAGTAGAGAAGCACAATGAAAAAATATAAACTCTTGAAATTAGGAAAAAAAAAGTGGTGCCACATTGGGGAAGCTGCCGCTGTAAAGTGCCAAACTCTTATGTCTTTTAGAAAGACACTTTACCCACATTACGCAGCATTGCACTGCGAGATACCAGATACCTGTCATTATAATTAAACTCTAGACACCAAACACCAATTAAAAACCTTTTTGGTTTTTGTTATCAGGAGGCCATGGCGGTGTGAATACAGTCAGAAAATGATACTGACGACGAGTTTGGCCTTTAAAGGCTGTGGCCTACACTTTTGACAATCTCAATGCCTTTTCAGTTTTGAAACTCAACTGATGATTAAGCAGTGCTAACATTTATATTCTTGGTATTGAACAAGACTGTATTGACGATTACACAAGTATAATATAGGATAAACTGATGTATTTACATAATTTACAAAAAACACTCTTTTTGGGCAGCATCAACAATTTGGACATGGCCTCAGCCATCATGCACCTGAGAGACCCAGACCCAGACCTGCAGGTCATTGGAGCAGCCTTCATTCAACACGAGTGCTACAATGACAGTGATGCCAAAGATGAGGTACGTGTGGTTAGCAGCTCCCCACGGTCGAGCATCATTAAAAAAACAGTCATAAACATGGATTTAACAAGAGTCAGATCTTTGCCTGGCTACATACACAGTTCAGTGTACAAGGCAAACTCTGGAACAGCACCATCCTTAATGTTTAGATGCATTGTTTTTAAATGAAAAGGAGACAACTATAAATAAAATTTAAAAAAATAAAGGGAAAAATCTGACTGTTGCTACCGAATATGAAAATGGGAAATACGTTGTTAATCACTGACTCACAAAATGCTACCAGTCCTTAGTATTTTAACTTTTGTGTGATGTATGTTTATTTATCTACTCGGGAGTATCACCAACATCTAAAGCATGTTACAGTAGTTTAGTTTATGCATAAGTGGTGTCTGTACTTTAAGCCCTTTGTCATTTTGAAGTTGCAGGTCAAAAATATAATTAAACCTGGTTTGTTTTTTCAGGTCCGACGATTCAAGGGCATAACAGAACTGATCAAACTGTTCAACAGTGAGAGCCAGGAGGTGCAGCGTTATGCCACCGGCGCCACTCGGAACCTCATCTATGAAAGCATGGATAACAAGGTGGCTCTGATCAATGAGGGCGGCATCCCAAACCTGGTAGGGGCCCTGAAAGACCACGACCACGAGCTCCACAAGAATATCACTGGTACAATATGCAATAATCATTGTTCTTTTCATGACTCTGAAAGAAAAACAAGAGTTATAGCACTCAAAATGTTGACCAATCTTGAAGGAGGCCAGGGTGAGCGTAAGTCGACAAACTGCAATATGGTTTGAACATTTTCTCTATCAGCAGAAATTAGTCAACTTAAATGCAAACATTTTTTGCTTTGCACAGAGGCACTTATAAAAGCAGGAGGTCTGCATGGGGCTGTGATGAGGGCCTGGAGGGTGTGGGAGTTGTCTGGGCCTGTGGACTAACTGTACACAAGCCACACCCTGTTACAAGTCAAAGCTTTATCACCATCTTTTACTAGTACTCCTTTCACCTTTTCACGCACAAATTGTTATGACAAACTGTGTCAAAAGACCAGGTGACAAAGATAACAAAACGTTGTCACCTCTGCATTACCAGATTACATGAATGTGTGTTTGTCCTCACTGCTTTGAAGAGTTATGAGTTAACACAAATGTTGTTAAATAAATGTTGTTGTTTTTTTCCCTTAAGGCATTTTTTGGAACCTGTCTTCCAAAGACAACCTGAAGGAGAAATTGGCCAAAGAGATCCTTCCAGAGCTGACGGCGCAAATCCTGATTCCGCTGTCCGGAACTGGGAAGACCGAGCCCATCGTGCAGAGTCCGTCTGAGTCCGATATCTTCTACAACACTACAGGCTGTCTCAGGTACTGCACATAGAGATAAAAAGCAGCTTCTTGTGGGTCTCTATCACATGTTTTCCCATGAGCACATTTGCATCAAACTTGTTCTGGCAGGACACAGTGGTGTGTCAGCTGCAAATACCACACCCAGTGCATCTTTTGTTTTTGTCTTTTGGAAGCCATTTCAAATGTTGTCTTCTCCTAGTTTAAAATAAATGTTTTTTTATGAATTAGCATGCCTAATAATAAAAAACAACAATTGATTTGATTTTATTACAGAAATCTAAGTTCTGTGAATGAGAAGACACGTCAACAGATGAGGGAAACCCCTGGCCTCGTAGAGTCGCTGGTGGGATACATACAGGCTTCAATTGAAAGTGAAAAGACGGAGGAAAAAGTAATACTTTCTCTACACCTGATTACTTGTGCTTTTATTGTAGTTTTGTGTCCTCATTTTGTATGATGTGTTTTCTCTCCAGGGAGTAGAAAATTCTGTTTGTGTCCTGAGAAACCTCTCCTATCAGATTTATAATGAAATGCCTCCATCTGCTTTGTTGCGCCTGGAAGGACCAACCAGGGGCCAGGACACAGGGAAAGCTGAGCCCATTGGCTGCTTTACACCTCAGAGCAAGAAGGCCAAAAAGGTTAGAATGTGATTTTATTCTCATTTTGAAATTTATTTACTGAAGGTTCCAACTAATGTATGCTTTAGTGTTCTACTCAAATCCTGAAATACACAGCTTATGTCCAAGTTTCCATACACATTGCACATTTCTACATTGGAAAGGTTTTACCTGATTCTGCAAGGGGAAGCAGGCGTTGTAAGCCACTTTATTGTTTGATTATTTTCAGTTTTGTTTATGTCAACTACTATTTACTGGGCTTAATTATGCATCACTTAACATTACTAACTTGAAAATAAACTAAGAAGAATTTCAGTTTTACTCTATTAGGTATATTTATTAGGACTGGGACTTTAACGCGTTAAGTACAATTAATTAACGTTATTAAAATGAGTGCGTTAAAAATATTAACGCATGTGGTTTTTTTTTTTTCCAGACCAACACATATACAGAAAAAAGAGAAACAAAGAAAAGGGCTAGTTCAGATACATCGCTTTTTTCACATTTGCAGATGGGATTAGACAGAGATTACAAACAATATGTAGAGAAGAGGAATGAGTTTCAGACGGACCGATTATACTGGTGCGCCAACTGAACTCCGTGACTTTTCTTGTTCAAAAGTACATTATAACAAGCAAAGACCAACTTTAGCAATGAGTGAGTTAGATCCATGGTTAGAGAAGGGAAAGAGCGCTGTGTATGGAGCTATGGTGTGTGAGGAGGAAGAGCAGCAAGCGACTCCTCAGAAGGAGGAGGCAAAGGAGTAGGAGCGACACAGGTGTGTGAGCTGTTATTGCTAATGTTTTAGTTCAAATGCACACATCAAAAACGTATTATAAGCTTTAACGCTCACTGTTAGTGCAGTGGATTATGGTTATAATAAGCGTCTGTTGTTGTCAGAGTGTGTGGAGGCAATGACAGATACGTTATTTGATGGAAAGAAGTCCGTCTGATCACCCACAATGAACATGTGTTGCTTAAGTTTATGTATTCAGTCATTATTCAATGGTAAACTAAAAATTCATGTGAAAAAAAATACTTCTCACTGTTCTCAGAACAAATATTTATATGCAATTAAAATGCGATTAATCAAGATGAATTATTTACAAAGCCTCTAATTAATTAGATTATTGTTTTTAATTGAGTCCCAGCCCTAATATTTATAAATCCACGTGCTGAAATAAAATGCTGAATGCCAATTTTGCAATTTACTTCCATCTGTATGTGCACATCATTAATCAGTTTGCAACTATGTTTAGGGATGCTGATGATTTTTGCACACATTCAAACCATTTATATTGTACCCCTTTGTGCTGTGGAATTAAGAAGAGTCATTAAACCTCGAGACTATTTAATCACAGAAAGGATAACAATGTTTATTATAAAGGATGTTAGTTCAATGTGGACTGTGTTTAAATTGCCCTTTTATTTGAACAGAAACAATTGAATGTGTCTACGCTGTCGGAGGGATCCAGAATCCCCAAAGGGGTAGAGTGGCTGTGGCATCCCCAAATCGTGTCTCTTTACATTAAAGTGCTGCGTCAGTGTGAGATCAACTTCACCACACGAGAGGCCGCGGCAGGAGCCCTGCAGAACATCACAGCCGGAGACAAACGGGTCGGTGTAAACACTTTCAAAAAACACTATATTCTACTATAAGTTCATTTGGCCAGTGTAAACCTACTTTTTAATACAGAGAACCCTAAGTAAACTCCCGCACTTACAATGATTTTAGGCCAAAACTTTGAATATAGTGATCTACACTTTGGATGAGCTTTCACATTAAACTGGGTCATATGGTTGATATAAAATGTGAGCCACTGTTTTGGAGAAATAAAGAAATGCTAGCGTCTGATGTGTGGTTCTGCTGCAGTGGGCATCTGTGCTGAGTCAGCTGGCTCTGGAGCAGGAGCGTGTGCTGCCCCTTCTGCTGGACCAACTCAGGACCGACAACGACCCGGAGCTGCGGTCCCTCACCGGCCTGTTGAGAAACCTGTCCCGCCACACCAAGGACAAGAACGACATGGGTGAGCCTTGAAACCTTCCTTAAATATACAAATGGGTCCATAGACTGTATATAGATGGACAATGTTAACCCGCTAGCTCAATAAAACCTAGTAGGCAAGGCACATTTTTGCATCTCGCTTTGGCTCCTATTGAGGAAAAATCCACTCTCCTCACTCTGTACCCATTTGTGTTATACTCACTTAAAAATCCAGGTTTTAGAGCTCTCTGTCATCCTAGGTGTTATTATTTTGATATAATCTTTGTCAATCCAGACAGAGTTAGCAAATGGCTTGAGCAGGGACAGACTGGGCAAGATTGGCTTTATGTGACTTGCCTGTTGCTACTCACAAATTTGCATACATTTGGTTCCAGACTCTCCTGTTAGAGCCAACTCTGATCGGCTTCTCCTGCAAAAAAGCAAACGCTATGACATCGGCATTCAGTTTACCCTCTCTCACAGTCTATGCATCCAATATATTGTATATAAAATGACACGTTACAGTAAATATGTTTCTATGTGGTTCTTTCAAATCTTGTAATTTTTTTAGCTCAGCAGCCTAGATCAATAAAATATGTATTTGACTTTTAGCTACAAAGGTGGTGAATAACCTGGTGACAAAGCTCCCGGAGGATGGGAATAGCAAAGAGCTGTCCAGCGACGCGGTGGTGAACATCTGTGGTATCCTCAACAACCTGGTCACCAGCAGCTACATCGCGGCCAGAGATATAACCTTTTTTGACGGTTTGCCCAAACTGATGGGCATCCGAAACTGCCATGACGGCTCGTGCGTGTTTCACTTCCAAATTAAATACATTCAAAAATGTATATAACATCAAAATGACTAAAACATGATGTTTTTGTTTGTTTAGCGTGGGAAAGGTTAAGGCGAGCAAAGCAGCAGCCACCGTTCTCAATAACATGTATCAGTACAAGAAACTGCACAAAGATTATAATCAGGTACGAGTCAGTTTATTTCTTTATTTACATTCTTTTGTTGTGTCTTTGAGAAACACTTTATACATGATATTCTTTGATGATGTGGTTTTGTGGGAATGTTGTTGAAAATGGACTCTGTACAAACTGCACAATTCAACAAATGTGTCTTATCAATGCAGCACATTTACATACGTTACCACAAAATACCTCTTGCAAGTTTATCCTTACTGTCAAACAAAAGTACAAGAAGCCCCCTGGACCCGCTCGTTTCTGAGATTCCTTTTCAGACTCTATTGTCCTAAAGGTGACAGAAAATAATGTATACCCTAAATGTTTGTGCCAATCCAGCTACTGTACAATAGAGGATCTCACCTCTCGCTCCATTCACTCCACACTTTCTTCACACATTCAGTCATGCAGCTCCAGGTCTGGGGCAGGTCCCTCCCAAAGGCGCGGCTCAACTTCATATCCTAAAGAGCAAGTCCTGACACCGAAACACGTGTTTGTGCTTGTGCAGAGCTCTCAAAGCAACTGTCTGAAATTAAAGGGGTGGTTCAACCTACAACCTATAACATCAAGTCATTTCAGTGATTTGATAAACCAATACAATTTCCTAGTTTGTGACTTCCTGTTACTCACATGGCAATAAATAGGATTCTGATTAGAGCCATTTGAAAATGCTGTGAACAAGTCAGACAACAACATGCAATTTCATCTTAGAACATGTTTTATCTTTAGCATTCTTGTAAGAAAGTAGTGAGGTTGCTCCACTCTGTTTTTACTTTTCATGACACAGGCAAAAATGCATAATAGATCTTTGAAAGAACTACACTTTTTTGAGAACAAGAAACTAGTTAGGATTTTTTTTTTACATAGTTTAATTTTAAGTTGGTTGCCCAGCTTTAAATAGTATATTATGAATATATTGTAATAAAAAAGAAATGATAATGAGATGATTTATTGTTGTTTTGTTGTGTTTTGCAGAAGCACTATGACAGAAAAGATTTTATTGACGATTCCATCTGATATGGGGAAGACTGGACACACACTGGTAGAAATGTTTCCAGGTGTGTGGAAGTCTATGAACTCTACTTTTAAAGACACATTTGTCATGGAAGAACATTGTAATTATGGACAATCATCCAGGAAGAAGACTTTTGTATTTTTATTTTTGTTGGACTATGTTAGAGATGGATCTGCGGTCGACTGCAAATGGACTCTGGTACCAATATGTGCACCTTAACTGTTGAATGTACGGTGTGTTGATTTCAACACAAAACATCTTGAGGATATTTTGCCATAATCCGCTGCAGATAAATGTTTTGATTTTTCATCTGAAACCATGATTTTATTCTCAATATTGTAAATAATATTAATGATTATTTATTACATTTGGGTAAAGAGGTATGTTCTTTAATGAGCATCTATTTTTGTACATTGAATTATAACATTGAGGTGTGTATATTGTTTGTATAAAATAAATAATTACGGTGTTGCCGGGTGCCTAGTATATAAAGATAGATTACTGCATTACGTGCCACTGATGGTCTGGGCTTTGAAGGATTGCATTCTTAAATTTAAACATATTATAATTCTAAAATGTTTATTTTTAGAGCCAAGTACCCGTTCTAGACGGGTAAGTGTGAAAGAACATGTTGTATTGTGCTTTTTTACAGCACTGTAGTTACCCAATAACAGCTAGGATTTGGCGTTTTCAAAACATTTTTTGTATGTGATTGTTGGATATGAGCAGATGTATCATCTGAATACTTAATAAAGATGTACAAATGAGGCCTCGGGGAGTTACCGGCTGTGACAGTCTCTGTCTCACGTGGAGGTGGTAAAATGCAGGCCGCTCCCATGTTAAATATTTGCTCCTGCTCAGACAAGTGCCATACCAGAATATGCCAGGCGGGTCCTAGTTCCAGCTGTGATTTAAAAATGTACTCATTCAAGAGTGGTGCCAGCCGTTGGAGGAAAAACATAACATAAGAAAATGCTGCTTTATTATATTTTGGTCTGGTCACATATTTTATCACACAGGCACATGAAGTAACATAACAAAGAAACAGGATTCGAGTCTGTTGCCAAAACTAAAGTAACATATTATTTTACCACGCTGCCCTCTGTTGGCACACAGCATTAATCAAGGACATCAAAAACAAAAATCAAATGTGTGCTCTACAAAAAATCTGTGTAAAAAAGAAAAGAAATGCATCTATTGTTTTCTTGTTTTGCTTACAAAAGTGTATATGCAAAGGTCCATGTGGGCTCAGATGTCATTCTCAGTGACAAGACAGTAGAAATCCGAACGCGCTCCGTAATTGCGTGACCCAAGGTCGGACACATCGACATCGCCGTGAGCTGGTGTGGATTCTGAAACAGGAGCCACAGGAAGAACTGGCGCTCTGCACACTCTGGCCTTGAAAACCGGGAGGCGCACTCCTGCAATCATCACAATGTTAAGTGTTAGAATATTTAGTATTCAACTATTTAACTAATACCACACGCAACATTGACATTTCCCCACTGTGGGATGAATAAAGATTCTCTTAAATGTTATCTTATCATTTCTCACTCTATGCCGCAATAATGATCCAACAGGCATGTCAAACTCAGGCCCGTGGGCCAAATCCGGCCAGTGTGTGAGAACATTTTTAGTGACCCCTGAAGCTATTACAGTAACTTGGGATTACTATAACATGTTATACTTCATTTTATAGATTTTTTTCTCAGGATAGCAACCATATAATTAAATTTGTTCAAAAATTATACCTAACGAGTACCGGTAATTAGAAGTCCGGCCCAAGATTTATTTTTTATCAAGAAAACTGTGGCCCAGTTGTGGTTGAATCCAAACCTAACTAGCTGCAGTGTGCCCCAACCTTTTTGAGCCGTGGCACACCTTTCTCATTGAAAATAATCACACGGCACACCACCAGCTGAAATTGATACAAGAATTAAACACGGCAGTCTTTATTAACAACGCAAGTCATTCTCATCAAAGAGTATATTTAGAAAATCAAACACGGGCAAAAAACAGTCTTTCGAATCTTCTCTTTCTCCTACTTTTCACAGTATTTTTAGGTGAGATTGGATAATTTCCAAAGGTACATCAAAAATCCTACTAGGCCCACTAATGTACCATGGCACACTGTTTGAAAACCACTAGATAATAATATCCAAACTCACAAAAATATGTACAAAAATAATAATAGTAATAATACAAGTACTGTTCGCCACAACCAGCTCTTACTTTTTTAATCTGGGCCCCCAACCAAAATGAGTTTGACACCTCAGGTCTAAAACAACAATAACAACAGACACAGCCTTAATGACTTCCCGTTCAAGACAGTAGAAGAGACCCCACCTTTCACCTGACATCAGAAGTAATTACTGCCTTATGAAAAGGGAACACTATTCAAACAGCTCTGTACATTTTAGATGATACAGAACGTCCTCTTTACACAGCTGAAATGTTTTGACACGAAATCCAGCAGCAGCCAAAACCAGCTCACGCCAATGGCTACGTATCACAATAACACCTTCGCCAAACAACAATAGGCATAACTTTAGCACAACCAAAGCTCTCTACACAAACATTGACACGCTTTTCTCCAATGCTATACATGCACTTTTTGAACATAAACTAGGATTTTCTTTTGTTATATAGGACTGGGTGATGCAAGCATGAGTGGGTTTGACTGATATGTTTGGAAGGAGGAAAAGTGCGCTGGTTTTATTGCGTTAATATATGGTCGTTAGCGATTACTAATGTAGCACGTTTTAGCATTGCAAAAAGTGAGGTATGTGGTTGTGGTTGGTGTGGATGCTTTCTCTTGCTGTGAATCTGGCATAGACCCAGCAGCGGACTAATGGTGAAATTAGCCCTAGTGATAGTCCTGGTTATTTAGCGACATATGTGTTGTAGCTGTCGAATTGTGTCATAAAGGGAATTATGTGTAGATCTTATCAACGCTCATGGTCAAGAATCCAAGTTAAAAATTAACTCAAGTGTTGGATAATATGAGTATCTATGATAACAACCAGCTTTTACATCAGCTGTGAAACCTGTTTAGGATTATTCTGTTTGCTTAGTTGAAAACAAAGAACTGCTGGTTGGGTTAGGAGCAAGACTCTCACCCAGGTCTCCGGCAGGGTCAGTGTCCGAGCGGCAGTCCAGGTAGTCTGGATCCACGGTCAGCATGGGGTCCTTATCGTCATGGAGAAAAGTCTGAGGGTCTCTGGAGGACTCGGTGCGGAAGTGCAGGCGCCGGGCATGGCGAGAGACAGCTCTTTCCAGAACACTGAAGATGGTGTCTGTAGAGTTACAACAAGTACATTAAACACCGATTATTGCTCTTACCCACATCTTCTAATAATAATAATAATAATAATGCATCGGTTTTATATAGCGCTTTTTTGGACACAAAGATGCTTTGCATGTGTCATTATTCTTTCACTTCATACACGGTGGTGATGAACTACCACTGTAGCCACAGCTGCCCTGGGGCACCTGACAGAAGCGAGGCAACCAGTATGCGCTAATCGGCCCCTCCGACCACCACCAACCATTCACACACACACCAGACTCATTCTAGGCAATGGGGGTGAAGTGTCTTGCCTAAGAACACAACGGCAGTTTGTTATGATTATTGTATCTGTTTTTTGTGTGTACTCTTAAGTGCTTTTAAAAACATGTATTGATATGTGTCGTTTAAATATGTGCTAAGCTACTGGTACATGATTATTTACATTTTTGTGTCCTGAAAAGCGCTATATAAAACCAATGCATTATATTTATTATTATTATTATTAAAATATCTATGTGTTGTATGTGCATATACTTAACTTAGAGCAGAAGGATAGCATAGAAAGTTTAAGACTTTCAAGTCATGGACTTTTTTTATTACCTTGGTTTTAGTTTGATATATTGGTTCTTTTGAGTTTCACTTCCTGTCAGTTCAGTTGATTGTCTACACCTAATGTGTTTCATAATCTGTGTGTTTTTTAAGCCCGAGGGGGTGGTGGCTCCTGTCTTCTTTTCCATGGTCTATTGTGTTTTCGTACTTATTTCTTCGTGGTTTGATTTAGGGTTTAGGAGTTCTGTTTTAGAATTCTGGATTTTGTAATTTATGTATTTTTTTCTCCACCTAATAACAGTTCTATTATGCTCTTTCTAGGGCAGCACGGTGGCTGAGTGGATAGCACCTCTCGCTTCTCAGCAGGTCTTGGAATTCGAATACCGGTCGGAACATGGCCTTTCTAAGTGAAATTAGCATGTTTCTCCCCGTGGGTGCTTCCTCTGGGTGCTCCGGTTTCCCCTACCACTATAAACATGCACAATAGGTATGAATGTAAATGAGTGAGTGAATGAATGGTGTTGGTTTGGGGGCATTGCTGCGCCAGCGTGTTCAGTGTCTCGCTTCCGTCATCACCGTGTGTGCAGGGAGTGGAACAATATCTGAACTCTGAACATTGTAAAGTACTTTGGGTGACCCTTGGTCTGTAAAATGCACTATATAGATAAACCTTACTTACTTTCATTATGACCAGGTCTCCCCTGATTATATACATGCATAAAGAATTCCGAGCTTGTCAAAAAGGTGGGCATCAAATCACGCTGCCATATTGGATTACTTGTTGCGAACCTTATCTCTCTCTCTCTTGTTTCCAGCATAGACTGTATATAATAACGGACAGAGTCACGCCTATCTCCGCCGTTCATAGGAGTTGGCCATGAAAAGTGCTTTCATGGAGCAATCCAAGATGGCCGCGAGTGGTCCCGCCCAGTAGAAAAATGTGAAAAAACGCATCTGCGCATGCGTCAGCCGGCGCAGCTCCATTCATTTGAACGAGAAACTTCAAAAATTCACCGCGAGTAAAATAGAGTGGACCAAAAAAATTCACCCCCCTCAGCATTGACACACATGTGGAACGGAGCTTTGGGCCAAGAGCCAACTTTTGGACCATCCTGTAAAGACGTTTTTGAGAGGTCTGCCAACGCTATATGTTAGCATTGGCTAATTCTTCTTCTGGGTCCACCCCCATCGGCCCGGGGTGGTATTGCAAGCATGTCAGCGCACGTCATTTTGGCCACTTTTGAGCCGGGACCGCCCCCACTGGTTTCCAGCCCATAGATTGTTTTAAGGTATTTACCTAATTGTGAAGGTAAAAGGTAAAGATTTTTTCATTTAACAAAAAAGCAATACATTTTTTTCTTGTGGTTTTCGATGTAAACACAACCGACTGACTATAGAGCTACATGTAGCTTATGCTACTTACGAGGATCGAATGCTTACACGTGAGCTTTATAAACTTACCCAAAGCTGTACTTTGAACATATTTGTCTGGTGTGGAGCTTCTGAATGTAGAGAAGGCCAAATACCTGGGGCACGTAATCAGTAGTGACCTCAGTGATGATGACATTCAGAAGCAGCACTGTAAGCTGTATGGACAGGCTAACACTTAAGCGCGGAGATTTGTTTAAAGCCTACTGCACACCTCTCTATACTGCCAGCTCACTGTTTGTTCTTAATAATGTCCCCACTCTGAATGCCCTGATCAGAAATGTTATTTATAAGTTCATGAAACGCTCTGAAATATTTCCATAGTACAGCTTTGGGTAAGTTTATAAAGCTCGCGTGTAAGCATTTGATCCTCGTAAGTAGCATAAGCTACATGTAGCTCTATAGTCAGTCAGTTGTGTTTACATCTAAAACCACAAGAAAAAAAAATCTTTGCCTTACCTTCTAAATGTCTGAAATTGGTGATTTTTTTTGCTATTAAAACAATCTATGGGCTGGAAACAAGAGATAGAGATCACGTTCGCAACAAGTAATCCAATATGGCAGCGTGATTTGATGACCACCTTTTTGACAAGCTCGGAATTCTTTATGCATGTATATAATCAGGGGAGACCTGGTCATAATGAAAGTAAGTAAGGTTTATCTATATAGTGCATTTTACAGACCAAGGTCACCCAAAGTACTTTACAATGTTCAGAGTTCAGATATTGTTCCACTCCCTGCACACACGGTGATGACGGAAGCGAGACACTGAACACGCTGGCGCAGCAATGCCCCCAAACCAACACCATTCATTCACTCACTCATTTACATTCATACCTATTGTGCATGTTTATAGTGGTAGGGGAAACCGGAGCACCCAGAGGAAGCACCCACGGGGAGAACATGCTAATTTCACTTAGAAAGGCCATGTTCCGACCGGTATTCGAATTCCAAGACCTGCTGAGAAGCGAGAGTGCTATCCACTCAGCCACCGTGCTGCCCTAGAAAGAGCATAATAGAACTGTTATTAGGTGGAGAAAAAAATACATAAATTACAAAATCCAGAATTCTAAACAGAACTCCTAAACCCTAAATCAAACCACGAAGAAATAAGTACGAAAACACAATAGACCATGGAAAAGAAGACAGGAGCACAGGGCTTAAAAACACACAGATGAAACACATTAGGGTGTAGACAATCAACTGAACTGACAGGAAGTGAAACTCAAAAGAACCAATATATCAAACTAAAACCAAGGTAATAAAAAAGTCCATGACTTGAAAGTCTTAAACTTTCTATGCTATCCTTCTGCTCTAAGTTAAGTATATGCACATACAACACATAGATATTTTAATAATAATAATAATAAATATAATGCATTGGTTTTATATAGCGCTTTTCAGGACACAAAAATGTAAATAATCATGTACCAGTAGCTTAGCACATATTTAAACGACACATATCAATACATGTTTTTAAAAGCACTTAAGAGTACACACAAAAAACAGATACAATAATCATAACAAACTGCCGTTGTGTTCTTAGGCAAGACACTTCACCCCCATTGCCTAGAATGAGTCTGGTGTGTGTGTGAATGGTTGGTGGTGGTCGGAGGGGCCGATGGCGCATACTGGTTGCCTCGCTTCTGTCAGTGTGCCCCAGGGCAGCTGTGGCTACAGTGGTAGTTCATCACCACCGTGTATGAAGTGAAAGAATAATGACACATGCAAAGCATCTTTGTGTCCAAAAAAGCGCTATATAAAACCGATGCATTATTATTATTATTATTATTAGAAGATGTGGGTAAGAGCAATAATCGGTGTTTAATGTACTTGTTGTAACTCTACAGACACCATCTTCAGTGTTCTGGAAAGAGCTGTCTCTCGCCATGCCCCGGCGCCTGCACTTCCGCACCGAGTCCTCCAGAGACCCTCAGACTTTTCTCCATGACGATAAGGACCCCATGCTGACCGTGGATCCAGACTACCTGGACTGCCGCTCGGACACTGACCCTGCCGGAGACCTGGGTGAGAGTCTTGCTCCTAACCCAACCAGCAGTTCTTTGTTTTCAACTAAGCAAACAGAATAATCCTAAACAGGTTTCACAGCTGATGTAAAAGCTGGTTGTTATCATAGATACTCATATTATCCAACACTTGAGTTAATTTTTAACTTGGATTCTTGACCATGAGCGTTGATAAGATCTACACATAATTCCCTTTATGACACAATTCGACAGCTACAACACATATGTCGCTAAATAACCAGGACTATCACTAGGGCTAATTTCACCATTAGTCCGCTGCTGGGTCTATGCCAGATTCACAGCAAGAGAAAGCATCCACACCAACCACAACCACATACCTCACTTTTTGCAATGCTAAAACGTGCTACATTAGTAATCGCTAACGACCATATATTAACGCAATAAAACCAGCGCACTTTTCCTCCATTCCAAACATATCAGTCAAACCCACTCATGCTTGCATCACCCAGTCCTATATAACAAAAGAAAATCCTAGTTTATGTTCAAAAAGTGCATGTATAGCATTGGAGAAAAGCGTGTCAATGTTTGTGTAGAGAGCTTTGGTTGTGCTAAAGTTATGCCTATTGTTGTTTGGCGAAGGTGTTATTGTGATACGTAGCCATTGGCGTGAGCTGGTTTTGGCTGCTGCTGGATTTCGTGTCAAAACATTTCAGCTGTGTAAAGAGGACGTTCTGTATCATCTAAAATGTACAGAGCTGTTTGAATAGTGTTCCCTTTTCATAAGGCAGTAATTACTTCTGATGTCAGGTGAAAGGTGGGGTCTCTTCTACTGTCTTGAACGGGAAGTCATTAAGGCTGTGTCTGTTGTTATTGTTGTTTTAGACCTGAGGTGTCAAACTCATTTTGGTTGGGGGCCCAGATTAAAAAAGTAAGAGCTGGTTGTGGCGAACAGTACTTGTATTATTACTATTATTATTTTTGTACATATTTTTGTGAGTTTGGATATTATTATCTAGTGGTTTTCAAACAGTGTGCCATGGTACATTAGTGGGCCTAGTAGGATTTTTGATGTACCTTTGGAAATTATCCAATCTCACCTAAAAATACTGTGAAAAGTAGGAGAAAGAGAAGATTCGAAAGACTGTTTTTTGCCCGTGTTTGATTTTCTAAATATACTCTTTGATGAGAATGACTTGCGTTGTTAATAAAGACTGCCGTGTTTAATTCTTGTATCAATTTCAGCTGGTGGTGTGCCGTGTGATTATTTTCAATGAGAAAGGTGTGCCACGGCTCAAAAAGGTTGGGGCACACTGCAGCTAGTAGGTTTGGATTCAACCACAACTGGGCCACAGTTTTCTTGATAAAAAATAAATCTTGGGCCGGACTTCTAATTACCGGTACTCGTTAGGTATAATTTTTGAACAAATTTAATTATATGGTTGCTATCCTGAGAAAAAAATCTATAAAATGAAGTATAACATGTTATAGTAATCCCAAGTTACTGTAATAGCTTCAGGGGTCACTAAAAATGTTCTCACACACTGGCCGGATTTGGCCCACGGGCCTGAGTTTGACATGCCTGTTGGATCATTATTGCGGCATAGAGTGAGAAATGATAAGATAACATTTAAGAGAATCTTTATTCATCCCACAGTGGGGAAATGTCAATGTTGCGTGTGGTATAGTTAAATAGTTGAATACTAAATATTCTAACACTTAACATTGTGATGATTGCAGGAGTGCGCCTCCCGGTTTTCAAGGCCAGAGTGTGCAGAGCGCCAGTTCTTCCTGTGGCTCCTGTTTCAGAATCCACACCAGCTCACGGCGATGTCGATGTGTCCGACCTTGGGTCACGCAATTACGGAGCGCGTTCGGATTTCTACTGTCTTGTCACTGAGAATGACATCTGAGCCCACATGGACCTTTGCATATACACTTTTGTAAGCAAAACAAGAAAACAATAGATGCATTTCTTTTCTTTTTTACACAGATTTTTTGTAGAGCACACATTTGATTTTTGTTTTTGATGTCCTTGATTAATGCTGTGTGCCAACAGAGGGCAGCGTGGTAAAATAATATGTTACTTTAGTTTTGGCAACAGACTCGAATCCTGTTTCTTTGTTATGTTACTTCATGTGCCTGTGTGATAAAATATGTGACCAGACCAAAATATAATAAAGCAGCATTTTCTTATGTTATGTTTTTCCTCCAACGGCTGGCACCACTCTTGAATGAGTACATTTTTAAATCACAGCTGGAACTAGGACCCGCCTGGCATATTCTGGTATGGCACTTGTCTGAGCAGGAGCAAATATTTAACATGGGAGCGGCCTGCATTTTACCACCTCCACGTGAGACAGAGACTGTCACAGCCGGTAACTCCCCGAGGCCTCATTTGTACATCTTTATTAAGTATTCAGATGATACATCTGCTCATATCCAACAATCACATACAAAAAATGTTTTGAAAACGCCAATCCTAGCTGTTATTGGGTAACTACAGTGCTGTAAAAAAGCACAATACAACATGTTCTTTCACACTTACCCGTCTAGAACGGGTACTTGGCTCTAAAATAAACATTTTAGAATATAATATGTTTAAATTTAAGAATGCAATCCTTCCCCCATTAAACCCAGACCATCAGTGGCACGTTGGAATGCTTAGTAATCTATCTTTATATAACAGGCACCCGGCAACACCGTTGCCCCCAATGGTCCTGTTTTGTCATTTATTTTATACAAACATTTATATACACACCTCAATGTTATAATTCAATGTACAAAAATAGATGCTCATTAAAGAACATACCTCTTTACCCAAATGTAAAAATACAAAGCTACAGTCTTCTGAACACTATTAATATTATTTACAATATTGAGAATAAAATCATGGTTTCAGATGAAAAATCAAAACATTTATCTGCAGCGGATTATGGCAAAATATCCTCAAGATGTTTTGTGTTGAAATCAACACACCGTACATTCAACAGTTAAGGTGCACATATTGGTACCAGAGTCCATTTGCAGTCGACCGCAGATCCATCTCTAACATAGTCCAACAAAAATAAAAATACAAAAGTCTTCTTCCTGGATGATTGTCCATAATTACAATGTTCTTCCATGACAAATGTGTCTTTAAAAGTAGAGTTCATAGACTTCCACACACCTGGAAACATTTCTACCAGTGTGTGTCCAGTCTTCCCCATATCAGATGGAATCGTCAATAAAATCTTTTCTGTCATAGTGCTTCTGCAAAACACAACAAAACAACAATAAATCATCTCATTATCATTTCTTTTTTATTACAATATATTCATAATATACTATTTAAAGCTGGGCAACCAACTTAAAATTAAACTATGTAAAAAAAAAATCCTAACTAGTTTCTTGTTCTCAAAAAAGTGTAGTTCTTTCAAAGATCTATTATGCATTTTTGCCTGTGTCATGAAAAGTAAAAACAGAGTGGAGCAACCTCACTACTTTCTTACAAGAATGCTAAAGATAAAACATGTTCTAAGATGAAATTGCATGTTGTTGTCTGACTTGTTCACAGCATTTTCAAATGGCTCTAATCAGAATCCTATTTATTGCCATGTGAGTAACAGGAAGTCACAAACTAGGAAATTGTATTGGTTTATCAAATCACTGAAATGACTTGATGTTATAGGTTGTAGGTTGAACCACCCCTTTAATTTCAGACAGTTGCTTTGAGAGCTCTGCACAAGCACAAACACGTGTTTCGGTGTCAGGACTTGCTCTTTAGGATATGAAGTTGAGCCGCGCCTTTGGGAGGGACCTGCCCCAGACCTGGAGCTGCATGACTGAATGTGTGAAGAAAGTGTGGAGTGAATGGAGCGAGAGGTGAGATCCTCTATTGTACAGTAGCTGGATTGGCACAAACATTTAGGGTATACATTATTTTCTGTCACCTTTAGGACAATAGAGTCTGAAAAGGAATCTCAGAAACGAGCGGGTCCAGGGGGCTTCTTGTACTTTTGTTTGACAGTAAGGATAAACTTGCAAGAGGTATTTTGTGGTAACGTATGTAAATGTGCTGCATTGATAAGACACATTTGTTGAATTGTGCAGTTTGTACAGAGTCCATTTTCAACAACATTCCCACAAAACCACATCATCAAAGAATATCATGTATAAAGTGTTTCTCAAAGACACAACAAAAGAATGTAAATAAAGAAATAAACTGACTCGTACCTGATTATAATCTTTGTGCAGTTTCTTGTACTGATACATGTTATTGAGAACGGTGGCTGCTGCTTTGCTCGCCTTAACCTTTCCCACGCTAAACAAACAAAAACATCATGTTTTAGTCATTTTGATGTTATATACATTTTTGAATGTATTTAATTTGGAAGTGAAACACGCACGAGCCGTCATGGCAGTTTCGGATGCCCATCAGTTTGGGCAAACCGTCAAAAAAGGTTATATCTCTGGCCGCGATGTAGCTGCTGGTGACCAGGTTGTTGAGGATACCACAGATGTTCACCACCGCGTCGCTGGACAGCTCTTTGCTATTCCCATCCTCCGGGAGCTTTGTCACCAGGTTATTCACCACCTTTGTAGCTAAAAGTCAAATACATATTTTATTGATCTAGGCTGCTGAGCTAAAAAAATTACAAGATTTGAAAGAACCACATAGAAACATATTTACTGTAACGTGTCATTTTATATACAATATATTGGATGCATAGACTGTGAGAGAGGGTAAACTGAATGCCGATGTCATAGCGTTTGCTTTTTTGCAGGAGAAGCCGATCAGAGTTGGCTCTAACAGGAGAGTCTGGAACCAAATGTATGCAAATTTGTGAGTAGCAACAGGCAAGTCACATAAAGCCAATCTTGCCCAGTCTGTCCCTGCTCAAGCCATTTGCTAACTCTGTCTGGATTGACAAAGATTATATCAAAATAATAACACCTAGGATGACAGAGAGCTCTAAAACCTGGATTTTTAAGTGAGTATAACACAAATGGGTACAGAGTGAGGAGAGTGGATTTTTCCTCAATAGGAGCCAAAGCGAGATGCAAAAATGTGCCTTGCCTACTAGGTTTTATTGAGCTAGCGGGTTAACATTGTCCATCTATATACAGTCTATGGACCCATTTGTATATTTAAGGAAGGTTTCAAGGCTCACCCATGTCGTTCTTGTCCTTGGTGTGGCGGGACAGGTTTCTCAACAGGCCGGTGAGGGACCGCAGCTCCGGGTCGTTGTCGGTCCTGAGTTGGTCCAGCAGAAGGGGCAGCACACGCTCCTGCTCCAGAGCCAGCTGACTCAGCACAGATGCCCACTGCAGCAGAACCACACATCAGACGCTAGCATTTCTTTATTTCTCCAAAACAGTGGCTCACATTTTATATCAACCATATGACCCAGTTTAATGTGAAAGCTCATCCAAAGTGTAGATCACTATATTCAAAGTTTTGGCCTAAAATCATTGTAAGTGCGGGAGTTTACTTAGGGTTCTCTGTATTAAAAAGTAGGTTTACACTGGCCAAATGAACTTATAGTAGAATATAGTGTTTTTTGAAAGTGTTTACACCGACCCGTTTGTCTCCGGCTGTGATGTTCTGCAGGGCTCCTGCCGCGGCCTCTCGTGTGGTGAAGTTGATCTCACACTGACGCAGCACTTTAATGTAAAGAGACACGATTTGGGGATGCCACAGCCACTCTACCCCTTTGGGGATTCTGGATACCTCCGACAGCGTAGACACATTCAATTGTTTCTGTTCAAATAAAAGGGCAATTTAAACACAGTCCACATTGAACTAACATCCTTTATAATAAACATTGTTATCCTTTCTGTGATTAAATAGTCTCGAGGTTTAATGACTCTTCTTAATTCCACAGCACAAAGGGGTACAATATAAATGGTTTGAATGTGTGCAAAAATCATCAGCATCCCTAAACATAGTTGCAAACTGATTAATGATGTGCACATACAGATGGAAGTAAATTGCAAAATTGGCATTCAGCATTTTATTTCAGCACGTGGATTTATAAATATTAGGGCTGGGACTCAATTAAAAACAATAATCTAATTAATTAGAGGCTTTGTAAATAATTCATCTTGATTAATCGCATTTTAATTGCATATAAATATTTGTTCTGAGAACAGTGAGAAGTATTTTTTTTCACATGAATTTTTAGTTTACCATTGAATAATGACTGAATACATAAACTTAAGCAACACATGTTCATTGTGGGTGATCAGACGGACTTCTTTCCATCAAATAACGTATCTGTCATTGCCTCCACACACTCTGACAACAACAGACGCTTATTATAACCATAATCCACTGCACTAACAGTGAGCGTTAAAGCTTATAATACGTTTTTGATGTGTGCATTTGAACTAAAACATTAGCAATAACAGCTCACACACCTGTGTCGCTCCTACTCCTTTGCCTCCTCCTTCTGAGGAGTCGCTTGCTGCTCTTCCTCCTCACACACCATAGCTCCATACACAGCGCTCTTTCCCTTCTCTAACCATGGATCTAACTCACTCATTGCTAAAGTTGGTCTTTGCTTGTTATAATGTACTTTTGAACAAGAAAAGTCACGGAGTTCAGTTGGCGCACCAGTATAATCGGTCCGTCTGAAACTCATTCCTCTTCTCTACATATTGTTTGTAATCTCTGTCTAATCCCATCTGCAAATGTGAAAAAAGCGATGTATCTGAACTAGCCCTTTTCTTTGTTTCTCTTTTTTCTGTATATGTGTTGGTCTGGAAAAAAAAAAAACCACATGCGTTAATATTTTTAACGCACTCATTTTAATAACGTTAATTAATTGTACTTAACGCGTTAAAGTCCCAGTCCTAATAAATATACCTAATAGAGTAAAACTGAAATTCTTCTTAGTTTATTTTCAAGTTAGTAATGTTAAGTGATGCATAATTAAGCCCAGTAAATAGTAGTTGACATAAACAAAACTGAAAATAATCAAACAATAAAGTGGCTTACAACGCCTGCTTCCCCTTGCAGAATCAGGTAAAACCTTTCCAATGTAGAAATGTGCAATGTGTATGGAAACTTGGACATAAGCTGTGTATTTCAGGATTTGAGTAGAACACTAAAGCATACATTAGTTGGAACCTTCAGTAAATAAATTTCAAAATGAGAATAAAATCACATTCTAACCTTTTTGGCCTTCTTGCTCTGAGGTGTAAAGCAGCCAATGGGCTCAGCTTTCCCTGTGTCCTGGCCCCTGGTTGGTCCTTCCAGGCGCAACAAAGCAGATGGAGGCATTTCATTATAAATCTGATAGGAGAGGTTTCTCAGGACACAAACAGAATTTTCTACTCCCTGGAGAGAAAACACATCATACAAAATGAGGACACAAAACTACAATAAAAGCACAAGTAATCAGGTGTAGAGAAAGTATTACTTTTTCCTCCGTCTTTTCACTTTCAATTGAAGCCTGTATGTATCCCACCAGCGACTCTACGAGGCCAGGGGTTTCCCTCATCTGTTGACGTGTCTTCTCATTCACAGAACTTAGATTTCTGTAATAAAATCAAATCAATTGTTGTTTTTTATTATTAGGCATGCTAATTCATAAAAAAACATTTATTTTAAACTAGGAGAAGACAACATTTGAAATGGCTTCCAAAAGACAAAAACAAAAGATGCACTGGGTGTGGTATTTGCAGCTGACACACCACTGTGTCCTGCCAGAACAAGTTTGATGCAAATGTGCTCATGGGAAAACATGTGATAGAGACCCACAAGAAGCTGCTTTTTATCTCTATGTGCAGTACCTGAGACAGCCTGTAGTGTTGTAGAAGATATCGGACTCAGACGGACTCTGCACGATGGGCTCGGTCTTCCCAGTTCCGGACAGCGGAATCAGGATTTGCGCCGTCAGCTCTGGAAGGATCTCTTTGGCCAATTTCTCCTTCAGGTTGTCTTTGGAAGACAGGTTCCAAAAAATGCCTTAAGGGAAAAAAAACAACAACATTTATTTAACAACATTTGTGTTAACTCATAACTCTTCAAAGCAGTGAGGACAAACACACATTCATGTAATCTGGTAATGCAGAGGTGACAACGTTTTGTTATCTTTGTCACCTGGTCTTTTGACACAGTTTGTCATAACAATTTGTGCGTGAAAAGGTGAAAGGAGTACTAGTAAAAGATGGTGATAAAGCTTTGACTTGTAACAGGGTGTGGCTTGTGTACAGTTAGTCCACAGGCCCAGACAACTCCCACACCCTCCAGGCCCTCATCACAGCCCCATGCAGACCTCCTGCTTTTATAAGTGCCTCTGTGCAAAGCAAAAAATGTTTGCATTTAAGTTGACTAATTTCTGCTGATAGAGAAAATGTTCAAACCATATTGCAGTTTGTCGACTTACGCTCACCCTGGCCTCCTTCAAGATTGGTCAACATTTTGAGTGCTATAACTCTTGTTTTTCTTTCAGAGTCATGAAAAGAACAATGATTATTGCATATTGTACCAGTGATATTCTTGTGGAGCTCGTGGTCGTGGTCTTTCAGGGCCCCTACCAGGTTTGGGATGCCGCCCTCATTGATCAGAGCCACCTTGTTATCCATGCTTTCATAGATGAGGTTCCGAGTGGCGCCGGTGGCATAACGCTGCACCTCCTGGCTCTCACTGTTGAACAGTTTGATCAGTTCTGTTATGCCCTTGAATCGTCGGACCTGAAAAAACAAACCAGGTTTAATTATATTTTTGACCTGCAACTTCAAAATGACAAAGGGCTTAAAGTACAGACACCACTTATGCATAAACTAAACTACTGTAACATGCTTTAGATGTTGGTGATACTCCCGAGTAGATAAATAAACATACATCACACAAAAGTTAAAATACTAAGGACTGGTAGCATTTTGTGAGTCAGTGATTAACAACGTATTTCCCATTTTCATATTCGGTAGCAACAGTCAGATTTTTCCCTTTATTTTTTTAAATTTTATTTATAGTTGTCTCCTTTTCATTTAAAAACAATGCATCTAAACATTAAGGATGGTGCTGTTCCAGAGTTTGCCTTGTACACTGAACTGTGTATGTAGCCAGGCAAAGATCTGACTCTTGTTAAATCCATGTTTATGACTGTTTTTTTAATGATGCTCGACCGTGGGGAGCTGCTAACCACACGTACCTCATCTTTGGCATCACTGTCATTGTAGCACTCGTGTTGAATGAAGGCTGCTCCAATGACCTGCAGGTCTGGGTCTGGGTCTCTCAGGTGCATGATGGCTGAGGCCATGTCCAAATTGTTGATGCTGCCCAAAAAGAGTGTTTTTTGTAAATTATGTAAATACATCAGTTTATCCTATATTATACTTGTGTAATCGTCAATACAGTCTTGTTCAATACCAAGAATATAAATGTTAGCACTGCTTAATCATCAGTTGAGTTTCAAAACTGAAAAGGCATTGAGATTGTCAAAAGTGTAGGCCACAGCCTTTAAAGGCCAAACTCGTCGTCAGTATCATTTTCTGACTGTATTCACACCGCCATGGCCTCCTGATAACAAAAACCAAAAAGGTTTTTAATTGGTGTTTGGTGTCTAGAGTTTAATTATAATGACAGGTATCTGGTATCTCGCAGTGCAATGCTGCGTAATGTGGGTAAAGTGTCTTTCTAAAAGACATAAGAGTTTGGCACTTTACAGCGGCAGCTTCCCCAATGTGGCACCACTTTTTTTTCCTAATTTCAAGAGTTTATATTTTTCATTGTGCTTCTCTACTGTATATAGCTCACTAATCTAATGTTCCCTATTTTTCCCAGATATAAATGGAACAAAATGTAAATCCTTACTTTTTTTTTTTACATGGGGTTATTATTTCAATCACCACAAGACCACTAAAATGTCATCAATATTTCTTTCTGTTGTGCAAATGTTGTTCCTGCTACTTCTGTGGGATGTGTGAAATGCAAGGCTTGAAACTCGACTGCCACACCCAAAACCAGTCCTGCCACTAAGGAGCACCTCCCAATCTAAAGCACTTAGGAAATCCACAATCTCCATTCTGGGCTGCGAGTATGATGATAAATGACAAAGTCATTTGCATTTAACAATATAAAATGTGAAATCTAATGCTGCTCAATCGATTAACAGTTTAGTTCATTGAGGTGGTTTTAATTGGTCAATGCTAAATCTCATTATCTCAGCAGCAACACAATAATAATAATAATAACAAGATCTATTCTTGCTACGCTCCATTAGGCAACACACTAAACCTCCCATGCCTAGTCTGTTCTCTGGTATGTGTGTGAAGGACAGTGGTGGTGGTGGGAGGGTCTGATTCACACATTGGCAGCCCTGCCCCAAGTGGGGTTTGATTTCATGCTTTGAATGTTATCGTTTCCAATATTTCAATGGCTTTTAAAATGTTGTAGTAATTCTAATGCTGCAATTAAATTCAGTAGAGTTAGATTTTTCAGACTTACTTTGTAAAAAACTTCTCAATCTAATCGTCACACTGGGGTGACCCATTGCATTATTTTTGATACTTTTGATTCTTTTTTTTATGATCAAAATTGTTTCAATATTGGATGCAGTTCCTTGGTAACTTCCATGTCCTGCTGTATTCCATTATTATCAGTAGTGTTACTCACGCGCTGAGGTTGCCGATGCTCATTCCCATCTCGTTCTGTCCATTGTAGATGTCCACTCCTCTGCCCACACTGTGGATGCTCTTCATGGACATGGTGCGAGGCAGAGAACCTTGAAACATCCGTCCTCCAGAGCTTCCTGTGGTGGCTGATGAGACTATGAAGCCTCCGCGGTCGACTCTGTCGCCCCCTGCAGAGTAGACACTGCCCCCTCCCACAGACATGGGTCTTTGGATGGTCCCGGACATGGAGCTCATGCTGGTCCTGTTGCGGTTATTGATCCTGCTGATGGTGCGGTGTGCTGGCCCCTTGAATGACATCTGGTGATTGATCATTTCGGCTTCTACTCCGGCCATGCCTCCAACCCGGGACAGTGTCCCACTGAGGGATCTACGCATAGGAGTGACAGAACGCATCTGGGTGCTGTATCCATTCATAGTGCCCTGACTCTGAGTGTACGGCCGGTTAAAAACACCATCCCCAGACACAATACTGGCTGCATCGCTGTCATCCCAGGGGTTGACCAGTCGCATAGAGTGCATGGAAGCAGACTCCAGGTCATTGTGGGGCCTTGGGGTCATTTTCATCTCTTCTCTGTAATATCCTCCACCACCACCTCCTCCACCTCCACCTCCAATGCTCATCTGCTGTAACTGAGCCAGATCTGCCCCAGCAGACTGAGAGCTGAATCCAGTCCTCTGGGATATTCGAGGGCCCTGTCCAAATAGAGAAAGACATCAGGCACAATCAAGCAAATGTAGCATACAGGTTGAAATACTATAGATTAGTTTATCTTAAAAGACCCCAACACATTAACATCTAATAACGCTTAATATGAATAATATCAACACCTAATAACAATAGTAAGTATGTTAACAAACTACTATGCTCAATGAACAAGGTGACGTTGGTCTTATAATAGGGCCGTATAAATAGTGGCAACCTGTGATAGAGAGTAAGCTAACATTGTAGAATGTAGAGGTTGAATTTGAAGTCCCTGGACTGATCTCATGGCAGCTCTTTGTGAAATGCCACACATTTATACCCCACACACAGGGTCAGGGGCTCCAGGACTGACACCAGATCATGAGGTCAATGTGTCAATTACAATAATATGAATCAAATGTATATAAAGATTATCAAAAGCAACACATATATTCACAAGTAAAACACACAGACAGAGAAATAACCAAGTAATAAAAGTCTAGAGGACTTTCTGAATAAAAGGCAGCCCTCACCATGGTTCTGGCTCCTCCTGAGTACATGTACGATGACTTGGAGGTGAAGTTTGGCTGATATGTCTGATATTTAGTGGAAGAACCCCCATAGTCTGAAAAGCATATAGGGACAGTTAAAGACATATGATGCTGTTGTACTTTTACCCTATTGAATGAATGAATAATTTATTTAAAGCATGAGCATGACACAATAACAAAAATTAAATTAATAACAACTTGTGGAATCCGAAACATTACATTTTTTGTTTACAATGAAGAAATGCTCTTTGAAAGAAAGTGAGAAGTGAAAACGTGTTTACTCCCACCCCCATAAAAGAATCTATTAAACAACCAACAATCCAAACAAACTATTACAAAGTGAAGGTTGTCCATTTTAAGAATACCGTGTCTTTAGAAAAATAAATAGCATATTAAAATGAAAACGGACGGTTGACAAGCATTTACACATTTCTTAGTTAAGTCTCAGGGCTAAAAGGGTTTGTTTGTAATATCAACAACTGCTGAGCTTAAGCTGTAGTTACATGGCAAAAAACAAGTCACAATTGAGCGTGTGTAGGTGCGTGTTTGAAGATTAACATATTTCTAAAAAGCTATTATTAAATAATTTCTCACAGTGTCTGGAGAGATTTCCAGTGAGAAAAATGGTTTCTTATTTTAATTCCAGTAAAGGTGGTAGTAATCAGATTCTAATTCTTCATAGAACACCAGACTTGCCTTGATGTTAACCTTAAAGTGTGGACATAAATGGAGCATAATGCCATTGCACAGGCCAAAACACATATATAATACAGTAATACGGTCACCATGGGTCACTGTACTGAGCCTTTTGTACAGAAACGTGGCCGGCCTGAAGCGAGATATCTGATTTACCATTACACTACCTTTACAGAAGCGATAGCATTGGACAAACACATGTTAAGAGTGGAAAGGTATGCAACCAAGAATTCAAAATGGATGATGTCATGAACAAAGATATACAAATAACAAATTCATCTGAAGGACGTTTTTGTTGAATAGTTGCACAATTATCTGGAAAATGCAAAGTTGTGACCAGTCAGAATACTGTGTTCAGTTGTGTGGCTTCTAGACAGATCCTCACATTACTATGAACTGAAGACGTTTCAATACGGTTTTAAAATTCCAAGTCTGAACAGTACATTTGACATGACTTATCATGTAACTCAATGGTTTCACATATCTGGGGTGAAGAGCATGATGTTTGTTTTTAATACAACATTATTATTATTACTACTCAACCCCATACAGGCAGTGTTGATGTGCAAAAATACCACTGTACCGGTACTTTGTACTTTGCACTGTCCCAACCCGTTTCAATGTAGACACTTTTTGTGTCAACTGTGTCTGCACAAATAATGATATCAGAAATCATTATATGATTAAATTAAAATCATACAATAAACAGGTAAAAATTCCAAATTATGCAATTGATAAATGTTGAAGAGGTTTCCAGCAACTGCACTGATTTTAATACATCTATTAAAGCAATTATGGTAACTTTTTGGAAATGGCCCAGTGCCTGCATAGTGCCATGAAAAACACATGGTGTTAAAATCATGGCACAATGTATGTGCATCCATCAAGTGCACATATTTGGGGGAATTAAATGTCTGATGTTGTGGCACTGGTTTTCACTGTAGCAGACAGTAATGAAAATCCTCCATGCCTATGTACGTTTTCCTCATGGCATCATTAGCAAAGAGAAAACACACCAAACCAGTTGTTTAAATGTTACTGACAGGTCTTTGGCACAAACGCAGTGTGACCCCGGCCACGCCCTGTCCCACACCTGAGATTAGGACACACCCACGGAGGGTATGAGGCATTTTTCTTTCTCTTATCTAGTCAAAAAATAACTGGTTCTCATAAACCCTCCTTGTATCTGTTAAGACTTGATTTTATGGATGTCATAGTTAAATTTTCATGGAAAAAGTTCATCTGAGTAATTTGTCTCTTATCCAACAAAAGGGTTGGTGGATGGTTTGGTGAAACCATAGCATAGATAAAAAGGTTGGAGACCCTGTGCTATCCTGTTGTACTGGTTCATGTTGACAACAACATTTACGACTTGATTCTTACCTTCCAGCTCAGCCTAAGGGCAAATGACAAACAGGCTAGACATGTACAATCCGTTTACCTTGTTTCATGTAGGAGCAGTTAGAAGAGCTAAAGCACACATATGAATCTTACATGTACCATTTCAAGCCGATAACATGAAAATAGATTAGGTATGTGGAGACAAGCATTCTCATGCCTAAGGCCAATTTCCAGTTCTTTGTGAAGGCTCAAAGTACTACCACTAAAACAAAACTAGTATTTAGCAGCTGTTTCTTTCAGGTGTGTAGGAAAAATAGAATAACTGATGATCCAGGGAAAAATGTCCATTTCACATATAGTAGAATATGATGCACAAGACACTCTTGGGAACACATTAGGGCTGCTCTCTTAATTGCAATAAAATAAAAAATGCATTTTGGTGATATCAATGAGCAACTACTTTTTGCAATCAAAGAAGGATGAGCAAAAATCCATTTGGGAAAAACGTTTCTTGATTTGACTCGAGTATGTGAAAGATTTGTCAATGTAAGCACTTTGGGTGACCATGAGCTGTAAAATGCGCTATATAAATTACTTACCATGTATGTTTTTCCTTTTTGCTAGGCATAAGCATTATTTTCTCATTCTCTCCTTTTCACATCACTTATACTATTGAAAGGTTGCACAACTCACATCCAACTATGATAAAAAAAAACTACTATGTGTTAGAATGTGTGGGAATTGTGTGTGAGGTAATGGCTTCACATGTACATTATTTTAAATGGAACTCTCTTGAAGTTGTTACTGTTACTGAACAAAGCCCCATTGAATTGCTGATCAGAAATATCGCAATCAGACATTTGGCCAAAACCGTAAGAATCACATAGTAAGAATCCTGCAATCAGACATGTTTGAAGACACAGCAGCTGATTCTCACGACCCTGTCATTTCTGTGGTATCTGTCCGGAACCCTCACCCATGTAAGAGCTGACTCAGAGACATGACATTCAATCTCACAGTGGGACTCTTTCAGTTCTGCCGCTATCTGCACAGTGCAATGAAAGCAGCACTTGTTGTGGCCTGTTAAACATTAACCCTTTCATGTCGCCAGGTACACATCCACACACCTGAAGAGAGGCGCAGCTTTCAAAAAAGAACAAATCATGAGGAAGATGTATTACTAATCAAGAATCACAAGTCGGAAATACACTGGTCAAATGAAATTTGAAAACAGCCTAATGTTGAAGATGTGAGACAGGCCTCCTCTCTGACAATGTTTAAAACCAGGTTAAAAACGGTTCTGTTTAGCTGTGCATACAACTGAGGGATTTTATATTTTTATCTTCCTTTTTAATGTTCTGTGATTATTTATGATTTTAATGCTTTCTTGTTTTGTTCAGCACTTTGAGTTGCCTTGTGTATGAATTGTGCTATACAAATAAGCTTGCCTTGCTAATAACAAATGGTATTGGTGTATTAATTAAAAATACAGATAGAGCATTAGAACATTAGCATTATAGCTATAATCACTTTTAATTTCTATTGGACATATTATATCTTGCAGAAAAGAGACAATATTTTAACCTTTTAGCATGTTTGCACACTTCCTGTCTTTTTGCACACCCTGAGTAATCCTATGTGACATGAACATTTCTCCATTGTGGGATCAATAAAGTTTATCTTATCTTATATTATTAGGGGCAGTGTGTGTTTGTTTTGGCAATAACTTATAATGTGATACACGCTTTTGTCACAAAGTAGTAATAACTAATAGGCTGACCTCTGTTGGCTTTTGAGGAAAACAATGGAATCCACGGGGTCTAGTTTCTGGTGAAAGCACTCACCTGACATGGCGTAGTGCGCAGCGGAGCCGTTCTGACGCGGAAGTGTGCTCTTTTCGGCCAGTCTCATCTGGACCTGCTGCTGGACACGTCTCGACCGCGCCATTTCGTCCGACATGGAGCTCCCATTCCCCAGCTGGAGGTCCGTGGGAAGCCCGTAGGTCGTGACCGAGGTGTTGGGCTGCAGAGCGGACAAAAAGACATTCTCTGAGCTCACAGTGTGCATTGTTGAGCCGAAACTTGCAACGCGGAGGCAGATAAGAGTGAGAGGGAGCAGGTCATGGAGCAGCGACAGGACTCTGCTCTGAGTGCACGCGAGGGGGCGGGCTCTGGGGCGCGCGCACGGCACCTGACGCACAGGTGAGCTGGAATGGCTGCGTCTCGACTCCAGACAGAGCGTGTGTGCGTGAATGTCTTATAACAGTGACCTAAAGCACTTACCAACCCACAGAACAAGTGAACAAGTATATATTACCATATTATTTTCAAATACACCTCTCTCAAGTTAGCATCAAACACAATTTAGGTACATCGTTGAGTATAATGCAAATACTGTAAAGTGTACTTCAAGATTCAACATTAATTTATTATGTCTCGGAAGAATTTTTACTTGGACTCTCAGGCTGCTATATTGAAAACACACATAAGACAGAAATAAAACACAACACAGTAACACAGACATAAACCATCTCCGCTCTGCTCCAACATCTTTATTCAGGAGGTTCACAGATCTGGATAGGAACGAGTTTTCACATCGGTTGAGGTATCTTTTCTTATTCTTAGTTAGTTTTCAGCGGCCCGGTAGAAGGAGTATAGTACATGAGAGGGGTCTGAAGTGATTTTCTTTGCCTGTCTAAAAAAACAGTCTCTTCAAATATCTGTTGCAAAGATGGACGCATTCTAACTCCATAACCTTAAAGGTAAATAGGAGGATTTTCCCAAATTTTAGGAAAGAACTCCCCTCGCCGCTTATTTGACGAGCACCCATCACCAGAAGGATCGACAATAGGAAGGACCAATGGTCTTGATGGTATAGGAGGATGTAGAAAATCCTCCTATACCTATAACTGCTATATGCCCTCTAATCTCTAGAGTTCTGCTTTTGTTTTGTCTGTCGAATTTCCAAACCACAATCATACCATATCTTATTGGTACTTCTGTTGTTGTTGATATATATATTGTGAAAGGTCTGTGTTTACTTTTGCTGGCCGCGTTGTGGAAAAGTGGGGCGCGCCTGGGGAAGTGACTTCTGGTTTGTGAGTTAAGCGTGAGCCGCAGCTCATTTTGGAAGCTTGATAATAAAAGCAACAGGAACATTTTGAACAGTTTGAGCATTTCTTATTAGGTATTATAATCTGTTTTGTTATAATTGTAATGTTGGTTTGATTTTTAAACAAAGTTAGAAAGTGTAAATTTGAGCCTTTTTTACCTTGTACTGACCCAGTGGCGATTAGAGTGTGTCTTGTGTTTTGTGCAGGGTCCCTCAGCAGAACAAAGCTCCAACACAATTGATCTTATAGCATCTTATAGACCACTGTGATGGAAAGTGAAGGGTCCCTACAGACCAGTTTTACAACCACTGGGTCACCACAAGGTCAAAGATGCTCAAATTTAAACTTTTTTCCCATGAAATATTGCATAATGCCTCTTTTAAAATTTGGTGAGGATAGCATCATTTTTTAAAGGTTCAATTGTATAAAATAAAAAGGCATTTTAAATCTTTGCTTAGAATCAACCAAGAAGGTCTCGAACCCCGGGCTGAGGATTGTATGTACAACATGCAATTGATATAGTAGCTCAGAGAAAAATGCAGGCTTTTCCAAGGTTTTTTGAACTTGATGATGTGGACAACATTTTTTTATTTCTCTTTACAAAAAAAATTACGGTTTATTATGAGTGCCAGAGCTGTGCCTTCAGGGTGAGCCCATGGATGTATTTACTGATGAGACGTTAAAGTCTCGATTCAATGGCATTGTATCTTTCAGTCCTAATTTCTGAAGAAACACCTGTATTTGATTACATTTAGGATGAATATACCTGTATTTAATCCCACACAGTTAAGCATTCCAGACTAAGCCGTACAACATCACTGCCCAACATGTCCTTTAAAACAAATAAGTTCTGAGCTTTGAACTGTCAGAAATTCACAAAGAAGAAATTCAAATCTTGCAAACGACAAAGTGCAAGTGAAATATTGTACTGTTACAGGTGTGTCAAAAGCTCCCCCATTATTACATGGCCACACCTTAGTTTTGTCTAGTTTGTTTTATTTGAGCTTAGCAACTATGACTCACCCTGCTCCTCAGGTATGGTTCGCTGCGTGAGAGTACAAGCCCCATCAATTTGTGCTTTACACATTATTATAGTGTAGGTATTTCAACATGTACAGGTATAGCAGGCATACACAACGGGGCTCTCCTTGATTTTTCTCAGTTCTCTTGTTTATGTGCAAAATTAATGAATGAATTTTGGAGCAGCGGCAATTTCAGTTATCCAATCAGTTGGTAATTTCCCAGAAGAGCAACACAGACTCTTGTTGGAAATAAAAGTCAAAACAGGTTTACAATGTTTACAGGGAGTCTGCTTCTGGTGGAACATGAGCCTTGGTGAGTCGTGTTTATCAGAGCCTCAAATATATCATCTCAACTGCTAATGACCGCATTCATTCAGTGGTTTTTAGCAGATGAGTGGACTCGGGTCAGTCCAGAAGCAAACGCAAAGCTCTCATAACATCACTGAACTGTTTGAGAAGAAGTGAACTGTTGAAAAAGTGCACACCTGTTTGGTTCTTTCATTCCTCATCATTTAAGCTTTTTTGAACCAAAATTGGTCCAATTAGAGTGAACTCTGGTCCACCAGGGAATGCACTAAATGTGAGCTCAGGTTGTCTCTTTGCTCCTCCTCACATGCATGGCTCACTCTGTCACGGTGATGGGAGAATCAGCCTTTTCCTATACGCAGTACCATGGGATGATTTAGAAATACACCTCAAATTAATATTGTAAAACAGGTGGTGACTGAAACATGTTCTTGAGAGGATAATCATATTTTATACCTGTATATTTCTATATATTGTTTTCACTTTGTTGGCTGTTTCCTTGGCCAGGTCTATTTTTGAAAAAAAAGCTATCCTAGGTGTAAGTAGTTGAATGAAAAGAAAAGAAGGACCTACCATTGTAACAGACTGCTTCATGGCCTCCTCTGCCTGCGTTGTTGCTGCTTGTGAAGTGGATGATGTGATCTGGTGAGATGTAAATCCTCTATCAAATCCTTAGAGCAAAGTCACCGCCCAAAATTGAGATAGTTTTCTCAGTGGCAGGTAAATGGGCAGCACTTGAAACAAAGAGATGAGTCAAAGACCAAGAAAAAGGGTGTGTTCAAAAACCTCTACACTACAATCTCTCCATGGAGGTCAATTTCCTATGGGATTATAACGTGTTTGACCTGTTTGGTATAATTTGTTGTTTATACAGTGTTATTTTACATGCGTATCTGTGTATGGTATGTGTTCTTTGTAATATGGATTGATGTCGCAACATTTCAGTGATGACTCAATAAACGTTCACTCAGCAGATGCCAAGGTGAAATCATAGCCCTGTTGAGACGTGATGCGTGATAGTGAAGTCAGCCCAAAGGCTGGAGGAGTGACGGAGAAAGTGAGACGTGGGAGTGACGCTTGTCTGCACACTCTGTTGTTGACGGGAGCTTTTCCGTTTTCACTTTTCCACATGTTCTCAGCTCCTGCTGCATCACAACAGTCATGTTTTTATAAGATCAGGCGATGATGTATGAAATATACATCTTTACAGTCATCTTTATAAATAAATATGTCTTACTTATGTGAGAGGTTTATAGCGTGCATTCAGTTCATTACAGACCACTTAGCAAAAAACATCATGATGAAACTTTAGATAGTTTCTAAAGTTTTGGCAAACAAAACATATTTACTTGTACAAGTAAATATGTGTACTTTTTTTTTCTTTTTTTTCACAGATGATCTGTTTTTTTGCTTTAGTTTAAAAGTATTTTTTGAGTATATTTTCTTATTTTGTGTGTAAACCAGTGTGCACCAGACTATACCTTTGAAATCAAATCCAAATGGATTTGTTTGTCCTGACATGGCCCCATTGCGTCGGTGTTTGGAGAAGTACTGGTCTGATGCCAGCTGGACCTGGTTCTCATAAGGCATAAGCTGCTGGCAGAACAAACGCACACAGGGCGTGTCTCTCTGTATTTCAGGTCTGATCACTTTTTAAATGCACACAAATGCTGCTGATTGGACAAATGTGCGTTAGAGCCACACTGCCCCCATGTGGTTACACTGGGAGAATATTACATCTCAAAGAACATTATTTTTTTGTTTTGTGCAAAGATACAAGGATTTTTTTCAAGTAATTTATACTGGCACAAACTACTAGTTTTTCTGTCCGACATAATACTGAGGTGCAAAAAGATGATTCACAATTTACTTGAATTGCAGCAGAATGACAGATTTAAACATTTTTGTCAGACACATGCTGCTTAGATTATTCAAACCTGGAGGCAGCTGACAAACATATTCCATCAAAGTTTAGATAAATATAAAAAAAAATAAACTCAGACATTATTATCAAATAAAACTGGCAACATCAACAATGTCTAATATACATACACAGGCACAAAGGCATGTCTGTAACACTGCTTTAACACGTTTGAAATCGTAGCTTGTCATCAGGACTTTGTTGTTCAGTAAACTGGACTGTTGCGAATCCCACAGCACAACACCATGGTAAAGATCATCTCAAAGACCTAAACAAGAAATGCAACAACATATTGATGAATTACAACAACATATTAATGAATTAGAACAACATATTATTAATCATGCATTTTTGCTAAAATATACTTTTCCGTTTTAATACTGACCATTATAACCGCCACCACCAGAGCCGCCAGACCGATCAAATGGAGCTTCTCTGAAAACAGCTCGATGAGTTTGTGATGACAACTCTGTAAGACGAGACGGGGACATTAAAGGTAGTGACCACAAACATACGTACAAAGTCCAAGACATTTGAATGTATCCCGGTGTAAGACCAATAAATGTGTGTGTAGCACTTTGACCATGAGGTGTTACTTTCACCTGACAGGGTCTACAACATAATGAATAATTAATCATAGCCTCAAGCGCAGAGATAAGTGGCTCTTGTATTGGAAATCACAGGAAGGAAACGCGATTTATTAGAACCAAATTGTGCGAAAAAGCTAATCCTATCACAAAGCTTCAATTATGCACCCTCCCTGTTAAATCCTATTGTCATTGTTTATGCTGCAAATGTAGCCATGGCAACAGTCTGAGAAAATACAAAGGTTTTGTATTTTACTGTAATAGATACATTTATTTGTTACCAGTAAATGTGCAGTAAGTAAAGAAAAGAGGAATTATGCAGCGTGTTATCTGCAAACCCCTTACTACACCGATGTGTCTGTAAAGATACAACTAGACAAACTTTCCACAAGTTTTTATTTTTTTAAATGTGTAAGATAAAATACAGATGTAGCCCTCTTTTATTTATAGTCAAATTAAACATTGTGGGATAAACCTGGACCAAAATTCATGGCAATTTCACTTATGTTTCATCTGATGCTTTTTGTCCTTAAACGTCCCTTAACGTCTCATTCTAGTGACATTTGCTTCCACTGAGAGAGGAGAATTGTTAAAACCCAGAATGTGGTCATTCTGCAGCCTGATAGACCCCGCCCCCTGACCCCAGTTTAACCCTCCTGTATCATTTAGGTGAACTTTGTAGTTTGAGCTTTCTCTGTGTAGAGGTTGTTCCCACTTATAATTGGAGTAAATGAGTCATCAGAGCCCAAACCTACAGGGCCTTCGGTTCCAGAAAGAGTCCAGAGTTTTGATCGCACTTCGAATGATTCTTAGACAGATTCAGTTTGAATGTTTACAGAATTCTTGAGGCATTTTGGAGAAATAATAAATAGTGTAGTAAGTAGTAGTGTATCTTTTGGTGTTGTTGTAAACGTGCAATACAAATAAAGCGGACTTTGAGATTCACACGTATACCTGAGATAGTAGGAAATCCTCTGTCGTCTTTGTGGGACATAAGGTGTTAGCCACTTGCTTGAAAAGAGGTGTGTCATCCCCTTTTCCACAGCAGTCGAGCTGAGAACACAGCAGTGATTACACCAGTGTCAGTATCGGGTGCTCAGCAGGGGCGAGCCGTCGTCATGTCTCACCGTTCTGTGAAACACCTCCAGGACCTTGATGGCGGAGTCTTTACTGGGAGTGCCAGACACGTCCACGGCCTTGATGTACGCCGAGTCGTAGAAGTTGATGAGTTCTTTGGAAATCTGCATAAACATACGACATGAATCTATAGGATTTGAGTGTTTCATAATTTTAACACATGCTGGAGCTGGGATTTTTCCACTTCATATTTTGGCAACTGCTGATTGGACTGTCCTATATTATCACTTGCATTTTGAAGATCTTTGTCCGTGTCTCGTCGCTACCATCGGCAATAAGATAGGATAAGATATTCCTTTTAATAAAACATGTCTTCTTCTCTGTCTGACTCGATCCCAGACATTTTTTGTCAAGCGATCAAAACATCTTTATAGAGGCAGATATTTTTTCCTCCAGTGTTGTGTCCTTACTGTGTCTCGATTCATGAAACCCCAGATGGCCGCAGCGACCTCACAGGCAAACAGGATCACCAGGAAGAAGAAAAACTACAGACAAAAAAGCACAAAAACGAAACTCTGTATTTATAAAACACGCACATTTGTTGTGTATTGCGTGAATGGAAATCTACTTTTTGAAAAGTTTACACATCCAGACATAGATATCATTGTTTTGGACAAATACTGGCGATCAGGAATGATATCACAAACACTTTTCCCTCACTCCTCGTTAGTTCACTCATAATGGTTTTGTGAAGCCATTTATTGTCAAATAAATGTGTTTTCTATTTTAAGACATTTATTAAGACAAAAAAGTGGAAGAAATCCATTAAAAAAAAGAAGTCTGAGGCACTCTGTTGAAGTGAAAAAATATAAAAGTCAATTTTAATAAAAGACTTTAGTAGATTGCCCCGTCTTTGAAGAGCACCTGTTTTTACCCTCTGCAGCACTCACCTTCCTTGCTTAAACTAAATCCATTCATTCATAAGGAGTAGGCAGAAAAAATAATATTTTTTACAACTTTTCACGATGACATTTTTCAGTACATACTCAATACACAAAACGTTCCGTGGAATATTCCAGGGGAATAAATAGAATCACTGAACAGCACCAGTCCCATGTGATCTGTTCTTTTGATTACTATTGTTAATATTATTTATCATGGCATTTTATATAATAATTATATTTGTATTATTAAAATTGTAAATTTTCACTATTGATGTTAAAATGTCCATTTATGAAATGTCTATTATTATAAAATAAGCACATACACAAACGGCCTCCCATCTTGTTGCCTTCTTATTAACATCACCATCTCCACAAAATATGTGAGATGCATTAAAAGGTGGTGTAGTTTGTGGCAGGTGGGAGGGGCAGCAGCCCCCAATCATTAGGCCCCACTCCGCTGCCTATAATTGATTTTGTGTACAATAATGATCCATTATGATGCATTGAAAGAGTGATAGTTTAGTTGAGTAGATGGTGATGACAATGGCAACAGTAGTGTGCTCATTTGTTTGTTTCCCTCACTTTCCCAGCTACGTTACAAATCAGGACATTGGTGACGATCACGATGAGTAGCGTTTGATTTCAGCCACAATCAACTTGGCCTCTGAATGAAATGTACCATTTCATTTTGGAAAGCTTTGTGAGTTTAGAACAGAAAACAATAATCAAACAACATAAATTAAAAAAAACAACAAAACCAACAAAAAACCCAACAAAGACAAATCAAAGACGTTAGTTTGAATTTTGAGCATATGATGTAAAGAATATTGCTTAAATTTGCATTTAAATTGATCTAGCGACCATTGATATGTGGATCTAAGTCATTCCATAAATCAACCTCACACTTATAATTCTGAAATTCATTATACCTCTAAGATTGTATTTACAATGATATGGAGTGATTTTTATTTTTAAAGGGTCAGTAAACAGTCTGAACGAGAGATGCATTGTACCAGGTTGTAGCAGGAGTGCTAATTTACACCTGCAGTCTCAGAGCAGGATGTAGATAGCTCATTACCATAGATTACACACATGATCTGACTGAAGTTACAATTTCAATATCAGAAATATGGCCAAAATAATTGTCTGCCTGGGGAATGTAAAGTCACAAGCAAAACTAAATGCATGTGCACATTTTTACTATGACAGTATTTGTTTGGGAAAATGCCTAGAATACTGGAAAAATACTCACAGTTCCAAGCAGGCATTGAGACTCCTGAATGGCCCCATAGCATCCAAGGAATCCCACCAGCATCATGATCGCCCCAACAGCTATCAGAATATACACACCTGCAATAAAACATACATAAGTTTCCCCACCAGAGGGCAGCAGCACGTATTATAGGGCTGCTTCAGGTCTGCCTCAGGTCTGCCTCCTCTCCTCCCACATTGATCTGCAGCCTGTGTTTGATAATGGACTTCCTGGATAGTCCTCTTGCCTTAGCTGTTGGATGCCATGATGGTATTGACATCCTGTAGTTGAATCCGGTTTGAGACAGAGGGGCAGCTCCAGTGCAGGAAGTGTGAGACTGACCCCTCAACACCAGTGTGATCGCTCACCCTCCCCAACAGGAAACTCAAGCACTTTTGCACTCACTACCATAGAACTACTAGAACATCACTTTCCCATCACTGTTGAAAGGATAATGGAAGAACATGAATGTGTGGTTGGTTAAAAAAAGCGGAGAGAAATGTTGCACTGTGTTCGGAGGATAGTCGCTGTTCCAAAGTATTAGTTTATTGTTATTTCTTCTGTCATTGGTCATCAACATAAAAGAGTGAGATTTTAAGTAAATAAGTATGTGTTTCAAACTTATATTTCTCATACAGCAGAACAAAATAAACAAGATACAGACATTTTATTTGAAAAATACAGTTTTAAAAGGGGTTGGACGAAGAAAAGGCTTATGCTCCAAACCCCCCTCTCACGTATTGGCTTTTTTTTGAAAGACCAAAAGAATTCAAGTTGAAGTTAAGCACTTGAGACAAAAGGGCAGCTCCAGTCCAGTATCATCAAATAATAACATTTACACCTTTTTATTTAAATGTGTTTAGTATAGCCAAAGACATAGTAATATCAGTGGATACGGTTCTGACCACTATAAAATGTACAGTAATAAATATTTGGGCTCCAAGATATAATGAGATTGAATAAAAATCTTAATTTGAATTTTCACTGTTAATTCACTCATTGACTGTCAGCCGTTTTTGATGATTTCACTGATTTTCAAGACCCACAGAATATTGTGTGCTATGACTATGTGAAATATGAAACCAGATTCCGAAAGATTGGACTGTCTACTATCATCAGTAAACATAAGTTGGTTTATAGCTATTTTTTCTTCTTCTCTAATCTCCAGTTGAATAGAGGAAAGTTTAACAAAATCACCGATATCAGATAAATGCGTCAATTAGTTAAAAAAGAACAAAAAAAATTATTCACGTGCAAAAGGAATGCTTATACTGAAGTAATGTCGTAAAATAATTATACATTAAGAGTATCAGTGTTTACATTTATATAGTGTTTTTTTTCAACCCTCTTTCAAATGTTGAAAGACGTGAACTTTGGACAGAATCCATAAGCCTTGTTAATATACATTTTCCCTTTATACATAATCATTCCTTTATAGTTGTTGTTGTGTAGCTGAGCGCCAACGTGATGCACACATAGAGCACTTAAGCGTACTTGTTTGATGATAACTTATCCGCTCCATGCATCAGAGGTCGAACGGCTTGAATTATTTATTAATATAAATTATCAACCAGCTCAAATAAAGTGTGTGAGTTGCACTTTAACCGCCTGACGGACTGGTTTCCTGCATCAGCCCCAAAACTAGTTCCTTCAGCTCAGCGGCACACGGGCCTCGTCTATTTCTTTTTACGCACTCAAACACCCCATGAATAACTAATGCAGAGTGTAGTCCAGGCCAGCTACCTGACTCTGGACCCAGTCTATGCTCTGGACCCAACGAGGGAACAAGTAGTTACTGTATATGTATTCTTATTTCCCATGAATAGGTTTCAAATGTGTGCAAATACAACAAAACTACACCAGAATAGGTACATTTTTAACCTTACTCAAATCACATTGAAACTTGGGAAGTCTATACGAAGTGTTTTTAGTGTTATATTTTATATTTTATATTAGGGCTCAGTTGGTAGAAGGTTGTGGGTTCGAGCCCACCACAAAACCTACTTCACGACTTCCACTGTTGACTGCTGTCGTTGTGTCCTTGGGCAAGACACTTTACCCCACTTGGCCTGAAGCCCCCGCTGAAAGATCTCAGCTCCTGTGGACCCACCACCTGCAGGAGGATCAGTGAGGGGCTGGTGCTCTGTGTACTGGGTGCAGATTTATTGTATTGTTCCCTTGTTCAGCCTTACTTAATATACGGTATTGAAGTCTGGGGTAACAATTACAATAAGTCTCTACAATCGCTCTGGAAACTCCAAAAACGAGCAATAAGAACCATTCACAAAGCTGACTATATATTATGATCACACTAACATACAGTTTCTGCAGTCCAGACAGTTACAATTCTATGACCTGGTTGAGTTTTATACAGCACAGTTGTTGTACAAAGCAAGTAAAAATGAAGAAAGCACAATTTAAGGAGTTCTAACATCTTTAAAGTTCCAGCAGTGAGAACGACACGGAAGAGTATGTGTGTGTCGGTATGTGGGGTCTGGCTCTGGAATGGTTTGGGGGACGACCTCAAGCAAGCACAGTACTTTGGAAATGTAAATCTAAATACAAAGAATTTATGTTAATGAGATACAAATCAGATGAAACGTTCTAAATAGTGTTATGTTCCAACTTAAAAACAGAAGTCGGACTATAGATAGACAGCGCCGTAAGTAAGGCCTTCAACATTTGCTCACTGTCTGTCTTTTTTTCCCTCTGAGTGGATTTTTGCGTTGTTGAACTAAGGTTTCTAAAAGGCCCAGTAACCCAGCAATATGTGGCCACAGCGGACATTACTTCTGCCGGCTTGCATTACTATGACAACACTTTGAGGAAGTTCGTTTATTTTCCTTCTCACTATCTCCACGCAGATATGTGGAGAGGGGATAGAAGCTTAGTCCTATTTTTCTTAATTAAAATTCCAAAACGTCAACTTGTACATAATGAGAAGCAGACGAAATGACCTGCATTTTGAAGAGACGTGAACTGAAAATGTGTGACAAATAGACCAGATGGATAGTACTGCTTCATTTCTTTCATTTTTTAATATTAATTTTATAAGTAAATGCTTAAGTTGGAGACAACAACAACATTTCAAAACTTATAGATGCAAATATAGTGTTTTAAGTACTAGTCAGATATCCAGGTCTTGGTCAATGGTAGAATGAACTAGTTTTCATAACAGCTTTTCTTATCCCTAAATTAGAGGGATTCCATATATATATATTCTTAAACTTTTTATCACAAACTGAGACTTAACTGGTGTAAAAATACTAAACATATTTACTATAGATGTTTTTACAAAGGGAAAAACGTAATCTGTCACAGTCTTTAACAGTAAGTAGTAAGCTATTAAAGCTGATGTACCCAACTTTCATTACAAGGAACTATGTCATAAAATGTTTCTCGCTCTCAAAAAGTTTGGTTCTATCGCTAGGTTTCACATACTTGTATTTTCCATCAGCTTTCTTAGGCAGAAAAGTGAGCAATAAAGAGCCACCCTCTCTCAGCCAATCAGCTCTCAGCTCAAAGAGTCAAATAGTGACTCACACAAAGGCTCTTTCTTACAATTACACACAATTTGACATGATTTCTAATAAGATTAAGCCTGCATTTTACGTTTACCAGACTATTTATATCAGGACAAACAGAACATAATGCATGAAAACAAAAGTTAGGTCCCACCCCTTTAAAGTTGATACAATTATAAAGCATAGACGTTTTCAAGGAGTCTGCTTTCAGGGAGGGGGACCGCAGCAGCTACAAAGCAGCTAAATATCAGTTCAGGAAAGAACTGAAAGCAGCCAAGTCCCGGCACAGAGAACGACTACAGGAGCAGTTTGGTAACAACGATACTGCTTCTGTCTGGAGGGGCCTACGGGAGATCACCAACTACAAACCCAAAGCCCCCCCCTGTGCTGATGACCACAAGCTAGCTGACGAACTGAACTTATTTTTCAGTCGCTTTGATGCTGCCCCTGACACCTCTCCCTCCCCCACCCCCCACTACTCTAACGACCCACCCATCAGCCCTGCCCCCAGCCTGACAATAGCCGCTAAAGAGATTAAACAACTCTTCTTGAGGCTGCACCCCCGCAAAGCTCCTGGCCCGGACCACGTGTCTCCGGCCACTTTGAGACACTGCGCCAGTGAGCTTACTCCTGTGTTCACGGACATTTTCAACACCTCTCTGCAGTCCTGCCATGTCCCGGCCTGCTTCAAATCCTCCATCATTGTCCCCGTCCCGAAGAAGCCCAGGATCACAGGACTCAATGACTACAGACCTGTAGCACTTACGTCTGTCGTCATGAAGTCATTTGAACGCCTGGTTCTCTCCCATCTCAAGTCCCTCACCTCCCCCCTCCTGGACCCCCTGCAGTTCGCCTACAGAGCCAACAGATCTGTAGACGACGCAATTAACCTGGCCCTCCACCACATCCTACAGCACCTGGACTCCCCGGGGACCTACGCCAGGGTCCTGTTCGTGGACTTCAGCTCTGCCTTCAACACAATCCTGCCATCCCTGCTCCAGGACAAGCTCTCCCAGCTCAACGTGCCCGATTCCACCTGCAGGTGGATCACTGACTTCCTGACGGACAGGAAGCAGCGAGTGCGTCTGGGGAAGAATGTCTCGGACTCTCAGATTATAAATACAGGAGCCCCACAGGGCTGTGTTCTTTCTCCCCTGCTCTTCTCCCTGTACACCAACCACTGCACCTCCAGCCACGACTCCGTGAAGCTGATCAAGTTCGCGGACGACACCACCCTCATTGGACTCATCTCCAACAACGATGAGTCCGCCTACAGGAGGGAGGTGGACCGGCTGGTGTCCTGGTGCAGTGGTAACAACCTGGAGCTGAACGCCCAGAAGACAGTGGAGATGATTGTGGACTTCAGGAAGAGCACTGTCCCCCCGCCCCCACCCTCCGTGATGGACTCCCCCATCACCTCTGTTGAGTCCTATCGTTTCCTGGGCACCACCATCACCCAGGACCTCAAGTGGGAGCCGACCATCAGCTCCCTCATCAAGAAGGCCCAGCAGAGGATGTACTTCCTGCGGCAGCTCAGGAAAGCCAAGCTGCCTGCACAGATGTTGGTGCAGTTCTACACGGCCATCATCGAGTCCATCCTCACCTCCTCCATCACCGTGTGGTTCGCTGGAGCCACAGTCAGGGACAAACAGAGACTACAGCGCATTGTGCGCTCTGCAGAGGAAGTGATCGGCCGCAGCCTTCCATCGCTGCAGGACCTGTACGTCGCCCGAGCTCGAGGCCGGGCTGGTCGTATCACAGCCGATCCCTCTCACCCTGCACATGGACTATTCCAACCACTCCCCTCAGGCAGGAGGCTGCGGTCCATCAGGACTAGAACCTCCCGCCACAAGAACAGTTTCTTCCCCTCTGCTGTTGGACTCTTGAACACTTCTTAACCTGTCCCCCCGCCCTTTTAAAGTCACTTTACTGCCCATCATACTTGTCACTTTACTTCACTGTACTGCTGTCACCTTACATTGTGTGCACCATGTGCACTAGTATATTGTAAATAGTAACTGTAACTCTATTTTAAATTTAAATTTATTCTTTAAAAGTGTTTTTTATTCTTATTTTTATTATCTCTTTTTGACTGTTGCACTGAGCCAAAGCAATTTCCAAGTCTGTGACCTCCTGTTACTTACGTTGGCAATAAAAATGATTCTGATTCTGATTCTGATTCTGATTCTGAGAATATTATGTAATTTATCCACATTTTAAGGCAGCACTAGGTCACCTCTTTACAATGTGACACAAATGTTACCCGCAGCACGAGTCATATCCGTAGCTAATTCGGTGGAAGGTATTTTTGGACCTGGCATCTTCCTTGGCCTTGCCTTTCTGCTTTGTTATTTCAATTCCCATGAGACTACGCCTCTTTTTTTAGTCCATATACTCTCCTTTTAATCCCTGTCTACATATTGAATTGTGCACATGACGAACCGTATGCCCTTCACCGTCGCCTGGCCCCATGTGAAATTAGCTGAAATAGAAAAGGGGGCAGAGTGACCCCCTTTTTTTACAGTTACATCCCGGAAACAGGACCTGCGTAGATCCGCATATAGAAACCTCTGCATCAGTTTGACTTATCTGAGCTGTTGTGTGGCCAGAGGTGATGCCCTGTAACCCACACAGACGCATGCACGGGACGTTTCCATCTGAATATTTCAACAGCAACGGCTTTAGAAACTCCAACCGCTGCACTTTGAGGACGGCAGCCAGATGGTCCCACAGATGTCGGAGCGCGAGGAAAGCAAATATGACGCCGGGAAATGTGCAATATGCCGCAGAATGTCAGAAAATGTGCAGGGCATGAAAAGAAAGGTGATGAGAGGTCCCTAGCCAAATCTGAAGCATGATAATTAACAATGCTGTATTTTAATTAAAAAAAGTAGTTCAACTTAAGTGTGTGGACGTCTGCTCATGTTAATCATTCATTCAAGATTCAAGAATTTAGTTGCAGTAAAACCACATTAGAAAAACTGTGCATGACTAAGATTTTAATCTGGAGTACCATTTACCACAATTAACTATGGATTAAAATATTCTGTATGTAACTGTAATTCCTACCTCTCAAAGCTGTTTGGGGCAATAGACTGTTTTTATTCACATTTTTGCATCAGTCTGTTCAGTGAAAAAGAGAGGACCAGCTCCACTCAGCCAATCAGCTCTCAGTGTGTAAAAGTAAAAGTATAAGTATCAAATGTATATGTAGAAAGTATTGTGGTATCTATTAACTAAGTAAGTAGGTAAGTAATCTTTATTTATATACCGCCTTTCACAGACCAGAGTCACAAAGCGGTTTACAATTGTTATTTTTGGGCATTTGTCTATCACTCCACACAGAGATGAAAGTGGGGTCGCCAGTACAGGAGGCGCATGCCAGACCTATTGTACATGTTTTTAGTGGTAGGGGAAACCGGAGTACCCGGAGGAAACCTACGCAGACACAGGGAGAACACGCAAAATCCACTCAGAAATGCCCTGGTCCGACCCAAAGTACACACAACAAGACAATTTTCCCTGCAAATTATTAGTTTGTTTAGTGGGAGCGACGGCAACAATATTTATGATTGCTTTACACAAGAGAAAGTTATAAATCTATAACTAAAACTAAATCTAAAAACTATAATGTGTCTACTTCAACCCCAGTCCCTCTATCTATTCCTAGAGACAGACATTTTATACACAAACAAATCTGGGAGTTTAAACATTCATCTAAGAAAAGGTGAAAATATGAAAAGGTATCTCATATTTTCTCATCATTATTGTATTGGTTTAGATGTGAACGTTTTTGGTTTTATGAGAAAATATTCTGTTTTCATGATACATCGAAGTAAATCCTGCTTTTGTGACTTATTATAACACTGTCAATCACACTCACTCGAATATCTGAGCATGTGAGGACCGCACTGTTTGTCTAATCAGAAGAATCATCCAATCTTATTCGATTTCTAAAGCTACGAAACTCAAGAGCCGCAAGAGAGTGATTCATCCAAAGCTTTTCTTGTCATAAAAAACACTCAAATTGTTTTTGTGAGTGTTAAGGATTGAAGGTCGTCAGTGGCTGTACCTCAGGTGTTTTTCTCATAAAAAACTGGATTTATTTCACACATAAAAACGAAAACTTTTCCCATTAAAAACAGAAACTTTTCTTGTATAAGTGAATGCGATACGCCTCCGTAGAAACTGTTATGGCCTTGATTTCTTTATAGTCGTCACCTCTTTTTACGTCATATCTGCTGCCTCATGACTGTGCCACAATATGAAAATAGTTTCTTGGTGCCATGTGCTTGTTCACAATGTTATCCAAGATCAATATAAAAATAAAAATAAAATAAAATCCATCCCATTCTTTCCCCATCATGCATATCTAGTAACATTGAACCGATTCCTCATGTTGGCCTGTGTTATCCAGCAGCCATGTTATCTAAACCCATTCATTTACATCCTCACCCCAAGGCTAAGTACAAGGAGCGTATGTAACCAGGGCCTTTTATAGAGTAAAGGCTGTACTCTAGATTTTAAAGTCAGCCCAGAGAGGCCCACCCAAGTGAGATCAAGGAGAGTATTTTTTTTTTTAGAACGTTTTACCCATTCTGACATACGCCCCTACATAATTTAAGTAGCCCAGTACATGTGCGTATTATCCTTCAAATTAGAGTCCAGAGTGGATGTTTTTAGCATGCTGGCTTGTGAAAGTAGTACTTATGTATGATGGGAAATTATTCTTCGTGGCATTTTCAGTTGGATGGGATAGTGAGGTTAGAGAGGCTCAGCAGATGTTTGAAACTGTATGAATATTTTGGAAACATTAGGAGAATAGATCCTACTGTTAAAACAAATATGTATTTGGACTTTTTCTGATATTTACTTTAAAACATCATGGAAAGCCTTTGCTGCCCTGAGATTTATTTCAGGGCTGCCGTCGTTTGTTTGAAGTAAATTGAAAATCTAGTGATGGTAATGTATACTCACTTATATAGAAGGTCCCTGGTGCTTGCTGCCCCTCAAACTGAAGAATAAGAAGATTACTGGTTTGAGTGTCGTGGCGCAACCACAGTGCCACTCCTAGGATCACACCACCTGCAAGCTGTGGACAAAAATATCATTGTGTATTTTTCTTGAAACATGCACACGATATATTATTCAGTCTTGTTATAGTCCATCAGAGTCAAAGTCAGACTACTAAAGCTACGTCTACTCGTTTCAAACATGTGTGAGAGAACATTTGAAAGCCCTGGTGACCTGAGCCCGTCTAAAAACAGGGAGAATTAAAAACACAACAACATGTGTAAATCTTAAGTTTCTTTCTTGCCGCAAGAAATAAATCATGTAAAGGGGCGGGCTCTTTGCACTATCAATGTTTATATCTCAAGGTGCACATTTTGTACCACAGATTTTAGTCCATTGTTCTCCAAGCAACAGGAAGCAAAATCCTCAACATGAAAAATAGCAAAACGAGGAAGAGAGTCCTCAGAGTTTGCAGATGACAGGCAACTCTAGCAAAGGAAACACTCCATCAACTGGCCTGTCCAGGATACGCTGACATGATGTTTATCCAAAAACAAAGAGACGGATTCCAAAGAAATTACAAACGAATGACAGAAATGGACTTTAGAAGAACAAACCCTCATTAAGTAAATGAGTGGGCTAGCGGGAGAGAAACATACTTCTTTACAACAAGTAAGCTGGTAATAGTGACCCAGTTCAAACAAAGAAAGGGAAGGATATCTCCACCCAACGAAAGCCCTAATTTCTGTGATCGGCGAAATTGTAGAATCCTGCCGTGTAACAGCCATAAAGGAGAAATATCTTCATGTAGCCTACTGCTTTCTTTTTTGTGGTAGAAAAAGTGACGTAGCAGTGACCATAACACCCCCATAGCAGTGACCATAACACCACAGTCTGTTGATTATAATGCAGAATAATATTATCAGTAAAAGTATATTGAAGTGTTAGTATTTTCCTTGATGTATTGCAATGCGGTGAACATTAGTTTCAGCATGTACAAGATACACAAACCATACATGAAACAGAAATTTATAAAAATGACTCACCCAAAATATAAAGTTTAGAAAGAACAACATGTATTTAATACACAGGGTGCAGCCTGCCACAGCCATGTCTGCACGCTCTTCTCAAAGACTCAACAGTAGTGTGTAGTTCAGCTCAGTGTGTCAGACTCACAGAAGCGTATCCAGCCAGTGTGCAGCCTCCTCAGAGCTCCTCCTAAACCCAGAGCTGCAGCGTGGGACTAGACCTGCCCAGGAAGCACAGGGGGAGGACCACGAGGGCCCATCTGGAGGCCACTACTCTGATTTTTACCTTGACACCACCAACTAACCATACTGTGTGATCGCATTGGATTTCCTCATAGATCATCTTGACGAACAAACATGACAGTTAATTACGATAAGAAAACTACCAGTGACAATAGTCGGGCTGTAATGAAAGATGATTTGGCCGATTATTCTTTCAATTTGATTACTTTAAATCCTAGAAGCTCAGTGATATGTGATTTTGTGTATTATTTCTTTCACATTTAACCAAAACAAAGCTCCAGTGCTGCCTCAGGAGAACATCTTTATAGAGATGACATGTTACACTTGTTTCACTTCATTCTGCAGTCATTCTTGAATTATCCAATTCATAAATTTCTTCTCGGCATGTTTAAGATAAGATAAAAGATAAGATGCAAAACGCATTTCAGATTAATGTTGCTAAAAACTGCAAAAGGCTTTATGCAAATATGGGACAGGACTCTTCACTGACAATGTTCAGATCCAGGTTAAAAATAGTTCTGTTTGCTGTGCAGGCAACTGATGAGGACTCTTTTAATGAACTGTGATTATTATGATTTTAAAACCTTTCTTGTTTTGTTAAGCACTTTGAGTTACCTTGTACATAAATTGTGCTATTACCCATGCAAGGCTCATAAAACAATGAATACATTTTTTAATTATTATTATTTAAATAGTAAATTAGTTGTGATTAATCCATTAACCTGTTACAGTCATTACCCTATCAAAGAGCAATGATAGCATTTAATTAAGCCCATTACCCTTTTGTTTGTCATCAAACAATACTACACTAGAGACCCGTCAAAACATATCAAACTTTTGGGGGGAAAAATAAGCAATTACAGAAGCATTTTTGGCAATGAGCTACTTCGCTCTCTGCCTTCTAGCTTTGATTGATGAGACTGGGCTGGTTTTTTCGGGCATGTTTATTTCTGCAGCTCCATGAAGAGAAACTCTGAAATAACTCTTCATTGGAGACACAATGCAGGAGATGATGCTAAAATGTTTGGATGTAACATTTTGGACCTTCTGATGGGACTGTGGACCTATCCCCATGTCTTGTGTAAGTCTCTCCATGTACAAGTCTCTCCATGGTCCATCCGAGACATGTTAGTCCCATATGAACCAACTCTGACTCTGAGGAGCACAGACACTGGCAGCTAAAATATTCTTGAAAATGTGAGACAGGCTTTTTCTCTGATAATGTTCAAATCTAGATTAAAAACAGGGATTTTATCTCTTTATCTCTCTTTTTAATGTAATGGACTCTCTAACATTCTACAACATGTATGGACATGTATCAACATTCATGTACATTGGTCAACTCCATGCGGACCATGTTCTTTATTTTTTGTGTGGGAACGGTTTGATTCTCTGATCTGTGTTGACGATTTCAACGGTTTTGTTTAGTCCTCTGAGATAACTAGTGATTTAGGGCTACGAGAATAAATTGAATTAAATTGAATTGTTTAGTTAAGCACTTTGAGTTGCCTTATATGTATGAACTGCTATACACATAAACGTGCCTTGCCTTTCACCTCCTGCTAGTGAGATAGGCAATTACTGTGCACCAAAGACGCCTTCAGACGCCTTCAGACGCCTCAACTAGATGGTGCGTGTTTTAACCATCGCCCGCTCCTCTCTCCCTCACTGGGCATGCTCCATCTGACCAGAGGAACATCTCGTGTAACAGGCAGTTGGGGCGTTTTTCTTTCTTTTTGGAGACCTGCCTGCGTTTTCATTGCACATTTGTTTAAAACGCCCACGTCTGTTTGCTTTCTCCTCGTGCAGACTCCACTCACATTGTCCTATTCTGCACAGCGTGGATGAAAGGCGGTCCTGGTCGGAAGTGTGAGCGACACAAAGACCTGAGGCGCGTCGTGCGGCAGCTGCTCGGGGAGAGGGAGGTGATCTGAGCCCGCGGAGCTGAGGCAGTTCCGGCGCTCTCATCAGCACCACCGCATTCACCTTGTTTGAAAGTCACTAAGCCGTTTTATGGAGAACGAATCCATCAGCGCAGCCTGGGGACTCCGATGAGCTGGATTTATCTGCATGTGAGGAACAATTGTCCTTTTTTCCCTCGACATCTTGGATTTGGCGATGATGTGACGTCCATTCCGATTGTGATGCTATTGGCTGTGTTGGTTTTGGGGTTTTGAGTGTGCAGTTGTGCGCCCTGAGAGGCGCGGTGAATGGCAGGTGTTTAAAGGGAATGAAGCCTGGTGCGCGTCCGGAGAAATCATTTGTTTTCACAGTTGGAGCAGCCGGCAGGTAGCGCGCCTTCTTGCGTAATAGTTTGTCCAGTTTCTCTGCTGTGGCCCTTGTAACTCTTGTTATGAAGAAAACTTATTGGAGACATGCCTAGGGGCCGCGATGGGCCTGAGCGACGACACGGATCGCATTGTGATTAACGTGGGAGGGATCAGACACCAGACATACCGCAGCACTTTGCGCACGTTACCCGGAACCCGCTTGTCTTGGCTCGCCGAACCTGATGCGCCCAATCACTTTGACTATGACGCCAAGATTGATGAGTTTTTCTTTGACCGCCACCCGGGCGTCTTTGCGCACATCCTCAACTACTACAGGACAGGTAAACTGCACTGCCCCGCGGATGTGTGCGGGCCCCTGTACGAGGAGGAGTTGGCCTTCTGGGGCATTGATGAGACTGACGTGGAGCCGTGCTGCTGGATGACCTACAGGCAGCACCGGGAGGCAGAGGAGGCCCTTGATAGTTTCGGCGGGGGAGGATTGTTAGACCTGGTGAATGAAGACCATGAGCCAGATGCAGATCACACTGAGGATGATGATGAGATGACACGGAGGCTGGCGCACGTAGACCACACGGAAGTACGCACGGGGAGCCTGTGGAGCAAGTGGCAGAAACATGTTTGGGCTCTGTTTGAGGACCCCTACTCCTCCAAATATGCAAGGGTGAGTTGTGCCCAGAACGTTTGATCTTAAGCACCATAATCAACCTCATAATAACTTCATCATTGACAGCATCTTCTGTGCTGTGACTGGCCAGTGAAGTCCCCTATACATGCAGACATATACAGACATAAATCATCTTCAGTCATCATTGTCATGTCATTTGATCCTTTGCCATTGCACTAAAACACATGACTCCAAATTGACTTTCCCTTTTTGGCTGATTTTAAACGGTGCATTAAGTTGTAAATGTGTCTGATTCCTTTGTTTGGGAAGAGAAGGATTAATGGATGTGGGAGGGTTTCATGACCTTGAAATGGCTCTCATAGGGGTCTCCAGTCCTTTGTATGTATGGACCATAGAAGCTATAGAGAGAGGAAAGTGATAGGGACCCACCCCCCTATTAGGAGGAGGTGGGAAATGGAGGGAGACTCAAGCAACACCTCATCTGTGAATATTAAAATTCGATGTGAGAAAGGAACCACCCCACAGATTTTGTATTGACGTTTGTAGGGCGACGGGAGGGTTTTGTTAAGCGGTTGGTACAAGAGGGAAGGCAATCCGGCAGAAGCTGTGAGAAGGAATTTGTATTTGTAAGTGCCTGTGCCTGGTTATGTTGTGGGGAAGCTTCCTCTTGTGCCTATAGGACTGCAGTTTATACAATTCATCTTTGATTTAAATTAAATCTCTATTTTTAGCGTTTTCCAATCTTTCCGAGCTATGGCACACCTTCTTCCTTGATAACAAACACAGGGCACACCTCCAGCAGCAAATTAATTATTATCAACGTGTGTTATATAGAAAATCAAACAAGCACAAAACAAGTCTCTCACATTTTTCCCATTATTTTCTTTTCACATTGTTTTCGATCAATGAGTTGATATTGGGTCATTTCCAAAGGCACGGCAAAGCACACTTCAAAGCACACTGGTCTAATTGACTGTTTAAATTATTATTCATTACCTTTTGTGCTTCTGGAAAACCCAGAGCAAGAGTTTAAGGTTTTTATTCACTCTACAGGTTCTATATGACTGTATCACCAAAGGAAATACTTTGTTTGCTGTTATTGTACAGCCCTGCTACTTAAATATGCTCTATTATAATGACTATAACAACAGTATTATTTTATCATGGCATTTCCTGCGTTCTAATCGTTTGATTGTCTAATCTGTTGTTGGCGAATTGACAAATTTGATAAAGTCCTCCAAGACCACTGTTGTTGTGATTAAGGGCCATACAAAAGTAAATTGAATTGAACAATAATCTGATCTATAAAAACAACACAGATTGCAACGCACGGGCTGGTTTAACCCATCCACAAAAATATGGTTCGGATTTTTTTACCAGAATATTAAAACTAAAAAACTAAAACCATAATTTGAAATCGACACTGATACTGCTCCATGAGACTGATGCGAAGATTAATTAGAAGTGAGCCCGAGTTAATTACTGTGCGCTATTCACAGTGGAAAAAGCAATGGAAAAACCCTTGTCACTCTATGTGGGCATTGCCAGCAACAGTAAGACGTAGCCAATAAGAAGCCATACATTATGCGCCTGTCCCCCCCCCCCCCCCATACTCACAGACAGCATCGAGCCGCCTCACGGTCACAAAGACACATCATTTGAGCCTTGGTTCAATACATATACGATACCAAATGTTTTACAGTCAGTTGGAAAGGATAAGAGAAGTTGGAGAGAATGTCAGCTAAACTTCTTTTTTCTTCATTTGGGAAGTGATTAAGATTAAGATGAAGAGACCCTTTATGCGTCCCACAGTGGGGAAATGTCAGAGTTGGATCACAAGTTACAAAACAGTAGGAATGAGGAGCAGACAACACAAGATAAATGAGCAATAACTCTATACTAAAATAAAATAAAAACCTCTTAGCTCTAGCATGAAGAAGATAATAAAATCTCTATCTTTAGCATAATGAGTACAAAAAACTAGCATAATAAAAGTATAAAATCTCTACCTTTGGCGCATCAAGAAGCAAGTATAAAGTACTGTGTATTCTAGTGCAAGTATTATATAGTTGTGTTTACATCTGTACATGTTAGCAGCACGAGGGTCTGGGACAAAGTGACACACGTGATTCTATATTGCACCTTATGACATAATTAAAGTTATTATTGCAGTAGAGTGACAGTGACACATGTAGTTCTAAATTGCACATACCCTTCTTTCTATAAATGTAACCAGATTGGGCATCAAAAGTCGTACATTACATTTCTAATTAGTCTTTGTTGTATTGGTCTTGTCATGCACTGTTTTATGAGTGTGGGTTGCCAAAACAGTCCCATTACATAATCCACAAAAACAAAAACAAAGGAATGACATAATACTGCAGTCAATCCATGAAAGGATAATATTTACTCATGACAAGAGACAATGTAATGATACGGGAATGTAACCAAAGCCCTTGTATTAGCACAGGCTGTGGACCAGTGGACAAACAGTGAAGGGAAGTACATGCACGCTGTGATTTTCTCGAGTCCATGCAGAATTGTCAGTGACGAAATGTTAATATTGTAATGAGCCTGTTTTCCATTGCACTACGGACACAGACTGTGAGTGGTTTTCTCAGCGGAGAGGTGTCCCCTGCCCGGACACGCCTGTGCGAGGGCCGCAACTAACGGTTATTCTTTTAATTAATTCATTTGTTGTTAAAACATAAAGAGTATCTCCGTTTGACCCTGATAAAGCTGGAGTGACGGGACTGGCAGACATAATAAAAACAAGACAATGACACAAATATTTATTATCCATGTAGTTTCAGCTCTGTTTGAGTCTTAAAATCTCACGTCACTACTCATAATTGTAAAAATTCTTAGTAGTGAATTATGAGTATTCTTCTGGTCTTGGGCCTACAGACTTTTTAAGACTTTCACTCAGCACACTAAGTTGCAGTCTTGTATGAAATGTGTTATATAAATAGATTTTATGGGAACAAATCTACAATTTTGAAGGGAGTGTGATTATGTGTGAAGGGAGGGAAAAAGAATATATGAAAACTATACAAAATCAGCGACAGTGGCTCAGTTGGTAGAGCATTGGCCTTAGAGCCTGAAGGTCGTGGGTTCGAGCCCACTGTAAGACCTACTTCACGACTCCCACTGATGTCTGCTGTCGTCGTGTCCTTGGGCAAGACACTTACTTTGCCTGAAGCCCCCACTGAAAGATCTCAGCTCCTGTGGACTCACCACCTGCAGGAGGATCAGTGAGGGGCTGGTGCTCTGTGTACTGGGTGCAGCTCTGACTGCCACCCCCCTGACCCAGAAATGGGTTAAGGGGAAGAAAATGGATGGATGGATGGATACAACATTGATCTAGGACTCATAATTACTTGATAGCAGATCCCCACTGTCGTACCAAGTGGTGGCAGCATCATGCTGTGGAACTGCTATGCTTCAACAGGGACAGGGAAGAGTGTCAGTTAATGAGAGGTGGAACTCTGCAAGGTTTATATTCCAAAACATATGATTGTGTTAGAATGGCGCTGTCAAATTAGGAGACTCTCCATCTAAACAGACAGAGCTTGAGCTGTTTCACAAAGAAGAATGGACAAAACAATTACAATATATTTATGTTTTTAGTTAGTCTCTATTATCCTGCAGTTCTTTTTAGTCAGTGGAACCACTAGTTCTCATTAATTGTGTTCACATAAAAAGAAATTCTCTAAAAATTGTCTGTAACTGGATTTAATATGAGCAGTGACTTGAAAATGTATTAGGTTGAAGAGAAACAAGAAAACCAAATTCAACTTGACAAACTTCCCAGAGCAGGAGCTTAAAAAGTCCCAAAACTCTGGGACTTTTCCCTCATTCTGATTTTGTGTAACAAAGTACCAGGAACTGTAGAGGTTTCTACAGTGTGTAAATGCGTGTGTTGCCACTCAACCAGGAGCGCTGCACTGTGCTACATCACTTACCCCGTAAAAACCATCTTCATGCATGAGCACACTGATATTGATTCAACTTTTGTGATTCATAGGATGATTAAGTTGCCTGTCTATTCCTCCGTCTCCCAATGCGTCCTACTGACCCATTCAAGGAACATTGTTTTTCCATTGTCATAATACTACGGCGTAATCCATCATGAAAACTATTAGATCATTCTACAATCAATGAAAGGGATGGTTTGCTGGTTCTATTACATGTTGAATACCACAGAACGGCCATAGCTTGTGATGAAATAGGATGATGTAATCAATATGTAAATAAAGGCTATAGAAGTAGTGGGAACTATAAGTTTCTCAGAGAGCTTGATTCGATTCCCAGGAGCTGATCATGTCTCTGTGACCTTCTACTGGAAAGATCGAGTAGTGACCAAGGAAAGAGCCCTGGCTAAATTTAGTCCATCTGGTGCTCACCCTTGGAAATGTCATGATCTTGAGATCGTTTGAGCATGCATTGATTGGATCCTTTTTACAATTACACTTTTGAATGAAGTGAGAAGGGTTGATTGTGAGCTGCTGTCATTTTTTTGTATATATATATTTAAGATGAATAGATTACGTTCATGTGACTTAACAACATTTCAAAGAGCCATTTGGTGGTCGGCAGCTGAAAGATCTCCTGGTAACTATGGTAAATGTTAAAAGACTTTAGCCCAAGTTTAGAGGCAATTTCTCTGTCATTTCTGTGCCAATCAACATTACACAAAACAGTCATCAAGTTCAACATCTTTGTCTGTACATGTCAACTATGAGCTCATTATTAGAATGTCTAGAAGTGGTGACAATATTCTAGAAACATGCACAATTTATTCATTAGTCTAGAACTTCTAGACTAATGAATAATATGTCAGGTTTGTCACTATCACTATCAAATAATGGTTTGAACATTTTAACATTTTCTTTTTAAAAATGTATTTTTAAATGTGCTGATATGTATTACCCACTATTCAATAGTTTCTCTATATATGATGCAATGCAAATGGTTTATGTTTGGTTCATTTCCTGTTTTATTTTGTAATTTGTTCTTTAGTTTTACTTCCTGTTTCCTGATTACCTGCCCCGCCCTCGTTAGTATCACGTTAGTCTTGTGTATTAAACCCTGTGTGTTCCTTCACTCCCTGTTCTGTTATTATCATTCATTATTGTCTGTTTTAAATCCTGTTGTTGGTCCATGTTTGGTTATTTTTTGTGTTTACTCTGGATTCTGTTTTGTTTTACATGTTATTAAAGTCATTATTTTTAGCAGTTCTGCACTTTGGGTTTATTTCCTTTTGAAACTGTGACAGCAAAGTCTGTCAAAACAGGTATAGTGATTATTGCTGACATATATCAAGATATGAAGATTATATTCTTCCCATTTATAAAGTTAGATCAAGGGATTGGGTATATTTTTATACTTGATATTAGATCTAAGCTACTGCTTATTTTAGACTTGACACTGTCACAGATCAAATATTGAAATGCATTGTTCTTGGCTATAAATGGATTCTGTGTTCTTCTTCTCACTCTTCTCTCTGTCCTCTTTTGTGTCTTATGTTATTATTATTCCCCTGCTCAGTGGATCGCTCTGGCCTCGCTCTTCTTCATCCTGGTCTCTATCACCACCTTCTGCCTGGAGACCCACGAGGCCTTCAACCCCATCATCAACCGCACAGAGCTGGAGCTGATAGACAACGTAACCGTGGAGCGCATCTACCAAGAAACCGAAACTGCCGCCTACCTCACCTATATCGAAGGCGTGTGCGTGATATGGTTCACTTTCGAATTTCTCATGCGAGTAACTTTTTGCCCAAACAAACTAGACTTTATAAGAAATGCCCTCAACATTATCGACTTTGTGGCCATCCTTCCTTTCTACCTGGAGGTGGGCCTCAGCGGCCTCTCCTCAAAAGCAGCTAAAGACGTGCTCGGCTTCCTCAGAGTGGTGCGTTTTGTCCGAATCCTCCGAATCTTCAAGCTGACGCGGCACTTTGTTGGACTTCGAGTTCTGGGCCACACGTTACGAGCCAGTACCAACGAATTTCTGCTTCTCATCATCTTTTTGGCACTCGGAGTACTCATATTCGCCACTATGATTTATTATGCTGAACGAATCGGAGCCAACCCCAACGACCCAAGAGCCAGCGAACACACACACTTCAAGAACATCCCCATTGGATTCTGGTGGGCTGTGGTAACCATGACGACCCTGGGCTACGGAGACATGTACCCTCAGACCACTTCAGGGATGATGGTTGGAGCCCTCTGTGCCCTGGCTGGTGTGCTGACCATTGCGATGCCCGTCCCTGTGATTGTCAACAACTTTGGAATGTATTACTCCCTGGCCATGGCGAAACAGAAACTACCAAAGAAAAACAAGAGGCATATACCACGACCACCACATCTCGGATCTCCCAACTACTGCAAGACTAGCATCAGCTCACAACACCCTAGCCCTGTGGTCGTCCACGATGATGTCTTCGAGATCAAGTTTCAAGGTAGGTGCTATTATTAGACAGTCTGGTAACAGTATACATTTGTGCAAAATAGTAAGACTGATCCAACTGTGCCGCTAATACAGCTAAGATGTTTAGAATTGGGTCTTTTAGGATTGTATAAAGGTATAAATTGTCACATTTGTTTTACATGTATTGTTTGAGGCCCTTTTTTGGGGCCCTATGGGGGCGACAGTGGCTCAATTGGTAGAGCATTGGCCTTTGAGCTTGAAGGTTGTGGGTTCGAGCCCACCATGAGACCTACTCCACGACTCTCACTGATGTCTGCTGTCGTTGTGTACTTGGGCAAGACACTTAACCCCACTTTGCCTGAAGCCCCCACTGAAAGATTAAGGCTCCTGTGGATTCACCACCTGCAGGAGGATCAGTGAGGGGCTGGTGCTCAGTGAGGGGCTGGTGCTCAGTGAATTGGGTGCAGCTCTGATAAGGGGAAGAAAATGGATGGATGGATGGATGTTTTGGGGCCCTGCATGAAAGCTGATGTAGCTTCCTGGGTTTTTACAAAACACCTACAAACTTTACAACTAGAATGTGTATAACTTGTATGATTATAAAGTTTTGTAAAGAAAGAGAAAGATAAATGTATAACAAGATAAAATCTATATATTTGCAAATAACTGAGGATTTACTTCTGCAGTCCAAAGAGAAAGGGAAAAATTATATATATTTAAATTAATAATACATATGTTATTATGCATTTGAATGAGTGCAACTAGAAATATTTTTACTCATATTAATTTTGCCTATTTTTTTCACAAGACCCAGAATTTTTTCAAACCCTGGGCCGGATATTTGCACACTGTTGACTTACAAACCAACCAATAATGACTTTTGACTGATAAATAAATAACGGTAACAGTGCAGTTTTCTTGTTTTACGATATAAGACATTACTAAACTCCTAAAATAGTGAACTAAACCAACCAGGATAAAACCAGGACTAAAGTAATTGAGGAAAAAGCTATGTTCATATTTGGAAGGACGTCCCGTTGAATGGGGCTGCGAGAGTCAGACAGAGATGAGAAATCATTCTATTGATTTAGTTTTTCTTAACACTTTGATCCACTCCTCTGCGATCATGTAGCAGTAAAGTTGATAACCGTCACTTCATTTGTTTCTCTTATTCTATTACCCACAGCATTAACACTATAACTCCCACAGCAGTCAATTTGACGGCTCTTAATTTTCAAAGAGTAATTATGTACATTTTTGGTCTTTGCATTGACTTTGCATTCCTAATATGGCTGTTAAAACTTTTCCAACAACATTTTTTGGTGGTAATTTCTCAGAATTCATTGCTTTAAATGAGTTACACAGTTTAAATGACAGGTCTGGGAGTTCTAGTAGTTTTGATATTGATATTGTGAGGGTGATAAGCGATTGTACATACTGCATAATAATAATAATAATTTCAAAATGTCAAATCCTCACTTTAAAAGTATTTTGGTCTGTTTCCTGCCATCATCTTTATTTAGCAATTCAAGCATAATAAAAGGCATTTATTCCTGTTTGTAGATGTAAAAATAGTCCCTTTTCAAGCCATTCGTCAAACCTCAGTCTTTGATGTTATTTCTAGACTCCAAACTGAACGGCGAGGCAGCTAATGCGGCGTTGGCGAACGAAGACTGCCCTCACATTGACCAGGCGATATCTCCAGAGGAAATCTTCAGCCCCAGCGATAGAGAGCGCCCCTGTTTCTTGGTCACGACGGCAGAGCGCCCCAACCACAAGGGGGGCAGAGTGCGCAGGGGTACGTACAGCAACAGCCAATCACAGGCCGCTGTAGGACACTGACACCTGACAGCACAAACAGGCCCTTCTCTCCGCTGTCCACACACACACACACACACACACACACACACACACAGACAATAAAGCCAGACACTATAACTAAAGCAGTCCATGTCAATTCGGAAGTAAACTTGAACATTGATACTAAATGTGCATGGTTTTGCTTTAAAAGTGGATTGTGCAACTTTTCTGACTGTTGCCATGGAGATGTTATTGCCTTTTCAGAATGTATCTCAGTATGGTATTCATTTTGATGGCAGATCAAAAGCCAGAATTGCTAAATTGGGTCTTTACGGCGATGTTTATGGATAAGTGCGATGCCATGCTGCGCAACATTCGAGGCAAAACAACAGATGGACCCAAGCTAAAAGCAGGAACCAGGAAAGTTGCATCGTTCGCCTTTGAAGATATTTCACTTATTTGTAGAAAATATAACTATTTTTTAATCAAAATGTTCAAATACTTCAATGAGTAAAAGTTGAATAAACCTAATCAATTTACTCAATCGGTGAGGCGTAATATAAAAAAAAAAATCAAGAAAAAATATTCAAAATGTTTTTTCTAAATATGGTAAAAGATCGTACCGTATCCAGCACGATTGTTCCTTTAAGAAACAATAATAATGAAATCCCCATTAACACATGAATTTACTCTGTGAGGATGGAGTAATGAAAGTGCAGTACTTGCTGGACTATAAGCTGCTACTTTTTTCCCCCAATATATGGTAACCCTGCGGCCTCTATAGCCATGCGGCTATATATAGCAATATAACATTTTTTTCTTCCGTTAGAGCTCCCCCTTCAGGAAAGGATTTGGATGCAGCTCTATCAGCTGTTGATCACCAGAGATAATGACGTAACACACATTCCTGCTTCAGTATGTGTTTATGTGAACAGTGGAGATTGTTAATTTGTTTATTTATTAGGGCTGTTGTCATGGAGTTTATGGACTTTTGACCTGCAAGTTTAAGTGGAAATGTTAATATGAAAATAGATTGGATTTACCACAGTCAACAGTGCGTTAAAACACCTCCGCATGTAAAGCTGTCGTCTATGGGCTTTGTTTCGCTCTATCAGCTGATGGTTAAGTTTTACAGTTTATTTATTTTTATTATTGGACCTAGAGTCTGTAATACATTTTAATTGAATGAATTGAATTACATTACAATATGAAAACCTAAGATTTTGCTTGTGCGGTTGTGTGCAGGTGCGCTTAATGATCCAGCAACTACTGTACATATAAGTTGAGATATGCTTTTAGAATTAAATAAGGACAATTACTTGTAGTGTTGCGCTACCAAAAGAAATGTAACAAACAAAAACACATGGTTACGCTGAGCTTCATAATACTGACTGTAAATATGTCACTGATCTTATTAAGGCAAAGCACAATCACTACTAATGTGAATAAGGGTCACGTTGACACAATCTATTTTTTGATACCATGTATTTATTTAGTCGTGAAAAAAAGAAAGAAGCTATTTTCAAAATTTCTAAAGGAGTAATAGGGAATGTGTTGTCGTACATACCTAAGAGTATTTCTGTGCGATGTGTGTTGTTGAACTTGTATGTGTTTTATTGATGACTTAAACCATGTAGAATCTTGGGAGTACATTGACCATAATGGTGCATGAAATGTCTTGCTAAAGGGTGCTATGAGTTTGGTGAAGGAGCACAACACAAACCCAGGTAGGGCCAATACTCTAGAAAAACAAATGAACGTGAAAAATAGTGAATGCATTTGATAAGCTGAGTAAAACATTACTTTCAGTTTTCTAAAAAAAAGTTCCTCAAAATGTATTTTGTGAAACTGTGCAACCAGCAAAATATCATTTACCGACTATACTCATCATTTATATGTATATTACTGTTTATATCAAATCAGCTGCTATTGTAGTTAAATATTTGGTCCACTCTGTTTTTAAGCCAACCTCCAACAAGTCACTTTTGTACTTCCTCGACTGGTTGTTGGCTTAGCTTTGTCCATGTACTTTCTACCTTGATTCTTTAAAACACCCACACATAGACCAATTATGTAAAAGTCGACAATTTAATTTTGGTGAAAAAAATATTCCGGATTATTCTAATTTGTCTTCACAAATGTGTTTGGGTATGTAATGCTTTTCAAACACAAGCAATTAAACTGTAGAATTAAATACAGCTAACTAGTACCTCTATGCCTCTTCATTGCAAATGAAAAAGAGAAGACCACGCTTGCTCAGCCAATTAGCTTTTAGGGGAAAATAGTGGCTCTTATAATGATAGCAATGATAATGTGGTCGGATTTGTTCACCAATTTAAAAGACTTTTTGGGCAAACAAATTGTACAATGTATGACAAAAGTAGGTATCAAAGCTTTAATGGAGCCAAAGCACAACAGGACCTGGATCTTTTCCAGTCGAGTGTTTTACTCTGAACCATTCTAGTACCACCCACTGCATGCTGTACTCCTGGTGCATGGAGAATATGAACTGTCAGGGTTGAGTTGGCCTGTTTCTCTGGAGACAAAAACAAGAAAGCAACAGGTGGGGTGTTTGTTAGTGAGGAAACGCCAAAACTCATGTGTCATTATTCAGTGTACTCAGAACGTTCTCTGTTTTTCAACTGAAGGTTATGAAAAGCCTTGGAGCCTTAACAGCATGTCTGGCATGAGCGGGGATGCCTCTGGAGTGTCCTCAGTGTCCGCCCTGCCCTGCAGCCCACCATGTCTAATGCAGCACTCACATTCTCCCATCCCATCCATTATGTAGCATGGTTCAGTAGCATTGGAAGGCCCGTCCACACCTTCTATCTTTCCAGTTTTCTTCTTTATTTTACACCTTTGCTACTGGGGTTTCATTCAACTTTTTATTTTTCTGAAAATTGAAACTGGATCTAACCTGTGCAAATCCGTCCCACCTTGGGTGTGTCATCATATCCTAGTTTCAAAACATCGGCACAGCCACTCTGCATGGGTCACCTCTTGCTGACAAAGCACTCTTCTATAGCTACCACAGACTCAACCTTCTTTGTAGATGCCATTGCCTGTTGCTTTTGAGCTCATGTATCTTCTGCTAACGACTTTTTCCCCATCTGCTTTTACTACTTTGTAAAAGAATTGGATTATTTTAATGTAAAAAATGCTGGACATAAATGATACATGACACAAGCATATCCAAAAGGAACCAATGCCAGCTGTTAAGGAATCTCCTCTCAAGTGCTTTGTACGTTGCAAAGTAGAGACGTTATGGTTTTAAGTGCAGACTTTGTTGTTTGAGTGGCTATTGAAACTGAACTTGATATTCACAATGTCCAGTGCAATATGAATATTATGACAATTCACATTTGTGATTTTGCATCAAATGTCAGAAAAAAACTAAAACTGTTCATTTGCATGAGCTGCATGAAATGTTATGTTCAAAACAAAGCCAACTGTGTCACACTTGTAGTTGAGAACTATTTTCTTTTAAGAGCTTGGTCATTTTATGCATTTTGAGACAGCTTTACAAGAGATTTTTATGTAGCTGCCATTCTTTGCCTTTCCCCAAAATCATAGATTTATTTTGGTGAATTTATTTTATTGGGGTCTCCAGCCAATACATTGACTTGAACAGCCAGTTATAAAGCCAACACATGTTGTGAGCATATACCTTTTTAACTACACATTTGAAGTTTACGCTGAGCAGGCTGCGGAAGCTGTTCTGTCTACATGAAAGGACTTATTAATTATGACATAGTTGTGCCTTCATACCCAGTGAGGCAAAGTAAAAATGCATTTTAAATGTTTTTTAAGTGCTCCTAGTGTAGCATCTGTACACTTATCAATGCTCATAACAGTGTAACAACAGTTTTGTTCTTCAGGTGCACCTTTGGCACCGGTGTTGTATCTTTGCCACATGATAATACCCTTATGTCTATTACAGTTGCACCTCAGATATTATGTATATCTGGAGCCCACAAAGATCACCTGTATGATGAGCACAATATATTATTAGGAGAGAGAAGGGCAAAATGGTTTATCCAGTTATAGCCGCAACACAATGACAAATGCAGTTTGTCTGTAGGTCCAAGCATCTGTAACTGTTACTAATGATACTGTCCCTTACCTTATAATATGCACAACGTTTCCTGGGCACTTTAAAATTCTACGATGAAAAGAAAAATTAAAATATAGCTACTCATAAGACTTGTTTTTATTCTGACTGAGCATAGTTTTACATTTACAGTCTCAAGTTGTTTGTGGTAATTAATGGACATTACACATGAAAAAAAGAGATTTAAGGTTGATGAAGGAGGTGAAAATATATCATGAAAAAAGAATACAAGATTATGTCACTATGGGCATGTGGGACTTCTTGGGGAAAGGTAAATGCATGTGTAATGTATTTTACATTTATGCAACAAAAAAGTATTTAATTAAATTCTGTAAATAAAAAGAAATCCATGCATGAAATAAATTTTATACACACTGTTTGTTTAGACTCTTTTTATTCCACAATACATACATGTTTATGATTTCTTGCCAGCGTTTGGCAAGTGCATTACACTGCTGTTTGACCCTATGATTCTCTGTGTTGGTACAAACTTAACAGGAGAATATTACAGAGAGCATGATGCAAAGTAGATCAACGCATGACAATGACTGATTCTCAAATAAGACGCAGCATGACTTGGGCATGATTATTAACCAATACTAGTCCACCCAAAATGATCTTTGTCTGGTGTCTTGCCGAAAGCATGGGAGGTACATGGTAAATGTCGCATTTACCATGAAGACTGACGGAGCACATTTTCTTTACTGTCGGCTAGAGTCATCATTCTTCTGCCTGCGCCACAGAGGAAGCCATCATCCCATTTTCCCATCATTACGTCATTTTTGTGTAATAATTTCTTTTACTATTTTTATGTTTATAGAGACGCAGCGACAGCACCGGAGCAGACAACCAACAGAATCAGTTTGTGTTATGAACCATGGTGTGCCAACCACTATGTGTATGACCCATAAAGGCCCATCTCCCACCTGATAGTGCTGTAGCCTTGTTCTGTGTGTTATTTAGTATTGAAAAGGGTGGCAGTGACCTGTGCATCAAACTCAGCATAGATGTAGCAGTTTTGTTGTGGAGCCTTCTGTAGCTCAGTACCTGTGACAGTTACTGTGTTGTATTTTGTGTGCCTATTTCTGTTGTGTGCCAGTGCTGTAAATATGCTTTGGTGTGTACAAATGTTTGAGTGATCAGCAGATATATGTGTGCTTTCTTTGTTAAACAAAAAGAAATGTTGCTCCGATTGAACTAACCTAACCAGGCAAAAACCTGACACTTGTCGTGTTCACCAAATGATGCAGATGAAAACAATGACCTGCACGGTCATGTCACTTTGTGTCTACGAGGATAGACATTTGCACTACTTTGCACCAATGGACTTTTAAACATTCCTTTGGCATGTTTCAGATGACTGAAGGAACACTCACGATCAGCACCATTATTGACACAAACTGAGGTCATTTGATAATGCACCGTTTCTTTCAAAAGTGATTATTAATATTCAATGTTTTGAATGTTGATATATCAATGCTACTGCTCTTAGTAACACATTTCAACTGACAATCATTTAGAAAGTACATGTACTTGTTTATTTGCCATTTGGTATTTTAGTATGCAATACTAAGGATTGCCAAAACTCCACCATTCTTGAAAAGTGCCTATGTTGAACTTTTATTGTTAACAAACTATTGTAACATATTTCAAAATAGAAATTAGTTTAAATTCAGACATTGAAAAACGCATAGGGCAGTAGAGCAAACGGCCATCAGCAGTGAATGTTCATCTAGATCAGTGGGAACCCTTCTTCCAAAATGGAGACTAACTAATACATTATAATAAAAACATATTTATTATGATTTAATCTTTAAGTATTTTAAATGATATACATTTGTAATAATTAGGCTAGTATTTGTTCCTATAGTTTCCATGACTAATCCCTGTGCGACAGATCTTGCACAAACTTATAGTTTCCATACTTTTTATGCTTTTGTTTTGATCCTTTGAGAAGTTTTAAGGACCCTCCGAGAGACCTCTGGGTCAGAAATCACTGATTTAGATGAAAGAATTACCATTAGAAGTAAGGGACCACTTTTCAAAACACTGCAAACTCACTGCCAACGCTCGGTTTACTGGTCAGGTACAAGAGCTAAACACACAAACCAATAAGACACAAGTGCGGTTATCCAATAATGCAACAAAGAGGCAACTCCAGGATGCTGTTTAGACTTTGGATTGTGGTGGGCACCGTGATTTTGTGGTTAGTCATTCAGTGATTATTCTGATCCAATTGTTGTTTAGGGAATATTTTGATAAATGTGATAAATACAATTCAGATTGTACAATAAAAATAGTGATCAAATAAAAGAAAAACACAGAAATTATTACTTTTCAGTGAGTCTTTTTCTTTTTACCAAATAAGGTATTAATTTTATAAGGATTTAGTTAGAATGACAAATACATTTAATGACTTTTACATTTTTAAAAAAGCATGGCCATGAAAATGGTTTAAAACAGGAAAGACGTCCTAAGTTATGAGCATGTCATTGCCCTTGACCATGTGCCGCCTCAGGCCTGCTGCTGATCCCCAGGTGCTGCACTGCGGACGCTACCGCCTTATACATCTGTAGAGGCAACTGCCCAAGATAAACATTCTACCACAAGGAATTATTCAAGTAATTGTAAGGTGTGAGAAAGAGAAAATAGTCAGTATGACACAAGCTTATTAAATGTGTGATAAAAAAAAAAATGAGGCAGTGGTAAAATAAAAGTCTTTTCATGTTAATGGAAAGCACAGATTGACCGCCTGATCACAACCATAAAACTGCTGACATGTGAAGATGAAGTCGGAGCACAGGAGCCCATACCTCAATGCGCCATAAAAGCTTCATTGGTGATAGCAGGTGGTCTAACACCATATAAGGCTATAGGCGCTGCGGCATGTCCAGCAAAGCCATCATCCCCAATCATGTCCATCAAAGAGACACACTAGAAGAACGATATATAGCTGTGCTCCAAAGAAAGCATATCAACTGCTCTCCATCAACATGACAGTATTTATGGCAAATGCAATGTAATGCCTGACCTTTGCAAAGGGTTCAGGCTGCTTCAGAGGCGAAAGTTGTCTAGCTGTTTGAATAAAAGCACATGGATGCATAGTAAATCAGTTTTTAGTTTTGTGAAATGTTAGTGAGGTAGTGTCGCACTGCACAGCGCCAAAGAATGTCCAGCTCCGCACCCAATAAGAAGAGGGTCGACTCCTGAAAGGAGACACGGCTCCAAGACATTAGTGTGTGACCCTTCTCCGCACATCCCATGTTCGTTCCAGCCCCAAGAGAAAAGACTGCTCCCTGTAAAATAGAGGTCACGGATCAGAGGAGCTGACACAGAAGCCACAGCCACAGTGGAACAGACGCTAAAATAAAAACCCAGTGTAAAAAACTCACACAATCAAAAGTAATCATGCCATAATCAAGACTCCTCACAGCTGGAACTCGTAGTGGGTGTGGTCAGGATTGCATCGCCGCTGAGACACGTGCCATGGCAACACTCTTACCTAATAGGATTCATCACCATGGCAACAGAAGAGCGCTTGCTTTCTCAAGGGTAACGCATGCTTTTCCCTGCCTGCAGTTGTGTCTTTTGTGCCTTCTCATTATTTCATCAGGGAATTATTTGTCTTTTGCGCATTTAGTGCACCACTTGAAATGGTGTCGTCACAAGATTGGGCCAACGAGGCAGTCATCAGTCAAATAGAGAAGTTGGCAGTCATCAGTCAAATAGAGAAGTCTGTAAGTGCAGATGTGTCAAACACTGGAATCGGGTGTGAAGATAGCTTGTCAGCAAAATTACTTAATTTGTAAAGAATTTTGGTATTGATTTTAGAGCCCCGCCTAATTCATGAACTCCGACTATGGCACTAGTGTTTCCATAGCAACAAAGTGCAAGGACAATAGTGTGAATAAAATCAAGGCATTCAATCCAAAAGCATTTCCCTGTAATCAAATCTTATCTCTGTATTTGCTCTTCAATGGGAAAACCAATTAACAGTAATAAAATTGTACCCTTTGGGTTATTTATTTACCTGTATCAACAACACAAAGCAGTTGGACCATAGTCATTCGAGAAAAGAGAAAGCTCCCATTATGGGAGCTTTCTCTTTTCTCGAATGACCACCATTGATAGCTTGTGAAGAGTCTGATATAGATGAGAAAGAGGCAACAGATATCAAAAGCAGCATCCTATGCTCCCAGTTCCTTTCCACGTGACCTACTTCAGCACCAGAAATAGCTGCACTCAGGTCTCTGCTTCCAATCCCATTTTGCCATTTCATTTCTCCATGCTTGAGAAAAGTATATATACAAATAGTGCAGTCACAGAGGCAGTGGTCACGGGTCATACCTACGCATTTTACTGAAGTAATGCAATTTGAACCGCCTTTCAACTTTGAAAACCTTAAATGAAAATCCTTATTTGATTGATATAATAGATGTAAAAAGTATTGAGACAGTGATCTCCAATATTTAAGCTGTGGTGACCATTAGCCATCCACCCCACTCCATGTGGGGTGGATGGCTAATGGAGCAGAGTGAGGGGGTGAGGAACTCGGCGTAGAGCAACCTCCACGTTGAGAGGTTCAGCCGAGGTGGCTCTGGCATATCCCAACGGAAGGAGGCCTCAGTGGAAGACCCATGTTCATGGGTGACTTGGGGGTAGCGTGACTACCTCCTTCACGACCCAGCCCCGGATAAAGTGGAAGAAAATAGGTGAAGGTACATCCAATAACACATCCTCCAGTTACTAAAAATAAATGTTTACCTCACTTTCAGACATGAGGCGGGCCCTCTCACTCACTGGCACAAGTGACTAATATCACTGCCCTAATGTCAGCGGCCATGTACAGTAATAACATGGAAAACATGTTATAAACATGTCAACATAAGCACAATAACAAATAAGATAAAAGGTTAGAAACAGGTACAGTTTTGTACATACAATTCTAAAACCAAATTATTTAAGTATGAAAGGTGCACCATAATAAACATCTTACTTTCAGCAGACACTTGAAAATAAAATGTTTGGGATGCAAAACATTTATAAGCCTTGTTTCCAAGTTTCTGTTCTTATATGTATTGTTTTTAAACGTTCATGTCTGCCGTTGTTTCCAAAGATAAAGACTGCTCTATGAGCTGCTCTATAAACCTTCAACAGGAAAAAACAACTGTAACTGTGGAAAATGCAGCTCTTTCACAGGCCTGCTCAGATAATTGCTTTGGTCAATGATACCCATCTATCCCAGCTGTAATTACTTCCTGTTGCAAAGGCCACAGAGAAATGAGCTGACCTCAGAAATCCTCCGCCACTGCGGGAGGAGTAATATTAACATTTACATTTACAATTCATGCACAGGGAAGGATTTGAGCTAGCTAGTCTCAAATATAAGAGGATTTTTTTGGTAATACTCACCAACAATTGCAAGGCTGTGTTCAGATCCACAAGCAATCTGGAGGACAATATAAATGCATTAAATATTTTACAATAAATTGTTTTACGAGTCTTTAAATGTAATATTAAAAATGTTGTGCCTAACAAAAAAACTTATCTTCCAGTTAATGAATAACCCTACTTATATTTTGTCTATTTTACCTCCAGCTTTTATGACAGGTGCCTGTCCAACATCTTCTACAAGATTTCCAGCCATACAGCTGCCATTTATTTAAAGGTTAAGAGCGGCAATCCAGCACTAGTCGCACATAACTCTTCTTCTGGGAAAGGGGACCTCTGCCTTCACCAACTGTAAGTGGTTGTGTCCCATGTGAACCATTATGACGGAAATGTGTGTTTCAAATGAGACACAGTGACGGAAGCCCTGCACAATACCATCTCAGCAAAGTTATTATGAACCTTTGCCTCTCCCTGCTGGTCATTATATGTACTACAAAAACACAAGATCAGCCCTTTGAAACATATCCCCACTACTGCCACTAATGTATCGAGAAACCATTTCAGTAACATTAAAAATACATATTTCATTTGTGCAAATTTAGTAGTTTACTTCAAAATCATTTGGCTCCAACTCTAAGAAAACGATTGACAATTATAGCCCTCAGATGAAGATGAGAAGGGGTGTCATTTTGGTCTAGGAAAAATTTAAAAGATGAAAGCCTTTTTATTTTAAAGCCATACTTTTGTATCAAGTTATCCATTATTTTATTTTTTGTGGTAATGGAAAGATTTGTTAAGTCCCCTTTTGAATCTGTGGTTATTTAATACATCTTCTGGTATAGTTTCTACGGAGGCGTATTGCATTCACTTATAAAAGAAAAGTTTCTGTTTTTAATGGGAAAAGTTTTAGTTTTTATGTGTGAAATAAATCCAGTTTTTTATGAGAAAAACACCTGAGGTACAGCCACTGACGACCTTCAATCCTTAACACTCACAAAAATTTGATTGTTTTTTATGACAAGAAAAGGTAAGGAAGTATTGCTGCCTTGTATGGATGAACCCACACAAAGGTCTTACCTGTGTGGCCCCACTAAGGACTTTGACTTCTGCAGGGAGGCAGGCCTCCTGGCTGCTACCTTCTGCCACCAGACCATGTGACAGCTTTGAATTCAGATTGGTTGTTATTGTGCGGCCAAGCTGTCCATAATTTTGTCTGCCCCATGTAAACACCTGTCCACATTCTGAACAAAAGAAAAAAGTAGATAATTTGTTCCACATTAAATCTTGTGTTTATGATCTCACCTGTTTGAACAACATTATGAGTCCATCCACTCCAAGCATTGATTATTTTGGCTTTACCCAACAGGCAACGCTTTAGAAGGATGGGAGTGGATACGAAAAGATCAGAGGAAGTTAACTGGCCATGCTTGTTGCTTCCCCACATATATAAATCTCCATCTTCTATGGAAAACACAAACCATAGGAGGGATTGTGGTGTGTGCTGCTGAATATGGCGGCTCACAACTCTGATTATGTTATATTGTGGTTATTGTTACAAAAAGTACCTGTATGTGGCTATACCTGTGAGATATAAGCAATGTGCCATTCCTGCAGTTACCATACATGGCTTCTTCTCCTTCAACCCTAATGTAAAAGCAATTAATTAGATCCAAACAAAACCTGATAGCTTGACAATGCTGAGGTTCTTTACCTGGGACCAGACATGGGAGTTTACTATTGAACTGTGCTGGTATTTTGCAAAATGGTAAAGCTCTTTTCGCAAGACTGAAAAGACCAGTTCCCCATTGATATACAAAGCCTGAAACTGAATGAAATGATTGTGTCTGATTTACTTGATCAGTCTACCCCAAAATATGCATAGACAAGAAAATTATATACAAACCTGTTACTGCAAGTGAGTGTCTAAGGCCTGCTGCAACACTCACCACTGGTTCTTTTATGCTCTAACAGAAAGAAGAAAATAAGTAAATATTAAGTTAAAACCAAATCATAAGGACATTTGTAGGCTATAATATATTAACTTACTTCTACAACAAGCCAATTTGCTGAAAGTTGGACAGCCTCTCCGATGCCTAGTTGTCCAAATGTATTGGATCCACATGCCAGTATTTTACCAATGTCTGTCCACAAGAATAAGTATGTTAGATCGCACTGCTACACTAGAACTCAACATAGAATTCAATATACACATAAATTTTTGCTAAGAGAAGATAGTATTAGTAGTTGCTAAGTGTAGATAAAAGAAATATTTTTAACTAAACCACGTCATCATACTAACTGCATAAAACATATTGGCTAGTTTGAATTTAAAAAACAATCCTTTACCACTGGTCCAACCCAACAGATTGGTGAATAATGTGATAGTGTAAACCAATAAAGAAGGCTGTAAGTGATACAGGTCAAGTTTGTGGATATGTACTAGAAAACTGCTTAGAGATAAGATCAAATGAGCCCATTTTGTTTCCTTTGATGAAAACCAGAGAAGCACAAAGGGTTGTTGGTCACATGACTTTTGTCACCTCAAACTGACACAGCTCCCCACAGAGGTCACTCTCTGAGCATGTGATACATGTGTAAACGCCTCAACTAAGTAAAAAAAACAAAAACACATAACTCACCTGTCATAAGAAGCGTATAATCCCAGCCACAGGAAACATTTGTGATTTTCTGTCTGAGACCAGGACAAGGCTCAAGTGTGTAGATGTTTAAGGTGTGGCCAAGACCAAGTTGCCCTTTGTTATTTTGCCCACATACAAGCACTTCACCATATTCTGAGGAGAGAATAATCATAATCAGATTGATCGCAAAAGCAGTCGTATTTTTTTACAATCGATTGTCATGGGTTTAATTAAACATTGACATAGACCATTTACAGAAAAAACGTCCAAGTCGCGCAGTTCTGGCATTTATGAAAAAAGCAACAATTCTACAATAAACACAGTCCACAGAGTTAAATGGAAACTGTTTCAAACAGTGTGATGGTTTTTATTGCTTTGCGGTGAGTTAAGAAAGGAGTATATTGCTTATATTGATTAATTTCGTTGAAATATGTTGAAGAGGGGCTTTATATTTGAAATGTTTGATCCAGTGTACGAGTGTGTACCGTGTCACCCACCGGTGATCAGCACGGAGTGCCCCCCTCCACCACTGAGCGCCACGGGTCGGGATTGTAAGGCGGTGGTGTCTGCTGCCTGTGGCCGAGACTGGTCCTCCGCATGTCCCTGTCCCAGTTGACCGTAACTATTAGCTCCCTGCGGGAACAGACGAGAACAGTGTTCGAACTATAGGCCGTAGAGAGTAAAACAGTCTATAATCATGGGGCTAACATGTAGCTACTCGCTAGCATTAGCAGTCGTGACGTGTGGGCATGTCGTAAAGTTAACATAAGCTGTGACAGTTATTTAAACAGTGATTAAATCGTGTCGTGTGATTTGACATCGGCTTTACCATACCAGAGAAACCAGAACACACGAGAGATCAAATAAAACTTACCCATGTATGTAAACAAAACTTTACCGGCGAGTTGGTTTCCAGCTCTGCCATAAGGAAGTCATTTACGACAGTGTCGTAATCTATTTTCTTAGTCATTAGATTCATTATTTATAATACATCCATACAGACACATACACACATACATATATATATATATATATATATATATATATATATATATATATATATATATTTCACTTGATATGCGATTCATAAGATATGTATTAGTTAACCAGAGAAGTTGAGAACAACTTGTCAGTAGCTGTTTTTGTATATAGTTACAGCCAAAACAGTTGTGTGATTATTTATATTGTGAACCAACAATAATATCCAAATTAATTTTATTGTAAGCATAAGGTCATACAGTGAGACACATTTTAATATTTTTAAAAAATATATATGAAATAAAAATCCAATGTTGACATTTGTAGAGTAAAAAAATATTTTCATTGTAAACTACTTCCATTTACGAACTAAGCTATAAACTACTCATTATAAACATACATGCCTTTGTTAATAATAACGTTGCACACCAAAAGCAACAAAAGGCATATTACAAGGGAACACCAACAACTAACAATAATACAAAAATAAACCATAGCAAACCGTATACCACATATGATTGTAAGAGGAGTCAATGAGTACATTTTAAAACCAAATACAATTAATTTCAGACATAAGTTAAGGTTCAGCACCTAAACCTTTTTTTCCAAGCAGAGCCCAAGTGTAGTGACCAAGGGTGAGGGACATGCAGTTTCTGCTGTGGTCACCACTGCAGTATGATGGAAATAAATTAAATCTTTTTGCTAAATGCAAGTTAGACACCCAGCTGCTTGTTGAGCCGGTTCAGGGCATCTCCAACAATGTCAAGCTCGTGCCGAAGCTCCTCCACCACGCTGTTGATGCTTGTTGTGTCTTTCAGAACATCCACACTCTGGGTGTAGGGGTTGTACCGCACAGAGAATGGCCGCTTAATAGTCTTGGCAAATTCCCTGAAATATATCCAAAATAAGTTCTCCAATGAAGCACGTTGTTACTGTCAAATGATCCTACCTCATTTTGACTTTGGCCTCTTCAAAACTGTTTGACACAAAGTAGACATCCTGAAATGTTGTGATAATGCATTCTTGATTGCATGTAACTTTGGGATCAAAAGACAGTATTCTTGCATTACCGGAAAGTGCATGCTATGAAAAGAAAAACAATAGTTACATAATTGTCATCAAGAAGGATTTGCAACAGCACAGAAAACTTACTTTAAGCTCACTGATGGATGACAGTAGACCTGCTCCATAGGCTCGCAAATGGCCCTCTTGTTTGCATAGGCCAAACTCCACCGTGAAGAAATAACACTGAATGTATTCAAATGATTAATTATTAAAACTGTAATTAAATACATAGATACAACCTTCCAATGTATTCATAAGGGCTACCTACAGTTGCCAGTTTCTGAACGGATTCATCTGATGCGCCCAAAGAAGCTAGGCCAATCTCCTGAGAAAACTGGGCAAAGCTGGGCTCAGCCAGCAGTGGGACATGACCCAACAACTCATGGCATGTGTCCCTGAAATAGAATAAAAAACATACATGTATTTTCTCTACAACCAGAGCATGGAAGGAAAGCTAATGTGTACTTACGGCTCAGGAGTGTATAACGGATCTGAACTGTGGCGCACATACTGAGTGCAATGAAAAACCCTGAAGGCCAAACCAGCGAGGAAGTCTCGAGGAGAAAGGTAACCGGCTACAGGCCTGATAGTGAATCCAGTGCGCTCTGAAAACACATGCACACTTGATGTACAATGCAACAAAACATAGATGACCGTTTGATAGTTTTGCCATCTGCATTCACAATGAGTTAAAAGTACTTATGCATGACAGACATTTCAAATAAGTTATTTACTGTGATATTTATTAAGCAGCAGGGATCCACATATAAAATGTATGTTTAAAAAGTGCTGTCAAAATAGGCATCTTCCAACATGGTCATTTTATACAATACCTTTGAGAAACCGTGATACGTCCTCCAGCTGAGGGATGTTGTCTTCTCGACATTCACAGTGTTTGGACAGCAGCGGCAGGTTTTTTAAATATTCTCTACAGGCGTGGGTGGGGTACAACTGGTTTAACTCCCTGTATACAACCCCCCAAGTCTTGACCTCCTCTTCTGTGAATTCAATACAAGGAATGGGATCTCCACTGCACAAGAGAAACAACACATATTATATATGTAGTAGATACATCAAAGGCAAATGTGACAATAACATGTACAACATACTGTTTGTAAGACATTGCGAGATCTGCAAAATGTTTTCTCCTCTTTCTGTAAACATTGTCCTTAAAACCCTGAAAACACATAAATATTAACACAAATACAGCAACATTAATCAATACATCTGTTGACGTTTACATACCGGATGGTCTGCATCCAACTCAGATCCATACATTAGCACACGATTTGCACATTTGTCCAGATCTGAAATCTTCTTTGGAAACCAGGGTACGTTGTATGTTTCTGAAATACAAATACACCATAAGGTATGAGTTTGAAAGTTAACATGAAGGTAAGCTTGTATCTTAGGGTCTTTACCCTCTTCAGAGATGCAGGAGTTATCAGGAGGATCCATTTCAACCACATTTACATGGTTTCGAAGTAGCTGAATGATTTCGCTCAGTTGTCCGTTGTTGCTGTCACAGTCGACAAAGATTTCAAATTCTGAGTTGCGTTTCTTTGACTTTCTGGATTCTATGTGGACTAAGTTCACATGGTTTTCCTGCATTCAAACAAGGGTCATTAGGTTTGTTCAGATTTAATGAATATAAGTATCATTAGAAAAGTTCATACTTGGAAAAGTTTAAGTGCTTTCACCAATCCTCCAACTTCATTCTTAAGGGAGAAGATTATTGTGGCTCTTCCTTTTTCTGATTCTGTATTCTTCGTTTCGCTGTTTTCTTCAATTTTTGAAAAAGTAGATTTGTTTATCTATAAATGAATAAGCATGTGTTATTCGGATCAGAAGATCATACATTGCAAAATATATTTCCCTGTTTGTGTTTTTTTGTTGTACTGAAACAGACCAATATTTTTGTCCGCACACAGAATGGATAAACATGTCCCATTCATTCAAATAAACAAACAAGACTGTCATGAAAAGCTGTTTGACAAATTGTTCAGCACCATGGACAGCTCACGGGTGCACGGAAGTTCAGGAGAAAAGCATGCCGGGTCCGCGGATAGTAAAACCTCATAAGAAAAATACTAGGCAGCACAGAAAAGGACTACAACTGGAAGAATGTTGAACAACACCGGTTCTAAAGCACTTTTGTAGTGGGCTCGCCTACCATGTTTCTCCCCTCCAGCATTGTGGAGGCTGTGAAGAAGACCCGTTTTATGTGGGCTCCGAATCGGATCCCCGAAAGCATCGGTGCCATCAGTGCCAGAGACAGTGTCGGGTCAAGTCGCTGTGCCTCGATATAATCAAGATGAGCTTATCTTGTCTCAGACAATCGTCTTAAAGCAATCTTATTATAGGTCTACCGTAATGCATGCCTCCTTCATCTATGTCCGCCACCACTGTAATATAGGCCAACTAGAACGCCTAAATTAACATGTTGATTGTTTTCTTTCCTTTTCTATATTTTCATCCATATTTCTCTCTTCTTTTTGGTTTTGTTTAAATTACATGCATTTAAAGTTTTCACACAGTTATTTAGCGCAGACTTCAGTTCCGACGGTGCAGGATCAAAGGCGGAAATCTATAATTCTCAAAAACGATCAAAAAATAAATGTAATGGAGATCCATTGTAATAACTGTAACCCTATTATCCCTTTGACGCAAATGACCTAAAATAGATTAAATTAATCTGCGCTGACGGCTGTGTTGGATTAGATACACCCAGATCAACACCACGAAGTGCAAATAATGAACTATTAATGTAACTGGCTAATGTAATAAATGGGAAAGTTTGCCCAGCCCACGTTGCCTACCTCATTATTGAGAAACTTCTCATCAAAGCCAATATTCATCGAGTCAAAGGATCTTCCTCTTCTTGGCCCTTCAAGTTTGTACATTATCAAGGGTTTTTTTCTTTCAGGCGAATGAACGCAGGTCTCTTCCGATCTCACTTCTACAAGCCTCGTGCTTTGCTATTTAACTCTCAAAGAAAAGAGGAGGGGGCTCGGGCAACTAATCAGGTCATCCACTCCACGCAGGCAAATGGAAAAAGGCAGCGTGTCATGCGTCACAAAGGTGAGGGGAACTTCTGCACCTTCCCTTGCTCTAAGACCCCTCTGCTTTACATTCATTTTGTTTTAATCGTAAAAATTTCAAAATGTCAGGATTAACATGTGTGTGTGTGTGTGTGTGTGTGTGTGTGTGTGCGTGCGTGCGTGCGTGCGTGCGTGCGTGCGTGCGTGTGAAATTAACATTCTCGTAAACATTCAGACTCATTACACCCAAAAGTGAGACCAAGCTTTCATTTACAATTACTTAATAAATTAACGATAGTATAACTGTTCTAGTTCAACTTCCAGCAGTGCATGTGCGTGTCTTTATTCCTATAACCTAAATACAATATCTTTTGACACTGACTAGAGGTCCAGGTTTAATCAGATTAAAGTACAGCCTATTAGCTTACTTAACTATCCTTAAGAATAATATGGAAACGGATTGTGAGCGCTAGAGCCATCGTATCATTTTTATCAAGCCTTTTTTTGAAAACCTTTGTCTTTTGAGTGTTAATGACTGCAGCACATGGCTCAGGTGGACAGGCCCATGTGCTTTACACAACCAGGAGGTAATGAAGGGAACTGCCTCTTTCAATTTGACGTTAGATTGCTGATGGCACCGGTAAATATGTATAGAGACCAAAAGTAAACATGTTGTTACTGAGGATATGCAGTATAGGCAATGGGGGACGAATCAGATCATCAGTTCAAAATATTGTTACTCTGAGAAATCTTTAAGCACATCCCCAGAATAATGGGATGTTACAATCTCTCTCACAACCATTATGCCACTAAATCTCTGTCTGACAAACTATGTATGAGACAGAGGCGCAGCTCTTGCTATAGTTTGCAGATGGAACCCCAAAGCAGAGGCAGGTAACCTAAGAATTTTAAGTTTATTCACAACATTAGCAGGGAGCAGGCCGTGAGAGCGACTTCATTAATATTTGTATCTATTTGTTTATTTATATAGGACCGTGGGTATTAATGTATATATTTTACAGTCATGCTCACAAACACACTCATTCAACCCTCACCCATTGTACGTGTTTGGGAGAGCATGCAAACTCCACAAAGAAAGGCCATGTCTGGAGGTGGCATTAAACCCAGGACCCTCTTGCTGTGAAGCTCAAGTGCTATCTGCTGCACCCTTCAATCTTCAGAGACGCTTTGTGCTCATGCTTCCTGCTGATAGAGTTCAGTGAACAGGTTGTTACAGTAGTCTGAAAACTTGTGTAGATATATTTGATTCCGTTTTTACGTGACAAAAACCTGCAAGCTATTAGTAGGCTGAAAAAATAAATAAAGTGGTAAAAGAGATGGCAAACAAGCACTTTTGGCAAATTTGTCTGTTTGGAACCAAAGAGAGAACGCACTGGTGAGCTCAGCATCACCAAAATGCTTGGAAGACAAAGATCCCAACTGGACAGAAGAATTAGTAGGCTGACCCCAACAATCATACTGGGGTAAATATGAGACAAGGATCAACTTCTACCAAAATGATGGTAAGAAAGGAGTCTTGATCTGGTTCTCTTGTTTTTACAGTGTTGTTGATATGACCGCTGTGCTGTCCAAAACCGAATAATTAATCCTCAAGTGATTTGGGCCAGCTTCATGTGAAAGCCAAGTTCCATGTGCCTCCCATTGCTGCATGACCTGTGCGACGCTCAAGGCCGGGCTGGTCACATCACGGTCGACACGGCCAGTTACACATGGACTGTTCCAACCTCTCCCCTCAGGCAGGAGGCTACCATTCAGACCAGAACCTCCCGCTAAAACAACAGTTTCTTTCCCTTTGCTGTTGGACTCATTAACACTTCATTTACCTTGTCTCCCCGCTCTTTATAAAGTCACTTTACTGCCCTTTATAAAGTCACTTTACTGCCCTTTATGAAGTCACTTTACTGCCCTTTATAAAGTCACTTTACTGCCCTTTATGAAGTCACTTTACTGCCGTCACCTTACTGCACTGCTTAATGTTTTTGTATATTGTGTGCACCAAGTGCACTTGTATATAGTGATAATTGTAATAATTTTACTTTTTATTTATTTATATTTTAGAAAATCTTATACTTGTTTGCCTGTGCATACAACTGAAGGATTTTATCTCCATTTCTAATGCACTGCTGTCATTTATTTATTTTTTTTAAATTTCTTGTGTAATTTTGAAAGTTTTAATGGTTTTATTCTTTTGTGTGATTTTAATGTTTTAATTGTGTTTTAATCTTTTGTGTGATTTTAATGTTTTAATTGTGATTCTGGTGTTTGTTTTATGTGATGATTTGTGATGTGGACTGTGAAGCGCTTTGTGTTGCCCTGTGTATGAAAGGCGCTCTACAAATAAACTTTGATTGATTGATGATTGATACTTTAGAAATGTTTTATGCCTTATTCTTTCTCTAGTTTTGACTTGTTTGCACCGAGAGCCAAAGCAATCTCCCAGTCTGTGACTTCCTGTTACTTACATGGTAATAAAATTATTCTGATTCTAATTTGATTGAATTTGAATTTCACTTGAAGAAAAAATTGAAGCGATAGCATTGTAAAAAGAATACTGTTCAAGGGATCAAACTCAGTAATTGATGATGGTGACATTATCTGGCCCTCCTGTCTGTTGTTTACCTTGTGTTTGGAGGGATGGAGATCAAAGACACACACGGCCCCTTTAAAAGTGAACATTTGATTCATGAGAATAAGTCAAACTCCCCCGAAAGCAGAAAGCAAACATAGAGATTGTTCAAATAAAGCAAAACACATCTCCATCATATCATTTCTTAATCTGTTGTCACATGTTGGCTTTATGTTAAGTCAAAGAGCCAATAAGATAAGAAGATTAAGAGATCCTTTATTCGTCCCACAATGGGGCATTTTCAGTGTTGCATCTTCAGAACTGGACAGAAGAAATTAGTTGCACACAGCACAAGATAAAAGAACAATAATTCTGGATAAATAAAATAAAATCGCTAGAATAAGAAATAAACAAGTATAAAATCTCTACCTTTGGCATAATAAGAAGCAAGTATAAGAGTGTGTTCACAGTAAAGTGTCAATTAAAGTATCTGGACTTTAAAATGTTATAACTTAAAAACTAAAATTACTATCATAGATTGGAAACAAGATTTCAAACACAGACACACCGAAGAGATAGTGTGGATAAAATCACAATATATTTTTGGCGACATTTTAAACGAGCAAATTAGCCTCTGATTTGACCATTCTACTGTGACGCCACATAGAACATAAAATGTCCTCAGTCTGAAAAAGCAGCAAATGAAATCCCACAAGATTAACATGGTTAACACAACATAAGTAAGTCACTTGATTAAAAAAGGAATTGTTAAAAAGAATATAATTAAATGACTGGTTTCACATTTAATTGGTTGACTATATGAAAGTATCACTTTCTTTCTACTCCGTGTAAAAAAAATAGAATCTCTTAATCAAATGTGGACATCTGAAAATATTTAACAAACTTCCGCAAAGCTCATTCCGTGAAATCATCACGTCTGTTACATAAAATAAACAGGGCCGCTATAGGAAACTTGTCTAATGTATAAAACTGTTATGTTCTAGCAACTTCTAATGGACAAAGGAGGTGTTTGGATACATGAAAAACATATAATGTCTTCTGATTATTAAAATCTAATTTAGTAATATAGTAATATACCGTATAGTTGTGTGTTTACATCTGTACATGTTCGCAGCAGGAGGGTCTGGGACAAAGTGACTCAGTAGAGCAGCAGTAACACATGTGGTCCTATATTGCACATTATGACATTATTAAAGATGCACAGATTATTAAGTAAAGTACTGTGTTAATGTTCCAATAATGATGGACCTGACTGTGAAGATTTGACTCAATATTGAAGTGTGTTTCCAGTAAGCAGCCAATACACCTTTTCAACAACAAACTAAAGCCTACAGTGAGCTCTTCCACAATGGGACTGCAGTCTTTCAGCAGGTCTGTGACTAATCAGAGCGCTGAATGGCCTGTTGGGACACATTTCCCGCACCAGGAGCATGGTCCTTGAATTAGTTCCAATTCTTTCATTGCTGAACAAACATGTGTCACACGGTGAGAGGCCGCAGTGTAAACAGGATCAAACTACAGCTAACATGAGCCCCTTGTAAACATCTGTCACACTCAATATATAACACATGAATAGGCCCAGAACAATTAGATTGTTGACGTAAAATAGAAGCAAAGGAGTGAGATTGTATCATGTTTTATTGTCATTTTTTTGAATGAAGTGTCATTTTCCATCAGGGACAAGAGAGAAACGAACACAAAAGAGGCAACGTGCAGGTCTGCTCATGCCGCTCCGTCCATTAGGTGTCCAGGCAACAGGTTACTTAAGACGAAAGAGAACAGGAAATATAACCAGTGTTGGGTACAATTCTTTGAAAATGTATTCTGTTCCAGAATACTGAATACATTAAAACTTTATATTGTTTGTATACTTTTTTATAATAATTTTTATTTACAAAAATTATAAAGGTTAATTTCAAAATATTTGAAAACCACAACCTCAATAAATGTTTAAATAAAACATGAAAATGTGTTTGAGTAAAACAAATCAAAGTGCTTCAACAGCTGCAATTTAACAACCAGAAAATAGTATCCTCACTTTAACAATACCCAATGTTTTTTTTGAGAACACATACTTCCTGTGAGAAAGTATGTATTCTCAAGATTTTCAGCAAGTAACTGTATTCTAAACACTAAGTAGTAAGTGTAAGGGAATACAGTTCCTCAGTAGGAGTATTCTGAATACGTAATGGGATTACATGTATTGTTACTTCCCAACACTGACCATAACCTGTAACTGATAAAACATTCCATCTAGATGTTGGGTTATGGTATAATAATTACATTGAACTTATTTTGAATCTGGAAAATGCACAAAAACATAAAAAATGTAAACTCAAACAACTGTTTTAAAATATTCAAACAAGTTTCTGGACAGGTTGATGTTGTAAAATAAACAGTAGAGTCAGAGATCTTCCACACAATAGATTTATTGGGAAAAAAATTGCGACAAAAAATATAAAAATGTAATTTAACATTTATTTGGTTATTTTAATATTATAAACTGTTGTTATTGATTGTTACTTTTGGAATCTAACATTTCAACTGCTATTACTACTTTTTAGTTTACTCTATTAAACCCTGACCAAAAAAGTAGAATATAAAAGTTTTAAGCCTTTAATTGATGGAGTAGTATTTATTTGACACGTGCACCGTGTTTTGTTTTCTCTGAGGGAGTATGTAAGATGTTTAGTCTACAATATGCACACAATTTAATCTAATTAAATGTAAATGTCACCCTATTAAACAGAACAGTCGGCTGGCACAAAAGAGCAAAAAAGGAAACAAGCTGACATCCAGCATCAGCATCAGCAAAGCCTGACGCACTTGAGTGTTTATGATGCGCTCCATTGTATGCATTAGGTCAGATCATATCAGGCTGAAGTGAAGATGGGCTGATGGACAATGCAGCTTGGCAGAGCATCAACAAACATCTCAGCTTCACCGACATCTCTGTGACACAAAACACCCGAGAGCAGGACCTGAGGGCAGAGCATCCACCAAAGTAACTTTTGGACCACAAGCAATCAGGCAAAGGCCAAGCCTGAGCGAATTTTCATCATTCTATCCATTCAAAACACAAACGTAACGTGACTCGTCATTAAGAACCCGTCTTGGCGTCACAAAATAGAAAAGACTTCGACGAAAGCCTTTTGCCCGGAAGGGTTGATGTGCTGCGTGTGCCGTCACATGATTTCCATAAGAAAGAGTGTTCTGCATTTCAATCCAAGCTTTAATTAAAAAGCTGCTATATTCATGGAGCTTCATAATCTCACTGGAGGAGCACAGGTTGTGCAGCTCTTCTCCAGGAGTGGGTGCAATAGTACCTTTGGAAACCAAATGAGCTCATTGTTGCTGAGCTCAAGCCTTTCATCTAATTGTATTGTCCTTACAGAGTGATAGTCAGCCTTTGAAAACACTTGATGTAGTCATCAGCATTAGCAAAATTACACATTCGATTGAAACGATCTTGTGAAAAGGAACAAAAAAAAAATGTAACATAAAAACTGTGCTTCACATCATGTTTTGTTCAAACCAAGTATGTTTAAAAAAGAAAAAAAAAGTATTCATCCACCATATAAAAAATACAATTTATTAAAAAACAACAGAATGACAGAAAACACAGACATCTATTCAAGTTAAACAAACAACATGAAACAATGACACTATTTTGAGCTGTTGTGGCGATGAAGCCCTTGTCTTTCCATGGAAAACCAAACTTCATCAAAGGGAGATGGGTTACTATAACTGGGAGGGTCACCTCAAACAGGAAACTGTTTTTTGAGCTTGCCTGCTAGTCCAGGATCAACCTCCGAGAGCAGCAGGGACAGGTGCTCGAACTGCATGAGAGAGAAGGTAATGACTGAAAAAACATTTTCCATGGACACAACATTACATGAAAAAGCTAGTTAGACACTCAAGACTCGTCCAACTTTTACAATTTAAAATCCCCCATCTGACTCTAATTAACACTTAAATGTGGCTTTTCCATTGAGAATGAGAGACTTACAGCGGTGGCAAACAACGTGTGCAAACATCCTGCAGCTGCCAGACACGTCTTTTCCGTCAGGTAGCCTCCTCTTATCAAATCTGCCATGGTTTTCTAATGATAAGAACAAACAATCTTAAAGCCTTATAAGCTTTTTAAAAAAACGCATACATATATATTAAAACAAATATTTACTTTTGAAATCTCAGGAGAGAGGTCAGACAAAAAAGCGGTTGAAACTTCAGCCAGTGTCTGAAGTTGTTCATTTTCTGAATACTCTTCCTCCTTACACGAATCTTTGTACTCGCTATGGAAGTGCAGTACTCGTAAAACTGCCCCGATAAGACTCAAGCCTGAAAAAGTTATTTATCATTGAGTTGCGCATGGACATTTGTTGCCGTTTCCATGAGAACTTCCACAGTAAAAGCTGTCAACCCACTCGTGTCCCCTTTACTGCTCCACTGATCCTGGCATTTATAGAGAGCCTGAAGCACCGCGAAGGCCTGGACCAAAATGCCTCTTTGCTCCTGTACGACGACTGGAAGATCATCTGTCTGACAAAGATCCTCACAGACAACTTCGCAAACAAAGTCCCATATTGATTTTCCAGGCCCATCTGCAGCTCCTGAACAAAAGAACATTAACACGTGTACATCTCCCATATAGAACAGTGGCCAAAATGTGCTCAATCTCACTCAAAATCCGGATGCCCTCAGATATAGTCGTCAGGAGTTGAAAAATATGCAGATAGATCTCTAATCCGTTCAAACTTTCAGATCTGTAAAGAGGCAATGACGTTGACCCATGATAGTGCAGAGACTGGTTTAATGCATGTTGATATACTAAAATACAAATACACATTTATTTGAGAAGGTTCAACGACGACCCTTTTTACCTGAGCTGTTTTGCGGCTTCCAGGAGACAGAAGGCCACATCCACGCAGCTGTCTCCATCTGCTGCCTCTGGGTCATCTTTAGGGGTGACCCAAGATCTCATCAGGTCTTCGTCAAGATCAAACATTTTGTCCACCAGCTCCCCAACCTTCTCTAAAAGGTCAGCTGCAAACACATTTCTTTTGTTTATTTGTTGTATGTCAAAAGAGACAGAATGGGAAAGAAAACATGTGATTGTCACATGTTTTGCCCGCTTACTGCGAGCTATCTTCATAAATCAGCTGAGAAGTGACATGCTACCATGGTGACAGTTCTGAAGATGGCTTGAAGTTAACAGCTATAACATATATGTATATTATTGTATGTAAAAAAAATAACTAAATTACTTTCAATAAGAACCAAAGCAGACAAAACGAACATTCTTAAGACATTTAATCGCATTTTTAGATCCAACTAAAATCAAAATCTAATCAAATTTAAATATATTATCACAAAACGTTGGGTATAAGGGTTGGAAACATAAAGCTCTAATACCATTTGTAGAACTGCTGATGATGAAGCAAATGTTGGAGCAAACAGATGGCTGCTGTTTCAATCGTTTAAGCCACAAGGAACAAACGTCTTTCTGGGAGACACAAGTCAATAGTAACCTGTGCAACATTGGAAGAAACACAATGGTAAATGTTATGGTAATGGTTAGAACTGGCAAATGAAAAAGGAAATTAAATTCTCCCTCAGAAAGAACAGCTTGGTCTGAGCACCTGCCCTCTAGTGGCCTCTTGTTGTATTGCATGTACATCAATTGTAAGATCTTATGTTGGGTTAGTTTCTTTGAAAAAGTAATTATTAATACATTACTAAATCACTAAAAGTAATTGACATGTTCTTGTTTCAGTATCATTGTGTGAACAAATCAAACCACAACAATCTCAGTTTTTATCTTCTCATCTTAATGAACACATGCTGGCAGCACCAAACTATTAACTTCAAAACCTGTCTCTGCTTTTAAACAAGTGCATGTACCTGCATGTTTCCAGAAGGGTTGGTGGGTCTGTGTCACCAAGAAGGAGTAATAGTACATCCCTGTTAAAAAAAGAAAAGAAAAGAAAGAAGCCAGTTAAGAGACACGAGAGTAGAGAATGACACTTCTGCACAAGAATATACACACCCCAGGTCGTCGTTTTGGCTGAGAGCTAAAGATGTTTCAGGAAAACAAGCAATATTCCCAAGGATTCCCACACAAATTTCCTGTAGAAGTGAGATACAATTATTGATGGTCCAGTAGTTGTGTTTTTGAACGGGTCAATAGCTCACTGTGAGACGTGGACATTGGGATTTGGCTATAACTCCAAGTAGAATATCTGTTGCTTTGAATTCCTGCAGGAATCCAGCCACGTCCTAAAATGTAGAAAATGTATAAAGTATTATATTTCATTGCAATATCAACTTTACAATAGATGCACTTCAAAAACAAGTAATACAAGATCAAATAAATACCTTATCCATAGCCATGTCCCAGACCCTGCACAAATCTTCCTCATCGTCATTGGAGAGATCCATTGGTCCATCAGAGGATTCTTCTGCATGTTTCGTGACCATCTGAAGAATAAAGTAACATTTACATTGGTACAATACAATAAACTACAATAACTGCATGTTAGTATCTTACAATGAATGACACTTTTACATATCATAAGACAACTGTTTGATTACCTGAATAAGGCGAGTTAGAGTGCTGAAAAGCCAATGCTTGCTGTACACAGTGTCACCAATGGCGTCCACATCATCACCTTCCTCTTCATCAGCTGGTGGTGGGGATGGGTTGCGGTCCAGTTCAGGAGACTGTGAACTTTCTGAACATGGAGAATTGGCATCTCCTGCGTCTTGCTCAACATCACGTTTAGAATCTTTGAGAAAACATACAATATAAATTGTAGGTTCCAAACAGTAAAGCCATGTAGTTGACGCTCTAATAATCCATATAGTGTGTAAAGTGAGTGAATAAATCCAGGGAACAGTAAAATGCAATTAAAAACTCTTTACTGAGTATTCACAAAACAAAAACACATACTGTACAAAAAGAAAAGAACTAGAGGAGAGAGTATATCGAGAGTTGGGAGAGAGTATTGAGGTCAAAAAACTGTGTGGCTCCACTCCACACTCCACACTCCACGCTTTCCCTGGCACACCTGCACCTTAACTAGCCTGGGGCCAGGACTGAGAAAAAATACAAAAATATATATTAAATCAAAATAAATCAATGATTAACTTAGCAATAATGACTTACAAAACAGCTAACTAAATTAGATGCAAAATATCAAAATTAAATCAATAGCCAATTAATCATAAATCTAATCTAATCACAAAAATAATATATTTCAATCAAATAATAATACAAACAAATAGAAATGTATCAAAATAAAATCAAACTAAACTAAACCTCTATTTCGGCTCCTACATAAATAAAACTGGGAAGACTGTGAAAGTCTGAAACCGCTTATTAAGAAAAATTTGAACATTATTTTTTTAATTCGGCCTGCAAAATGAATAGTGTTATGTTTACACCGGTCCAATCGTTGGGTCAGGTTTACATGCATGTCTATGGTGCTTTCTGTTTTGTCACTTTACCAATTGACATTCTGGTTGCACCACCAGACTAGTACAATAAATGAGAGGCACATGATAATTTAATCTTAATCTTAAAAAGATTGTACCTTGACAATGACATCCAAAGTACAACACACCAACTATGAGTTGAGCAAGAGCTACAGTGGCCTGAAGCGTCAAAATGACATTAATAAAAAAACAAGTACTAAAACTATGCTAAAATGTGACACCTATAGTCTCTTTGCTCTGATGTTGCACCACCTGGCTTGAATAGGACCGCAAAATATGGATTTTGTGTTGAAACCTGTATATAACATAGCTAAAGAATATTATAATCATAGAATAATATAATAATAATAACAAATAAATGAAATTATATATATATATATATATATATATATATATATATACAAAGTAAAAGTCAATCTGAGGATGTTTTCCGATGTGAGTTGATGTTACATACTTATTCCGATTTGAGGTAACGTGACTTACTTTATACATTGACGTAGCTTTTGTTAACCTAGAAAAAGCTTTAATCGGTAACAAGTCCTCCAGTTTTTACGACAGTAACTGTAACTAACGTGTTTTATTCTTACCATAGTTACATATTATCTACTTCGATCCTTGCTAAACTAACACATTCAACTCCCAGCTCGTGTAAGCGTTAGCGTTAGCTCTGTGATGCCAACAGAATCAACATCCTGATGTTAGCTAACTTCATTTGTTGTTTTTACTTGTCATGTTAACTCACCCATAGCTCCAGGATGTGTTCATAACTGCTGCAGCCTTATAACCGACCGATGACGCATTGGAGAGGTGTAAAATTCACATAAATAGCTAATATATATTAAACAGCAGGAGATGTGTTTCTTCAGATACAAAACAGAATGTGTAGTTTTGCTCATGCGCAGTTTGTGTTGACCCGTGTCGCGTGGTTGGAGCAGCGGCGCATGCGCACTGTATTCTTCAGGTTAGGTTGGGTTTGGATGTTACCAAACTGTTACTGGTATTTTGTTTTACGATTTCCCCTTGCCATTTCTATAATTTCATTTGTATTTTTTGTATTTATTTAGTTATTTTTGAGCACAAGGTTAGATTGTATATTTAAAATTTCCCCTGGGTACATAGGTGCAATACATTATAAAAACAAGTTCTAGCCTATGTGAAAAATATGGGTAACTCTGGCCCGCTCTGGCCACTAACTCTAACCACATGGGAAAGAGTCAGTTAGATGTTGAGTAAGACCATGTAGAATAACGACTTATTAGGACTTAATTAGCTGTTAATTAGTAAGGGCTAAAGTAAAATGTGAAAAAAACAAAACATCTAAACAACGTGTATGAGGCTTGTATAGTACAGTTCTATCTGGAGATCACTTAAATGTAAGAAAATAATATTTTAACAAGCTGGGTTGCTTGTATAGTTCATGTTTATTATTTTACAGCTCATTTGCTTTGTCAATGTTTGATGTATGTGGAATGACTACTGAACTGTCAATCACATTTCCATAGTGCAGCTGCTATCAAGGGAGTTGTCCTAAAATTCTATTTGCACTTGGAGGAGCTTCTCTATGACGTGCAACAAACAGAAACATTGCCAAGATGCTAAGTCAATAATGTAATTTCAAAGGAAGAAGGAAGTAGTTATGCCTTGAGTAAATTAAACACTTGAAAATCCCTTTTTGATTGGTATAGAGATTTGACTGTGCTGAGCCATTAAGTTATGTCACGTACAGTGCCTTGCGAAAGTATTTGGCCCCCTTGAACCTTTCAACATTTTGCCACATTTACGGCTTCAAACATAAAGATATAAAATTTAATTTTTTTGTCATGAATTAACAACAAGTGGGACACAATCGTGAAGTGGAACAAAATTTATTGGATAATTTAAACTTTTTTAACAAATAAAAAACTGAAAAGTGGGGCGTGCAATATTATTCGGCCCCTTTATTTTCAGTGCAGCAAACTCACTCAGAAGTTCAGTGAGGATCTTTGAATGATCCAATGTTGTCCTAAATGACTGATGATGATAAATAGAATGCACCTGTGTGTAATCAAGTCTCTGTATAAATGCACCTGCTCTTTGATAGTCTCAGGGTTCTGTGCAGAGAGAACCATGAAGACAAAGGAACACACCAGGCAGGTCCGAGATACTGTTGTGGAGAAGTTTAAAGCCGGATTTGGATACAAAAAGATTTCCCAAGCTTTAAACATCTCAAGGAGCACTGTGCAAGCAATTATATTGAAATGGAAGGAGTATCAGACCACTGCAAATCTACCAAGACCCGGCCGTCCCTCCAAACTTTCATGTGAAACAAGGAGAAGACTGATCAGAGATGCAGCCAAGAGGCCCATGATCACTTTGGATGAACTGCAGATAACTACAGCTGAGGTGGGAGAGTCTGTCCATTGGACAACAATCAGTCGTGCACTGCACAAATCTGGCCTTTATGGAAGAGTGGCAAGAAGAAAGCCATTTCTCAAAGATATCCATAAAAAGTCTTGTTTAATGTTTGTCACAAGCCACCTGGGAGACACACCAAACATGTGGAAGAAGGTGCTCTGGTCAGAAGAAACCAAAATCGAACTTTTTGGCCACAATGCAAAACAATATGTTTGGCGTAAAAGCAACACAGCTCATCACCCTGAACACACCATCCCCAGTGTCAAACATGGGGGTGGCAACATCATGGTTTGGGCCTGCTTTTCTTCAGCAGGGACAGGGAAGATGGCTAAAATTGATGGGAAGATGGATGGAGCCAAATACAGGACCATTCTGGAAGAAAACCTGTTGGAGTCTGCAAAAGACCTGAGACTGGGACGGAGATTTATCTTCCAACAGGACAATGATCCAAAACATAAAGCCAAATCTACAATGGAATGGTTCACAAATAGACGTATCCAGGTGTTAGAATGGCCAAGTCAAAGTCCAGACCTGAATCCAATCGAGAATCTGTGGAAAGAGCTGAAGACTGCTGTTCACAAACGCTCTCCATCCAACCTCACTGAGCTCGAGCTGTTTTGCAAGGAAGAATGGGCAAGAATTCCAGTCTCTCTATGTGCAAAACTGATAGACACATACCCCAAGCGACTTGCAGCTGTAATTGCAGCAAAAGGTGGCGCTACAAAGGGGGCCGAATAATATTGCACGCCCCACTTTTCAGTTTTTTATTTGTTAAAAAAGTTTAAATTATCCAATACATTTTGTTCCACTTCACGATTGTGTCCCACTTGTTGTTGATTCTTGACAAAAAATTAAATTTTTATATCTTTATGTTGGAAGCCTGAAATGTGGCAAAATGTTGAAAGGTTCAAGGGGGCCGAACACTTTCGCAAGGCACTGTATCTGTCACCAGGTGCTGTATCATTGAAAATTGGTCACAAAATGATAAATGATATGAAAATTGATCTTTTTCTGGTTGGAAAACATCTCCTCCTCGGCCGTTTCACCAATTTGTCTCAAAATCGCTCCACATGGTCTAAACACATGTACCCTCAATTATTGAATATAGAATTTGAATCAGTTAAACGTTGTCCGAGCAGCGGAGCGGCAAAACATGACTTTTTTTTCAATTTTTGACAAAAGTAAATTTGCTCCCGTTTGCACAAACAAAGCCGGATTTGCACAACATTTTAATCCATTGTTCAGCTCCAGGGTCTAGGCCATTTGAAAGTGGAAATATTGAAATTGGCTCAATAGCGCCCCCTACAGACAATGTCAAAGTTTTACATGGGTCTAGTAAAATTTAGTCTTTTCAAAATGTTTGAAATTTTTCACATAATTCTGTTTTGTCATCTGGATTCAAAAAGTCAATAACAACATATGATTATTTTTTACCCTGTTACCGTGGCGACAACCAACACTCCCCTGTCTGTGTCTATGTGAAAATCATTATATCTCTGAAAAGTACACCTCGCTCAAACATCAAACCAGCCGTGGCCGTTTCACTAATTTGGCTGAAAATCGCTCCACATCGTCTCAACACATGGACCATCAATAGTTGAATATGGAATTTGAATTAGTCAAACGGTCTGAGCGTGACAGACTCCCAAAGTGTGGTTATTTTCATAGAGAGGTGTGAAGTTCCCATGAGACTGTGTGGACACACTCACAGATTGTATGTGCAAACAGGAGCACATTTACAAACTCTGATTTGCACTAAACTTGACTCGGTTGTTCAACTCCTGGGCCTAGGTCACATGACAGTGTGAACAATGACATTGTCCCATTAGCGCCCCCTACAGGCTGAGTAAAGATTTACATAGGGATAAAGGTATTTAGGTGTTCTGTTGTTTGATCTCATATTTGACCCACTTTACAAACACGAAAACTCACCAAACTTTGCCACGAGTTTTTTTCAGGCATAAAGTGTATTACTTTGGTGTTCTTTGGTGAAACACAAAAAAATTGAAATTGTAGGGGGCGCTATTTTACAACATAAATGCCACCATTTGCACATACAAAGTCCGATTTGCACAAAATTTGAATCGATTGTTCAACTCTCAGATTTGGGTAAACTGAAAGTACAAAAGACGAAATTGCAACAATAGCGCCCCCTACAGACTGAGTCAAGTATTGCATGGGGAGAATGAGGTTTACCTTTTCAAAGACACACACAATCACTGATCATATTCAAAATGCACAGTGTTGCTCCCTTCAGGGCGGTAGGAAAATGGCGCGTCAGCGCCACCTTGGTTGCGTTGTGCGTCGAGGGCCGTTCGACGCCGCTTGCGGCTTTAATTATTATTATTATTACTATTATTTTTATTATTATTATTATCCATCCATCCATCCATTTTCTTCCGCTTCATCCGTTGCCGGGTCGCGGGGGCAGCAGTCTAAGCAGAGACGCCCAGACTTCCCTATCCACACACACCTCCTCCAGCTCGTCCGGGGGGACTCCAAGGCGTTCCCAGGCCAGCTGAGAGACATAGTCCCTCCAGCGTGTCCTGGGTCTTCCCCGGGGCCTCCTCCCGGTGGGACATGCCCGGAACACCTCCCCAGGGAGGCGTCCAGGAGGCATCCGGAACAGATGCCCGAGCCACCTCAACTGGTTCCTCTCGACGTGGAGTAGCAGCGGTTCTACTCCGAGCTCCTCCCGTGTGACTGAGCTCCTCACCCTATCTCTAAGGGAGCGCCCAGCCACTCTGCGGAGGAAGCTCATTTCGACCGCTTGTATCCGCGATCTTGTTCTTTCGGTCATTACCCAAAGCTCATGACCATAGGTGAGGGAGGGGACGAAGATTGACCGGTAAATTGAGAGCTTTGCCTTTCGGCTCAGCTCCCTCTTTACCACAACGGTCCGATACAGCGACCGCATCACTGCGCACGCTGCACCGATCCGCCTGTCAATCTCACGCTCCATCCTTCCCTCACTCGTGAACAAGACCCCGAGATACTTGAACTCCTCCACTTGAGGAAGGGCCTCTCCACCCACCCGGAGAGGGCAAGGCACCTTTTTCCGGTCGAGCACCATGGCCTCAGATTTGGAGGTGCTGATTCTCATCCCAGCCGCTTCACACTCGGCTGCAAACCGCCCCAGTGCATGCTGCAGGTCCTGGTTCGTTGGAGCCAACAGGACAACATCGTCTGCAAACAGCAGAGATGAAATCCTGTGGTCCCCGAACCGGACCCCCTCCGACCCTTGGCTGCGCCTAGAAATTCTGTCCATGAATACAGTGAACAGAACCGGTGACAAAGGGCAGCCCTGGCGGAGGCCAACAGGCACCGGGAACAGGTCTGACTTACTGCCGGCAATGCGCACGCAGCTCTGGCTCCGGTCATACAGGGACCGGACGGCCCTCAGCAGAGGACCCCGGACCCCGTACTCACGGAGGACCCCCCAAAGGACACCCCAGGGAACACGGTCGAACGCCTTCTCCAAATCCACAAAGCACATGTGGACAGGTTGGGCGAACTCCCATGAACCCTCGAGTATCTGATGGAGAGTGTAGAGCTGGTCCAGTGTTCCACGGCCGGGACGAAAACCACACTGCTCCTCCTGAATCCGAGATTCGACCATCGGCCGTAACCTCCTCTCCAGTACCTTGGAGTAAACCTTACCAGGGATAATAATATTATTATTATCATTATTATTATTTGTAACCCATACAAAAACGATAACACAACAACAACAACAATACAGCAGCTCTGTGGGAGTAATGGACTAGAATTCACGGCAATTGTGAGAAGATTGAAAAGTTTAAGCCAATTCAGTTTGAAAGGTTTGAGCCAATTAATTGTTATTATTATTATTACTATTATATTTATTATTATTATTATCATTGTTATTATTATTATTATTACTATTATTATTATTATTATTATCCTTATTATTATTTGTAACCCATACAAAAACGATAACACAACAACAACAACAATACAGCAGTAATGGGAGTGGGAGTAATGGACCAGAATTCACGGCAATTGTGAGAAGATTGAAAAGTTTGAGCCAATTCAGACAGTTAAATAGCCCTCGAAACAGGATAAGTAGCTCTAAATGTTTTTCTAAATGTTTTTGAGAACAAAATCTGCATTCATATTTTGCTGAAGTATAAAACAATAACTTGATAGGAAATGTTTTTATTATTTTATTATTTTTGTTTTTATTACGATTTGAATATACATTTAGATTTTTTTCCTGGTTATTATGTGTATATGTGTGCTAAACAGTAATATGGACAGAATAATTAGCAAATAACGATGACGATATACATTGTCAATTGAGGCAATATATTGAATGATTGAATAATGAATTCATGTTTTCTTTTTGTACAAATAATGAGACAAAATCTCACTGTGCATGTTTAACACAGCTCAGTTTCAATTCTCAGTTTTTCACACTATGATGCAGTAATTATCCCAGTGACCCGACATATGCTGTTTGGGCAATGCAACAAAGGCTATGCATATTTGTTAAATTAAGTAATAAGGATATAGCAATTACTTTATGGCATTTGTGAAAGGAGTTTCATTCTCCACATTGTCCACACATGCCTTAGCAATAAAAGGTAACAACAGTGCTCAGAACCATTCTATATAAAGGGTCATTGGCTCTTCCCTTGTGTGTCAGACCACTGGGTCATAGTTGCAGTGATGGGGTGGCTTGCAGTGATATGTGTCTTTGCATTCTCCTTTTTAGGTGTCTCCAAAGCCCTGGGTAAGACTATTGCAACATTTCAACATTACATTTATTGACATTAATGAACATGCATTGATGAAATGTATCTCTTTTTTCAGTTGGTAACCACATCAGCAGCACCTGCAGTACTTGGGGCGCAGATCATTTCAAGACGTTTGATGGGGAGGTGTTTGCGTTCCCCGGTTTGTGTGAATATAACCTTGTGTCCGACTGCCACGAATCCTTCCAGGAGTTCTCAGTCTTCCTGAATAGAGGAGAGGGTTCTGACGGGATCTCTACTGTCATCTATGTGGTGGTGATCATCAATGACCTGTCTATTCGCCTTTCCAAAAACCAAGTCACTGTCAATGATGATTTGTAAGTTATACTCATGAATACAGATGTTTGAATACTGACACGTTTCATTAACTTAACATTATTTTGCAGAGTGACGTTGCCATTCTACAAGGCTGGGGTTAAGTTGGAACAAAACAGTATCTATGTGAAGCTTGAGTCTACAGTCGGGATTTTTGTCTTGTGGAACAGAGATGATGCAGTCATGGTTGGTTTTACGGTCAGAAAATACACTTTATTATGGTTGTGACTATTTCTTTATTTTTCTCTAGGTTGAAGTAGATCCTGAGTATGCTAACCGCACTTGTGGCCTCTGTGGAGATTACAATGGAATACGCACCCAAAATGAGTTCATTCATAATGGTAAGTTTGTTAATAATTTTAGTAAACAACATTAACATCTTACATAGTTGTACTAAATGCAATTTTTTACAGGACGCAAAATCAGCCCTATTGAGTTTGGAAACATGCACAAAGTCCAGCGCCCAAATGATGATTGTGAAGATCCGTATGAAGAAGATGAAGATGAAGAACTCAATGCAACACCAGAATCATGCAAGGAGTTTGTGAGTGTCATTGTCAGAATACAAAGTCTGAAAGAGAATCAATCATTGGCTGATAAGTATTTTATTTCTGTCTCTAGATTAACACCTGTACCCAGGTGCTACAGTCAAACATGTGGATGTCGTGTAGGACTTTGATCGACCCTGAGCCGTACATCAAGGCCTGTGCACACGACATGTGCCACTGCTCAAACCAAACTAACAACGCTTGTATGTGCAGTACTGTTTCTGAGTTCTCTCGACAGTGCTCTCATGCAGGAGGAAAACCCCCGAGCTGGAGAACATCTGAGCTCTGTGGTAATCACACTCACTCCTATCCATCTCCTCTGTGTGTAGTCCTCTGTTGGGGATGATTGTGTTGTCTGCTGAGAGGAGATGTTACGCTATTCTCTTTTTAAAATAAGTTCAATTGAAATTTGCTTTTGTCCTTCAGCTAAAAGTTGCCCATACAACATGATTTATGAGGAGAGCAGTTCCCCGTGTCTGGACACATGCACTTACCAGGACACAAGTTCACTGTGTGAAGACCACAAAATGGATGGTTGCGCCTGCCCTCCTGGTTTGTGCTCTTTCCTATTTTATGTCATCATATTTGACTTTTTACATAGTAGATGTTTCCCCTTTCTCATTTTAGGCACTGTATTTGATGACATATCCAAGAGAGGGTGCATTCATCAAACTGAATGCCAATGCAAACATGACCGAATCTACAATCCGGGAGAACTTTACAGACAAGAATCTAAAGAATGGTACTTACAAGTTATTACCATAGACTGTATATTTGCTCTAACTGATATGTAAATATTAATTTTTCTTCATAGTTCATGTCTGGATGGAAGATGGACATGTAAAGACATCCAAGGGCCGGCAACCTGCTCAGTGGAGGAAGGCTCTCACATAACAACCTTTGATGGAAAAACATTCACTTTTCATGGGAGCTGTTTCTACACCTTAGCAAGAGTCGAGCAAAAGGTACATACATACAAACATTATAATGTGAATTACATGTAGTCTAAAAAACATCTGTCTTCTATGTTTTGGACGACAGGATAATGTCAGTCCTAAATTCACAGTCCTAGCTCAGCTAATGCCATGTGCACACCATCAGTACGACACTTGTCTTAAATCGCTCAAGATCCTGATGAACAACGACAAAAACAATGTGAGACGATAACATTCCTTTTCAAATACAGAAAATTTCATTAATATATTATTCATTATACATTTTCCTGACGTTTGCAGGCGTTAGTGTTCACCTCAGATGGATTAGTGAAGTACAATATGCAAACAATAACTTTACCTTACAACTCAGGTATAGACAACATATTATCTAAATAATTTAGTATGTCAATATTATTTATGTGGAGACGTTGTCCTGTTTTCAAAGGTGACATCAACATTTTTCAAGCTTCATCCTTCCACATTATACTACAGAGCAGTTTTGGATTTCAAATCCAAATCCAACATGTGCCTGTCATGCAGATGTATATCAGACTTCCACAAACTTACAGAGCAAAAACCAGAGGTGCATATTGATTTTTATTTTTTCTTAAAGCTATTGATGAAGTTCAAAATACATAAAATGTGGTATGTTCACTCGTTGCTAGGTTTGTGTGGGAACTTTAACATGGTCCAGTCTGATGACCTGAAAACTCCACAAGGCATTGTGGAGGGAACAGCAGTGGTATTTGCCAACTCTTGGAAAACCAATTTTATGTGTGAAGACAGAGTGGCGAGGCTGGATGACCCATGTGCTGTTAGTGTGGAAAATGGTAAGTACTATGGCCTGTGTCATAGACTTCAGAAGCAAAACAACAATTTTAACCACCTCATTTCAAAACCCTATAGAAAGATATGCCAAGCACTGGTGTGCCTTGCTACTTAGTCCAAACAGCTCCTTTTCCCAGTGCCACTCAGAAGTCGATCCTGATCTGTACTATAAAGTAAGATGCAAGTTGGTAGCTTTATAGAAAAATCATCCCAGCACTTTTGACAATGTTTGTCTTCTTCAGCGATGTAAATATGCCACCTGTAATTGTGAGAAGAATGAGGCTTGTCTTTGTGCTGTTGTGTCATCTTATGCCAGAGCATGTGCAGCTAAAGGGGTATTTCTGACAGACTGGAGGAACCATGTTTGCGGTAAGCATGTTAGTATAGTAAAAACACATTCACATATTGAATTTGCTTTTATATTCCAGAGAAATACTCTCAGAGCTGCCCAGAATCACAGACATTCTCCTACAACCATCACCGGTGTCAGCTGACATGCAAATCTTTAGGCTCAAACCAACACAGCTGTGTAAATGACTTCTTACCTGTTGATGGGTGCTCTTGTGCTGAGGGTTTGTACAAGGACGACAGAGGCTTGTGTGTCCCTGTTGAGAAATGCCCCTGCCATCACAATGACCTCATCATCAAATCAGGAAAATCAGTCAACATCAAAGATGAGCACTGGTATTGTCCCTCTCTCATGTGATATATATTGTGTTTTGAATCAATGCATAATACATGTTTGCATTTATATGTATTAGTGTGTGCACCAATGGCGTTCTTCACTGCCGCTCATGGAAAACCCGCTCTTTGAGTAAGTTATGCAAACACATATTTTTATATATGGCAAAATATACTTTTATAGTACTTAAATAATGTTGATATTTTCCAGCCTGTGCTCACCCAAAGGTGTACATTAATTGCACCGGGACTGGAGAGCTTGACTCCCAGTGCATGGTTTCGTGTTTAAACCTGGACAACAATGAATGCGTAAACCCTTCACATCTTTAAAAGTTCTTTGTCAAATCTGAGGCGTTATTTATTACATTCAAATGTTGTATTTTATAGAGCTCTACAGAGTGTGAATCTGGCTGCCAGTGTCCTGCTGGTCTCTTTGACGATGGTAGGGGCGCTTGTGTGAAAGAGCTTGACTGTCCATGCCAACATGACGGCCAGTTCTTTGTGTCTGGGACAAAGATTCCTAAAGATTGCAACACTTGGTGAGTTTTATTTCTATACATTTTTGTTATTTAATTGTGCAATTTCCAATACACTGTAAAACAATTTAAATCATCATCATGTTTACGTTTTAGTACCTGCAAAAGTGGAAGATGGGAGTGCACTGAGAAAACATGTCCAGGAACATGCACTATCTATGGAAGTGGTCATTATTCAACATTTGACCAGAAAACGTATGGGTTTGATGGAAACTGTGCATATGTTGCTGTTAATGTGGGTACATCTAGCTTCAATTTTACACTGAACAAAAAATGATTGTACAAAATGAAATATTGATTTGAACCTATAATCCATAGAACAAGTGTAACAACAAAACCCAAGAAAATAACTTTGCCGTTCTGACTCAAAATATACCATGTGGAACCACGGAAACTTGTTCCAAAACAGTTCGAATTCAACTTGGGGTAAAAACCACTTCATATTATCTAATAAAATTGATGTACCTTTGTTAAATACAAACAACTAATCATAATCTGTAAACAGCGAATGGAAATCAAACTCAGTAAGGGTAAATATGAAGAGCTGGATCAGGGCCATGGCTCCATTCTTCAGTACAGAATAAGGAAAGTGGGCCTTTACATAATTGTTGAGTCTGAAGTTGGTCTGGCCGTGATGTGGGATCGCAAAACAACAATCCGGATTCTTCTTAAACCAGAGCATGCCGTAAGTGTTATATATTATGTATTATAACATGTTTACCCATACAACATGTTCATTCCCAATTTCTCCTCCCTTTAGAATACGGTCTGTGGTTTGTGTGGGGATTTTGACGGAGATGCAACAAATGACTTTACCACCCAAAATAATCTGGTTGTAAGCAGCGTTATAGAGTTTGGAAACAGCTGGAAAGTAGACAGCGGATGTGGAGATGTGGAAGAAAGCGTCGATCCGTGTACAGTCACACCTAATCGTCAACACTGGGCGCAACTTATGTGCAGTATCATAAAAGGAGAGACATTTAAAGACTGCCATCAAAAAGTAATACACTATTGACTTATTACTTCTTGTACTAATTATTGACTAAATATTACCTGATTTCTGACTCCTGATACTGTATATGGGTAAAAAGTTAGCATTGCAACACATGATCACTCAAGCATTAATTGTATTATATTAACTAATAATTGCTGATACTTGTTTGGTTTTAAGGTACCCCCTGAGTTGTATTACGATAACTGCGTTAGAGACTCATGCGCCTGCAACAGTGGAGGAGACTGCGAGTGCTTTTGTTCGGCAGTGGCAGCGTACGCACAGGCATGTAACGATGCTGGTGTGTGTGTGGCTTGGAGAACTCCAGAAATCTGCCGTGAGTTACTAAAAAAAAAAAATAATAATTGATGTTGTTGTTTATGCAATCATCCTCTTCTGAGTTTCTAAAACACAATATTTTTCACAGCTGTTTTTTGTGAATACTACAATGACCCAGGAGAATGCATGTGGCACTATAGCCCCTGTCACACTCCATGTTATAAGACCTGTCTAAATCCACAAGGAATATGCAGTAACCCTTTGCCAAACCTGGAAGGTAATTATTCACACATGTATTTTAAAGTTTAGGCCAAAAAAGGTACAAAAAAGGACAAAACTCAAAATGTATTTACTTTGTATTTGCATTGCCCAGGGTGTTATCCGGTCTGTCCAGAGGATAAGCCTATATACGATGAAGAAAAAGACGAGTGTGTGGAAGAATGCATTAGTTCTACAACACCTCCTCCTTCCACAACCACCGCACCTCCAACAACCACAACCACACCCCCAACAACCACGACAACATCACCAACAACCACAACATCACCAAAAACTACAACAACGTCCGCAACAACAACAACATCACCAACAACCACTACACGTCCAACAACAACAACATCCCCAACAACAACAACATCCCCAACAACAACAACATCACCAACAACCACTACACGTCCAACAACAACAACATCCCCAACTACAACAACATCACCAACAACCACAACATCTCCAACAACCACAACCCCACCAACAACCACAACATCACCAACAACCACAACATCTCCAACTACAACAACATCCCAAACAACCACAACATCACCAACAACCACAACACCTCCAACAACCACAACAACATCCCCAACTACAACAACATCACCAACAACCACGACAACATCCCAAACAACCACAACATCACCAACAACCACAACACCTCCAACAACCACAATATCACCAACAACAACATCCCAAACAACCACAACCACAACATCACCAACAACCACAACATCCCAAACAACCACAACATCCCCAACAACCACAACAACAACAACTCCAACACCAATTTTCACAACAACACCTTGTATCCCTACCTGTGATTGGTCAGAATGGTATAACGTTAATAATCCATCAAATCAAGCTGACAGAAGTGACTGGGAGACATACACAAACATTACAGAAAGTGGACACTCCATTTGTGACTCACCGATGGAGATTGACTGTAGGTCATCCGAGTTTCCAGACATAAGCTTTGATGATTTTGTGAGTGGCACGAATCAAGTGGCTACCTGCAATATCTCGTATGGACTCATCTGTAGACAGCAAGACCAACCTTATAAAAGGAAGTGTAGGGACTATAAGATCAAAGTCTGCTGTGAGAACCCCTGTACAACTCCTACTACAACACTAACGACAACAACAACACCCCCAACTACAACAACAACACCCCCTACTACAACCACAACATCTCCAACTACAACCACAACATCTCCAACTACAACCACAACATCTCCAACTACAACCACAACCTCTCCTACAACAACCACAACATCTCCTACTACAACTACAACCTCTCCAACTACAACCACAACATCTCCAACTACAACCACAACCTCTCCAACTACAACCACAACATCTCCTACTACAACTACAACATCTCCAACTACAACCACAACCTCTCCTACAACAACCACAACCTCTCCAACTACAACCACAACATCTCCAACTACAACCACAACCTCTCCTACAACAACCACAACATCTCCTACTACAACTACAACATCTCCAACTACAACCACAACCTCTCCTACAACAACCACAACCTCTCCAACTACAACCACAACATCTCCAACTACAACCACAACCTCTCCAACTACAACCACAACCTCTCCTACTACAACCACAACCTCTCCAACTACAACCACAACATCTCCAACTACAACCACAACCTCTCCAACTACAACCACAACCTCTCCTACTACAACCACAACCTCTCCAACTACAACCACAACATCTCCAACTACAACCACAACCTCTCCAACTACAACCACAACCTCTCCTACTACAACCACAACCTCTCCAACTACAACCACAACATCTCCAACTACAACCACAACATCTCCAACTACAACCACAACATCTCCAACTACAACCACAACCTCTCCAACTACAACCACAACATCTCCTACAACAACCACAACCTCTCCAACTACAACCACAACATCTCCAACTACAACCACAACCTCTCCTACTACAACCACAACTTCTCCTACAACCACAACATCTCCAACAACAACCACAACCTCTCCTACTACAACCACAACCTCTCCAACTACAACCACAACATCCCCAACTACAACCACAACCTCTCCTACTACAACCACAACATCTCCTACTACAACCACAACATCTCCAACTACAACCACAACCTCTCCTACTACAACCACAACCTCTCCTACTACAACCACAACCTCTCCTACTACAACCACAACCTCTCCTACTACAACCACAACCTCTCCTACTACAACCACAACATCTCCAACTACAACCACAACCTCTCCTACTACAACCACAACCTCTCCAACTACAACCACAACCTCTCCTACTACAACCACAACCTCTCCTACTACAACCACAACCTCTCCTACTACAACCACAACCTCTCCAACTACAACCACAACATCTCCAACTACAACCACAACCTCTCCAACTACAACCACAACCTCTCCAACTACAACCACAACATCTCCAACTACAACCACAACATCCCCAACTACAACCACAACCTCTCCTACTACAACCACAACATCTCCTACTACTACCACAACCTCTCCTACTACAACCACATCTCCAACTACAACCACAACATCTCCAACTACAACCACAACATCCCCAACTACAACCACAACATCTCCTACTACAACCACAACATCCCCAACTACAACCACAACATCTCCAACTACAACCACAACATCTCCAACTACAACCACAACCTCTCCAACTACAACCACAACATCTCCAACTACAACCACAACATCTCCAACTACAACCACAACCTCTCCTACTACAACCACAACATCTCCAACTACAACCACAACCTCTCCAACTACAACCACAACCTCTCCAACTACAACCACAACATCTCCAACTACAACCACAACCTCTCCAACTACAACCACAACATCTCCAACTACAACCACAACCTCTCCTACTACAACCACAACATCTCCTACTACTACCACAACCTCTCCTACTACAACCACATCTCCAACTACAACCACAACATCTCCAACTACAACCACAACATCCCCTACTACAACCACAACCTCTTCAACTACAACCACAACCTCTCCAACTACAACCACAACCTCTCCAACTACAACCACAACATCTCCAACTACAACCACAACATCTCCAACTACAACCACAACCTCTCCTACTACAACCACAACCTCTCCAACTACAACCACAACATCTCCAACTACAACCACAACTTCTCCAACTACAACCACAACCTCTCCAACTACAACCACAACCTCTCCAACTACAACCACAACATCTCCAACTACAACCACAACATCCCCAACTACAACCACAACATCCCCAACTACAACCACAACCTCTCCAACTACAACCACAACCTCTCCAACTACAACCACAACATCTCCAACTACAACCACAACATCCCCAACTACAACCACAACCTCTCCAACTACAACCACAACCTCTCCAACTACAACCACAACATCCCCAACTACAACCACAACCTCTCCAACTACAACCACAACATCTCCAACTACAACCACATCTCCTACTACCACTATAAGTAGCACTACACCATGTTTCTGTGTCTTCAATGGAACGCATTACAAAGCAGGTATGATAAAAATGCACTATATCTACCTTTTATTTTTGTCAAAGCTTTTTACAGTGACATTTATTCTATGTCTATGTTTAGGGGAGGTCATTTTTAACATGGAACACCTCGGTTCAGGAGTTTGTCTCACAATGATTTGTTCCGATGTTTGTGAACTTAGCAACAAGACTGAGTTGTGTTGTCCGGATTGGGAGGTTGCAGTAAGTTTTTGACCTTTTATTCAGTATAACTAATGACGGCTGAGATTCATGAATATGCCTGAAATTATGATAAATAATAACTGATTGCTTCCTAACTCTAGCAAAATGAGACTTTTTTCCTCTGCAATTGCACCATGGCACGATGCATTGAAAACAACACAATTGAAATAGTTCCTTATGAGTGCCCACCTCTTGAAGACATAAAATGTAGCAACGGAAAGAAACCAGTACCAGTGTATGATGAATATTACTGTTGTCAATATATGGCTTGTGATTGTAAGTAAGCTTTAAAAGGTTGAATGTAAAACAAAATAGTTTAATAACATATTTATTTTATTTTCAGGTGTGTGCGAGGGCTGGGGAGATCCTCATTATATAACCTTTGATGGATTGTTTTATAGTTATCAAGGAAATTGCACATATGTTTTGATGGAAGAAATTACACCAAAATATAATCTGAAGATTTATATTGACAATGTATATTGTGATCCCACTGAGGATGTGTCCTGTCCTCGATCTATTATTATTTCATACAGATCACAAGTGATAACACTAAAGAACCATAATCTCATCGGGGCTGCTCAGCTAGAGGTAAAACAGCCGATTCCCATATGATCTATTCAATGTAACATGATTGAATCGTATTCTCTTCTAGGCAATCAAAGACGGAATAACACTGACATTACCATACTCACTGGGAGGAGTTAAGGTCATGTCCACTGGCATAAATTTAGTTTATGAGATTCCCCATCTCAAAGTGGTCATTACTTTTGGTATAACTGGATTTACCTTGAATCTTCCATATGAAACTTTTGGTAGAAACACCCAAGGCCACTGTGGTATGTGACTTATTCATGTAGCCCATACAAAAGCTTGTACTTTGAGGCAGATGGAGTCACTGTCGTTTGTCTAATAGGGACCTGCAACAACAACCAGGCAGACGATTGCATGTTACCTAGTGGTCAGCTGGCCGGGAGCTGTGATGTGATGGCTGACTATTGGCTCGCACATGATATTTACCAACCAAGCTGCCAGATACCCTCTGTGGTACCAACAAGCAACCCTGGACCACCTCCAACGATGATTCCCTGCAAGCCAGACTCAATGTGTGACATGCTTTATAGCAGGTATGTGTACTAAAAATAACATGTTAAATGTATGCATCATATTGGGTTAATAACTTTCCTATTATTATCATTATTTTGTCTTATTATAGTGTGTTTGCCGAGTGCCACGCGCTTGTCTCACCGGACAGATTCTATCAAGGTTGTGCATTTGATAGCTGCCATGTTGCCAATCCCGCAGTTGAGTGTACGAGTCTGCAGACGTACGCTGCTGCATGTGGCCAGGCTGGAGTTTGTCTGCACTGGAGGAACCACACCACACTCTGTAGTAAGGAATTCTATCTTCAGTCACGTTGTATACAGTCATACTTAATGTGTGGGTGTAAAATGTGTGACATAAATCAAGCATCCGAAAGAAGAGCAGATCATCTTGTGGGGAATAATGTCTTTGCTGATTTAATAGCTGGTCCAGCAAAGTGCACCTACAGAAAACAGGTAACGTGAGGGGCGTATCACAGCGCAGAAGGCACAGAAGTGATCACAGAGCAGACGTGCACCTTTGACCAGTGAAATCTGAGTCATAGACGCCGAAAAGCAGGTTATGCCTGAATGATCTTTGCCCGAATGCAATATCCTCGCTTAGTAACAAAATGTGGAGTGTTGACTTTCCAGGCAAATCATGAAGAGTCTTGAAATCAAAATAATTCAAGGCACTCGTGGTCAATAGTTTAGAGAGTTTTAAATATCCTTGCTTTTTTGGACATTCTATTTATCATGTGCAGACTATGTAGCCCTGTTTTTTCTCTCAACAGGCAGCGATTGTCCATCAACCAAAGTGTACAAACCCTGTGGCCCTGCTGAACAGCCAACATGTGATGACAAGTAGGTTCATAAATGTTTGTTCATTAAAATGTATTTTATTCTAATGGAGTCGTCTACCCTTTCAGAGCAAATGAGCCCACTTTGAACTTCACCACAGAGGGTTGCTTTTGTCCAGATGGAACGAAGCTCTTCAATAAGGACTCTGGCATATGTGTCAGCAAATGTGGTATGTGTCGTAAATGTTATAGGTTTTACACGTTGTATCAAAAATATTGTTGAGACTAACAGTATTTTTTATTAACTGTATGATAAAAGGATGTCTGGATCCTGAGGGCAATCCCAGAGAAGTGAGTGATTATTAATATAGTATTATGTCTGATGCTTCATTGGTTTTGCAGTTTCATATCTTCATACCATGTTGTGTTGTTTAGTTTAATGAAAGGTTTGAATATAAATGCCAAAACTGCATTTGTGAGGAGGCCACTAAAGCTGTGACATGTAAACCAAAAGTATGCCCTCCTTCACCAACAACAAACTGCTCTGTACCCGGATTTGTCGTTGTCAACCAAACCAATCCCTCAGATCCCTGCTGTTCAACCTTAATTTGCCGTAAGATTTTGTAATTGATATTATGTTTCTAGTTGGAAGAATGTCTGACAAATAAATGTTATATCGATAGAATGCCAAAGCAACACATGTCCAGTGTACAGCATGAACTGCCCAGTTGGCTACACACCTGTTATTGGTGTCCCAGAGGGAAAGTGCTGTCCAGAGCACACATGTGGTAAGGATTTTTATTGTTTGAGTGCAGTAGTATATTCACAAGATTACATATTGATTTACTTGTTGTTTTCCATTTGAACAGAACCTAAAAGAGTTTGTGTGCACAAAGGAATTGAATACCAGGTCAGAATATTTTGATTGAATAACAGTATTTTTTTTTGGGCATCAGCTTAGAATGTTTTAATAGTTTTCTTCCAAATTCTTTCTAGCCTGGATTACCTATTCCTGGAGCGGGCATGTGTCAGGACTGTTCATGCACCCATGAGGTGGACCCACATACTGGTCTGTTCAAAATTTACTGTGAATATCAACAGTGTAATGAAAAATGTGACACGGTAAGAATTTATTATTTAATTACAAATACAAGTTCAAAAATAGAGGCAGCAAGGTTCTTTTAATAAGACAAAGAATGTTAAAAAGCTTGTCCTGCTTACTTAACTGACATGTTTCCGCAATAGACTTCCGCCTTCGTCCGAGGTGGCGTGTGATGCCGTGACGAGTCTCTTATCAGCTATTGTTACCGGTTGCGGCCAGTCTAACAGATCGGGCAGATGCATCTAACTGACCACACACCCTCATATCCATCAAACTCACCACGCCAGCCGTCATGCTATGGTCTCTAGAGAAGTGAGTCCCACGTGTGAGCCAAGGTATAATAGGCCCCCATTGACAACAACCACAATATCCCCAACACCCTCAGAATTCAGGAAGCAGGGCACACAGACCATCAAATAGAGACTAGGGGGCCTACACCTTGTCCCACACTCAAGGGACCAACTTCTCCAGAGACCACAGCGCATACCATACTATGAGCAATGAATAAATAAAGAAAGAGAGGATCTACCCTGATCAGTCAGACTGCCCAAATCCAGTAACAATCCAGCATACAGAACAGCATGCAAGGAGCACACAAAATATAGAATAAAAAGAGCTTCAATGCTTTACTTGTCACATCAGAGGTATAATGTCAGGGAATTAAGCCGTACTACCTGCTCTACACTCTTTGTCGTAAAAGAACCCTCTAAGCCTCATACTTGAAGAAATATATGCTGGAAAAAATTGCTTCACTGTTTAACAGGGATATGAGTATGTTGAGCCTGTTGGAGATGAATGCTGTGGAAAGTGTGTCCAAACACATTGTATCTTTAATATTAATGGCACAAAGCACATTCTCAAGGTAAACATTGCTACCATCCACATACTGTATGTACATCATATTTTGGTATTGACGCAACACTTTGGTGGTAATTGACAGCATGGAGCTAGCTGGTCTACAACTAACAATAAGTGTGAGCATTTCACTTGTATTAAGAGTGGTGATGTTTTCACTGCTATTAGTTCACAAATTATCTGCCCAACCTTCCAGGAGAGCATCTGCCAGCCAGTGAGTACTATTTACACAAGTCTTGAGTATAATACAAACTGGATCAATGCATAAGAACAGATTCTACTTTCACTTCCTTCCCTTTACTTTGTTATGACGCTTGTAGGACACTATTCAAACTGCGGCAAATGGCTGCTGTAAGACATGTAAGTAACGGGGGTTTATTTTAAAATGAAATCTACACAGGAACATATTCTTCTGGAAAATGCTTATTAAACATCAACTTTTGTTGAAGGTGTGGAGAGGGAGAAAGCCTGCAAATTGGTGTCTATGAGAACTCTTCTCACACACAAGGACTGCCAGTCTTCAGAGGCTGTAGAAGTACCATATTGTGAAGGTTCTTGCAACACTTTCACCAAGTAAACTCTCCTCTTATTTACATAAATATTATGTATTTTGAACGTACTCTATTAATGCTGTCTTGACTGTCTGCAGATACTCCTCAGCATCAGACAACATGCAGCACTCCTGTGCCTGCTGTAAAGAGACGCGTTTCAGTAACCGCACTGTGGACCTGCTCTGTCTGAACGGCGATGTGGTTCATCACTCGTACATTCATGTTGAGGCGTGTGGCTGCGGACAAACGGACTGCACCAGAGCTGCCCCACTGGGCCGCAAGAGAAGAAGCATCTCAGTGGTCTAACACTTCAGATGAATACAACGTCTTTATGTATTTGAAAAAAATAATAATAATAATTTTGTAGACAAATAGACAAATAAAGCATTCCACAAAAAATATCTTTTTGTCTCTATTTTGAAAATCAACCGTCGAAGTATATGAATATTTTTATTGAGCTCAATAGTGTCATAGAACAAATTCTAATTAGAACCAGTTCTAAAGGATTGTGGATAAGAGGAGTTCTAACACAGGAGAAGTTTATTCACCATCCGAACACGAGTCCTCACTAACCTCAACATGTTTGCACACTTCTGTCTTTTTGCACAATCTGAGTGATTCTATTTGCCAAATGTGACATGTAAATTTCTCCATTGTGAGATCAATAAAGTTTATATTATCTTATCTTATCTTAACCATCCAGACATCAAGGCTCTGCTCTAGACAGATATGCAGTGATGGAAATATACTAAATATGTTTAGTTCCAGAGAACCAATGCACAAAAAATATGATATAAAACAAGTTAAACAACATCCATATCCCAAGTTCCATATTCTAAATACTATAAATATAGGCCATTGATACAGAAGTCAAGTCAAGTTGTGATTTTCTTTCATGACAATTACCTTAATGATAAAATACCACTTCTTGTGACTGTCATGAGATCCCTCAGAACTTCAAGAAGAATTGTTAGACCTGCCTGAATACTGGACAATAAATCTTAAATGGTCACTTGAGCAGAAAGGACTGGAGGGAACTTTACAAGGAGAGACATTTTCATTTGACCTAATACTTGAAGTCATAAGTCCTTAAATTTAGTTTGGGGTTTCGGTTTTGTAGCATTTGCCATACCTCATCACTTCGTAGGTTTCCCCCTAAGCAATATTTTACCATTGAAATTGGATACTTTGGGGCCTTAGTGAATAAAACAGAGATACAACCTAACTCAAGCATCCAGTTTATGCCAATGGACTCTAATAATTAAAATAATTATAATGACAATAACATCAACAAATAATACTGATAATGTGTAGTACTTTTCTGGACACTGAAAGACCCGGCCTCCCCTGAGATCTCCCATCACAGTATTAACAAGGCCATGCCCTGCTTATCACCAGAGACCAGGTTTTCTTATACCGGTATGGCCCAATCAACCGTTTGCACAATAGTCTTTTTTTTACTCAAACTGAAAAAATAAGAGAGGTATTAAAATGTCCTTTGTAGATACCAATTTAGTATTTTGCATAATTGTGCTCTGTGTATACAATGATCTCTGTACATACTGAGCAAAATGTTTCTTCCTTGAATTTAGGATGAGAGTCTACTGTTGACTCTCTAAACACAGTTATGGTCCACTTACATCAAGATGGAGCTATCAAGATATTTTCAAAGGGGCAGGTGTGGTTACCAATGTAAGAATAACAATGTACAACTCTATTATTACAGTTCTATACTTTGTTTTATGACTCCACCTCATCAGTCAACAAACAATTACTATATTATGTCTCTTAACATCCTCTGCCGAGACAAGTGCAGCATCATGAGAACTGGAGCCATGTGGTTTCTACTACTATGGCTTAGTGCTGGATTTGCACTCGCCGCAGGTGAGCAAGTCATATATATATATGTGTGTGTGTGTCAACATCAATTAGATGTTATCATTGTATTATTTATCTTGTTGTTGTCCTCTCTACAGGCGGTAAATCGATGCAAAATATGCCAAATAACGTTATTATGGGAAAGCCATTGCCATTTACACAATATATGGCAGGGACCACTACACCCATCCCAATTGTCAGAGGTAAGTGATTAAAAACCTTGTGTTTTCATAAATGTTCTGAATTTCATGTCAGAGAGTGAGATAAATCCACATTTATGCATGGTTAGGACATGAACACATCTGCATTCATGGTTTAGATGGATTGTTTAAAAAAAGATTTGATGGTGGTCATTGAATATGTCAGTCCATTCATCCATCCACACACACTTCCTCCAGCTCATTCACGAGAATCCCAAGGCATTCCCAGGCCAGCTGAGAGATAGTGCCTCCAATGTATTCTTTATCTTCCCTGGGGTCTCCTCCCTGGGGAGGTGTCCAGCTCAAAGTGGAGAAGGAGAAGCAGCGGATCTACTCTGAGCTCCTCCCGTGTGACTGAGCAACTCAACCTATCTCTCAGGGAGCGCCCTACTATTCTGTGGAGGAAGTTCATTTCGACTGCTTGTATCCACATTCTTACAAGGCTCATGACCAGAGGTGAGGGTGGGTTTTGATCGGATCAGTGGATCCAACTCACAAACCAGGCGGTGATCTCAAGTGTCTCTGGCGTAGGATGTACTGGTGTCACGTGCTCTGGTGGACACCCTTGTGCTCAAACCTGGTGTTTGTTATGGACAAAGTGTAACTAGCGCAGAAGTCCAATAACTGAACACCGCTCAGGTTCAGGTCTGGGGTTCTTCCCAATCACCCCTCTCCAAGTGTGACCGTCATTGAAAATGTATAGTGCAGGCATTTAGTACAAATCCACACTATTTCTATAATTGCTTTTTAATGTTACTATTAATGTTGTCATTCAGGTGTCAAGGCTTCTCATGACCAGCTCTGCAGCACTTGGGGAAATCATCATTTTAAGACCTTTGATGGAGATTTCTTTCAGCTGCCACGTGCCTGCAATTACATCTTCACACATCACTGTAAAGGCACTTACGAGACTTTTAACATTCAGCTGGAGCGAAGGGGGAACCTCCAAGAGCCCAGTCTTCATAGAGTCGAGATGAAACTGGATGGAGTTGATGTTGAACTGTACAAAAACAACATTAAGGTCAATGATCAGCCGTAAGTCTGGTTTAAGTTCCATTTATCTAAGGATATTTATAACTTTCTAATATTAAAGACATTTTTCCCCCCTGTAGTGTAACAGTGCCATACAATTCTGACGGTGTTTCCATCCAAAGAGAGCAGTCTTATATAAAGATTAAGGCTGAACTGGGATTGGTGGCCTTCTGGAATGAAGAGGATGCTTTCTGGGTGAGTTTTTCTTGTTAGTCTACTTGGTTGGAATAATTTGAACTAATGTCATTGACAAAGTGTTGAAAATGTGTTTACTTAATTCTGAGATTTCATGAATCATAGACAGCTCTGTAAATAAGTGTGGAGAAGTGAAAAATTTTTGTTTTGTTCAAGCACTGCAATATGAAATAATGAAAATGATATTCCTGTTTATGATGTTGCGTATGAAACTGGTCCAAAACCAAACAACTGGGAAATGTCCTGTGAAAAGTGTGGGCTCTATGCATAGGTGGAATTCATGTTCAAAACAAAGAAGTAATACAGTATGCATATGTCATGTTTTTAGGTTGAGTTAAAAGATAAATTTCGAAACCAAACTTGTGGAATTTGTGGTGATTACAACGGAGAACAACACTATAATGAGTTCATAGATGGTAAAAAAAAAGTTCACTCCAATATTTTATAATAATTTAACCATTCTTAACCACTACATTTTATTCAAGAAATTGGGGAAACCAAGTCTCTTGAAAGCTTTGCAGAAGAATGGAAAGTGGATGGTCCAAAGGACCAATGCAAAGAAATCAATTCTCCAGACATGAAGCTTTGTGCCACCAAGGTGCGACTAAACATCAAAGCTAATAATGAACATTTTTGAAATAAAATTAATCTTTTTTTCGTCTTCAGGGTACCTTTTGTGAGGACATCCTAACAAGCTTATCCTTTAGCATGTGTAAAGATCTGGTTGATGTTGACTCGTTCATTGATACCTGTAAAAAAGACCAATGCCATGATAAGAACCACAACAGCAGCTCCCTGTGTGCGACTCTGTCAGAGTTCTCTCGACAGTGTGCCCATAATGGGGGTGAGCCTGGACGCTGGAGGAGGGCTTCCCAGTGCGGTACGTGTGCTCTACTATTGATGTAGCAACACCCATGCGATTATTATGTTGTATTATGCTTTGACTTGACAGATTTTAAATGTTCTTCAAACATGGAGTATAAAGAGTGTGGAAGTCCTTGTAAAAACACTTGTCGCAATCCAGACAGAAGCGAAGTGTGCACCAAGCACTGCATGGATGGATGTTTCTGTCCATCAGGTAAATTAACAGCTCCTGTCCACATGCAGCAGCCTTATATACAATACAACTATTCATATACAGGGGCTTGAAAAAGTAATAATACCTCACAACATTTTCCACGTTCTGGTACGTCACAACAAACATTCAGTTTTTATCATAATTTATGATTTTTTTTATTAACAACCACTAACAAAGTGGTAAACAAATGTAAGGATAAAGTTCCACTCCAGCCCCTTACAACTTTTATTCAAAATTGTCTTACATATTGTTCCATGCACCTTCCCATCAATGATGCAACAACTCAAAAATAACAACAACCAGGATATTACAGATATCCAAAATCCAACTCGGAAGAAAACACGATGAACTGAAGTGGAGAGGTTTAGGTTTAAATACACAAATACACAAACTGAGACACAGGTGCAATACAAAACACATGAAACCCACTCAAAAAACACGGGGCAACAAATAGTACAAAACAAAACAAAGTATCAAATCATAAAAAAGATCCACACGATGACTGCTAGACCTCCATGAATGCAAATGTGAATATTTTCCCTCCAGGTACTGTCTGGGATGACATTTCCAATACAGGCTGTATTCCAGTCAGTTCCTGTCTCTGTGAACACAAAGGTGAGCCAAAGAGATGGTACTCAGATAAATGTATGGAATGGTAAGTAAAGACGCATAAGATGTTGGTCATGTGTGTGAAACAAGAAAGTAAATAAGTTATATTCCATTATAGCACATGCGTGAATGCCAAATGGGAATGTGACAGCAAACAGTGTCCCGGGGTCTGCTCCATTCTGGGCGGCTCTCACGTTTCCACATTTGATGATAAAACATATAGATTCCATGGACAGTGCTCCTACACACTATCCAAGGTTTGTAATTATGTCATTTGTTGTACACTTGAAATTCAGTTCTAAAATCAAATGTGTGTGTTTTTTTTTCTATATATAAAGGACACCAATGGGACCTTCAGTATTGTTGGTGATCTTTACAAATGTGGAAATTTGGATCACTCCACATGTCTGTCCTCTGTGTCAGTGCAGATGCCAAAAAGCTCGGTAAATTAAACGAAATCCCTGTTTAATTTCATATAGTTATACTTGTCTGCTTTTTATATAACACAAAATATGTGTTTGTGTTCAAAGCTGACTATTGATGACAGTGGCAAGGTATTTTCTAATAAACAAACTACCACACTTCCCCTTATACTGGGTAAGATTCAAATATTTGTGCTCCGATTACAGTGTATTTTTTAATATCGGCAAATTAAAACTACTTCCTTTCCCAGATGAGGTCACCGTGTTTCAGCCATCCAACTTCTATATAATAGCGGAAACCATCTTTGGGATCACTCTTGAAATCCAAATTGAACCAGTTATGCAGATCTACATTAAATCATCACCATCTAATAAAGGAAAACTAAAGGGTAGGTAATATTCTCTCAAGCCTGATTTTTGCGTCTAAATTATTTTATCGGTAATGATTTACTCTGCTAGTTGTTTAATGATCAAATTTGGTGTCTTGAATCTTGACGAATGCATAAATATGTTGTTTACAGGTCTTTGTGGCAACTTTAATGATAACATTCGTGATGACTTTGAAACCACAAATGGACCTCGAGAAGAAATAGCCGCCATGTTTGCCAACGAATGGAAGTTTGACCAAACCTGCAAAGACGTGAATGCGCCACAGGGGAATCCTTGTGATTTGAGTATGGACAGAGGTAAAAATAAAATAATAATACGTGGATAATATTACAAAATGTATATTACAAAAAAATCTAATACCATATGTATGTTACAGAGAGATTTGCGATTGAGATGTGTGGAAAGCTGACAGAAAAAAATAGCATTTTTTCTGAATGCCACCGAACAATTGATCCAGAAGTCTACAAACATGTGAGCACTGATTTGACTCATTTTCAATAAAAGAACAAAAAGGGTTTGAATTTAATTTAATTGAAGGTATATAGGAGGATTTTCTATTTCCGTGTGGATCATTAAGACTATTGGTCCTGCCAATTGTCATTCATTCTGGGGATACGAGCTCGTCAAATAAGACCAGAGAGTTTTGTTCAATAAGTGGAGAGGGTGGTTCTTTCCTAAAATTTAGGAAAATCCTCCTCTATACCTTCAATGATGCAATTTAGACATTCTTTGGAGATAAACTGTGACAGCATCAGACTTAGTTACAAGTTGGGGCAATCAAATGTTTGAGCAATAAAGATAAGTGTAAAAAAACACTAAGTAGAATGCCAAAGCAAAAGTCTGGAGACGATCGGGAAGCGGCCTTTCACCAGAAAGATTATAAAGTGCATGTTTAACCAATATCTGCAACACTCTTTTATGTTTTATGTTATTATATTTATATTTAAGTGCATATCTTTATCTCGCACAGACTTGCATCTATGACACTTGTGCGTATGAAAAAAGTGAGAAGGCTTTGTGTGCTGCCATTTCCTCATACGTATACGACTGTGCCGCTGAAGGGATCACTTTGGAAAACTGGAGGCAAGACGTCTGCCGTGAGTACTTCAACTTATGTAAACTTTAACATATAGAACAGTTCACAAGCAAATAATGCAGTTGAAATGAACAGCAAAATAATGGGGTTTTCTGATGGCTGAGACTGAGGGTGGGGCTTATTCTCAAGCTATCTGTCAAGTTGATTTGGAAACTCCCTCTTTGATGATGATTTAAGCCAAAACATGAGAGACGTGGGTGCACTGAGACAAACAGTGACCTTCAAGATTCAATTTAATTTCCATTTGCAGTTGTAAACCACATTTGATTGCTTATGAAAAAGCACCCAGTATGCACCAGATACAAAAACACAGTAAAAATGTAAAAACACCTATCATCGTAAACAACATTTTTCCCTCTTTAGAAAACTACAGCTGCCCAGCAAACCTTGTCTATGGATACAAGATGACGAGCTGCGGTCGTACCTGTCGCCACCTCAGTGAGCCTGACCCTGCGTGTCGGATCAAATTCACTCCCGTAGATGGCTGTGGCTGCAGCGAGGGAACTTACCTGACGGACAATGGTGACTGTGTGTCTGCCTCGGAATGCCCATGTTATGTCGGAGATAAAGTTTTGCACAATGCACAATATGTAACAGTTCAAGGGAAAACATGGTAAGTTTATACATTTGATGAACATAGGCCTAAAAACATTGGACTAATGATATATTATTATAACAGCAAATGTATCAATGGAAAACTAAAATGTAAAGATCAAGGGGAGCAAGGTATGTGACTCACTTATCTTTCTTACTTCCTTTCCAATAACAAAACATAATTAGTCATATTCTTCAAATGTTCTAGAATGCCAACATCCCATGGAATATTTCAACTGCAGTGAGGCTGGCGCTGGAGCCCGAGGGGCTGAATGTCAAAAGACATGTCACTCTTCGGGAAACATATGCGTAAGAACAAAATGCACAAATTGAACGCATCGTATCGTTGTAGTTAAATCAGAGCATTTCTTATCGTTATTTTTCCTGTTGGCAGGAGAGTAGATACTGTGTATCAGGCTGTGTGTGTCCCCATGGTCTGGTGTCTAATGGAGAAGGAAAGTGCATCGAGGAGGAAGACTGCCCTTGCACACACGGAGGCGTTACTTATGAGCGTGGAGATTCTATAAAAATTGATTGTAACAGCTGGTAATTATAACAGCATTTAGATTTTTAGATACAATAAATGTTCACTTAAAATTTTGTTCAAATTCTGGAAATTATGTTTTTTCTAACAGCACCTGCCAGGGCCGAAACTGGGGGTGCACCAAGAAAGTTTGTGATGGAACATGCACTCGATATGGAGAAGGAAATTACATCACATTTGACCAGAAGAGGTTCTTCTTCAGTGGATCATGTGAATACACTTTGGCACAGGTACCAGCATTTCCATTACAATTTAAATTCCATGTCAGACTATCACACTAATGTCATCTTGCTTTATACAGGACTATTGTGGGAAGGATGAGAATGGAACCTTCAGAGTTCTGATCAGAAACCACCCATGTGACACAGAGGGGGACTGCATGACAATCACAGTTTTTCTTGGGGTAAATAAATGTATATCTATGACAATATGTACTGTATAATAACAGCTGTTGATCCAAATTATATTTGTTGTTGTTTACAGAACGACAAGATTGTTTTTGATGAAGAAAGTGTCAAATTGCCTGAATGGACAGGAAAAGGCATACCATATAAGATCCACACAGTTGGCCTCTATCTCGTAATGGAAGCAGAAACTGGTATTGTGTTAATGTGGAATAGGGGAACAACGATCATGATCAAAATTAAATCTACATTCAAGGTAACCAAATATATAAAAAAGTTTTGCATTAAAGATATTTAATTTAAATTTTCTAAACATGTAGATCATTTGTTTCAGGGAAAGGTCTGTGGCCTGTGTGGAAATTATGATGACAACATAAAAAATGACTGGACCACCAGATCAAATGAACCAGTAGTGGAAGCATTTGAGTTTGGAAATAGTTGGAAAAAGTCTTCAACTTGTGGAGACGAGAAGCCTTCAAACAACTCTTGTGATTTATACTCACACCGGCATGCATGGGCCAAAAAACACTGCAGTATTATACTCAGCTCTACTTTCAATGAATGCCATTCAAGGGTAAGACATAATATAATTACAAATGTGTTTTCTCCTCATTTTACTTGTAATATCTGTAGTCACAATTATAATGAATATCAAAAAATATATAGTGTAATTTAAAATAAATAATAATGATAATAAATAAAATAAAACAATATTAATATATATATTAAAAAAGTATAACAATTATAATGTTCCGGACAATTTTTATTTCGATTTCAGATCTTCCTTTCATTTTTGATTAAATACTTCAAAGGCTATCATTGTCTATGTTTAAATGTAGTTTTCGTCTTTAAAAAGGTTGAACCACAAGAATATTATGATGCCTGTGAGAGGGACACGTGTGGGTGCAACACAGGAGGAGACTGTGACTGTTTCTGTTCTGCTGTTGCTGCTTATGCTGCAGCATGCAACAAGGCAGGAGTGTGTGTAAGATGGAGAACCCCCACTATATGCCGTGAGTTTACCTGTATTTTTATAATTTTTGTATGTAATTTACACATACAATTAGTGTTTCAACAAGTTTTTGTTTCTATCTCCTTTAGCTCTGTTTTGTGATTACTACAACACTGATGGACATTGTGAATGGCACTATGAGCCTTGTGGAAAATCTTGTTTGAGAACTTGCAAGAATCCCTCTGGAAAGTGTTTCACTGAAATCCCAACATTAGAAGGTATAATTAGAATCAACAATTATTTCCAAATTAAGTATCTGCAAACCATTACTTTAATGCGACAACCAAATGGTCCTTGGTTTTATAAGCGACATGACAATACAATATAAAATTTTTACATAACAAACAATCTATCCATCTATAGCCATAAACCATTATCCACTTAGAGTGTGGTTGACAACAGAAAGAATATCCGATCACACACTCAATGCGTTTCTGTCAACTATATTCTTTGCGATCTCCAAATCCATGAACGCCCAAAATACTTCCATACCTATTTTGAAAGCCTTTTCACACACCTATTGCACAGCAAAAAACGGATCTAAACAACCTCTAACTCTCATGAATCCACACCGCTCATCCTCTAAAGCAAATTCAGTTGCAACACTTACTCCATCCATCCATCCATTTTCTCCCGCTAAGTAGAGACGCCCAGACTTCCCTATCCACACAAACTTCAGCTGGTCTGGGGGGACTGCAAGGCGTTCCCAGGCCAGCTGAGAGACATAGTCCCTCCAGCGTGTCCTGGGTCTTCCCCGCGGCCTGCCCGGAACACCTCCCCAGGGAGGCGTCCAGGAGGTATCTGGAACAGATGCCCGAGCCACCTCAACTGGTTCCTCTCTTGATGTGGGGAAGCAGCGGCTCTACTCTGAGCTCCTCCCGTGTGACTGAGCTCCTCACCCTATCTGTAAGGAAGCGCCCAGCCACTTTGCGGAGGAAGCTCATTTTGACCGCTTGTACCTGCGATCTCGTTCTTTCGGTCATTACCCAAAGCTCATGACCATAGGTGAGGGAGGGCACAAAGATTGACCGGTTAATCAAGACCTTTTTCCGGTCGAGCACCATGGCCTCGGATTTGGAGGTGCTGATTCTCATCCCAGCCGCTTCACACTCGGCTACAAACCGTCCCAGTGCATGTTGCAGGTCCTGGTTCCTTGGAGCCAACAGGACACGAACAGCGGAGATGAAATTCTGTGGTCTCCGAACCAGACCCCTCCGGCCCCTGGCTGCCCCTAGAAATTATTTCCATAAAGACTGTGAACAGAACCGGTGACAAAGCGCAGCCTTGGCGGAGGCCAACATGGCCCGGAAACAGGTCTGACTGACTGCCAGCAATGCAAACGCAGCTCTGACTCAGGTCATACCCGTACTCCCAAAGAACACCCAGGGGAACACGGTTGAACGCCTTCTCCAAATACACAAAGCACATGTGGACAGGTTGGGCGAACTCTCACGAACCCTCGAGAATCCTATAGAGAGTATAGAGCTGGTCCAGTGTTCCGCGGCCGGGACAAACACCACACTGCTACTCCTGAATCCGAGATTCGACCATCAGTCGAAGTCTCCACTCCAGTACCTTGAAGTAGACCTTTCCGGGGAGGCTGAGAAGTGTGATCCCACAATAATTGGAACACACCCTCCGGCCCCCCTTCTTGGAGAGGGGGACCACCACCCCGGTCTGCCACTCCCTGGTACCTTCCCTGATCGACACGGAATGTTGCAGAGACGTGTCAGCCAAGACAGTCCTACTACATCCAGAGATTTTAGATAGTCTGGACGGATCTCATCCACTCCCAGAGCCTTACCACCAAGGAGGCTGCCAACCACCTTGGTGACCTCAGCCAAGGAGATGGAGGTATCCGCCCCAATATCCTCAGCCTCTGCTTCCGGAACAGAGGACATGACAGGGGAGATTGAGGAGAACCTCAAAGTATTCCTTCCACCGCCCGACACTATCCCCAGTCAAGGTCAGCAGCTCTCCACCTCCACTGCTTCCCCCTTCTGAGGCGCCGGACGGTTTTCCAGAATCTCTTTGAGGCTGGCCTATAGTCACGCTCCATGGACTCTCCGAACTCCTCCCAGGAGAACACTTACTCTTTCAATCAAAATTATTCATACAACTTTCCAAAAACACTCAACTGACTTATTCCTCAATAATTCCCACATTAAAATATATATATTATCACCCTTTCCCCTATAAAGTGGTACAATACACACCCTAAACCATTCACTGGGAACTACACCATTCACATACATTAAACAATCTCAGTAACCGACCCATCACTGGCGCACCCCCTCTCTTATTAACACATTCAGTAGCTCACCCATTCATACCAGACACTTTACATCCTTTCAACTTCACCCACCGCATCGCTCACGTCGTTCAAGTCCCCCAGCATTGTCATTCTCTTTACATTTCCTATTGCAACCACTTTTGCTTCCCTGGCATCCACCTCACTCAGAAGTCTATCAAAATGCCATCATATCAAACTACTCACACCTGATCAAAAAGAGTACAAAGGAGTTCTAGCTCTTATGCACAAGTGCTTAAAAAGTGGACATTAACTACATGTTTTATTATTAAAAGGCTGCTATCCACATTGCCCGGAAGAAAAAATATATTTGGATGAAGATGACATGAAGTGCAAGTCAGAGCAAGAATGTGGCTGTTATGATGAGGAAGGCAACCATTATGAAGATGGAGATCCTATGCCTCCACCACCTCCCTGGCAAAACTGGTAACAAAAACAATGTTGTTATTTTTTAGATTGATTTGTTCTCTGATTTTATACCATATTGATTAGACATTTTCTGTATTTTAGTATATGTAGTTCAATGGAAAGGGAATGTATTACCGGTACGACTCCACCTCCGACCACAACAACTGAAAAAGTAACAACCATTGAAACATACACTACAACAACTATAGAGCCAACCACTTCCACTAAGCACACAACAGTCACTACTGTCACCACACCTATTTCCAAAACCACAACAACTGAAGTACCAACAACAACTGAACAGTCAAGTACCCACTCACCCACCACTACAACAGAAATACCAACCACCACTGGAGGTACCTCAACAACTGTTGTATCTACCACATCCACTGTAGAACCAACCACGACCTCACCAATTTGCGAGGACTCAGAACTCAAATGTTATTGGACAGAATGGAAAAATGATATATATCCTGGAAATGATCTAAGTGATGGTGATCAAGAAACACCACCAAACATTACCAATTCAAGTGTGGGACAGTATTGTCGTGAAAACCTTCGAATTGAATGCAGGGACTCCGCAACAAAAACATCATCTGCACTGTTAGGTCAAACAGTAACGTGTACTGTTCAAGATGGCCTAAAATGTATAAATAGTCAGCAAGGTGTTATACCGCGTTGTTATGACTATGAAATTCGGGTTGGGTGTTGTGTTTGTCAATCATCAACTTCAACGACTGAACAGCCAAGTACCACAACTAAACTACCCACTACTACAACTGAAAAAACAACCACTACAGAAGAGACTACCACAACTGAAAAGTCCACAACAAGAACTACTGAACAACCAACTACAACTGCTGTCACCACACCTATTTCCAAAACCACAACAACTGAAGTACCAACAACAACTGAACAGTCAAGTACCCACTCACCCACCACTACAACAGAAATACCAACCACCACTGGAGGTACCTCAACAACTGTTGTATCTACCACATCCACTGTAGAACCAACCACGACCTCACCAATTTGCGAGGACTCAGAACTCAAATGTTATTGGACAGAATGGAAAAATGATATATATCCTGGAAATGATCTAAGTGATGGTGATCAAGAAACACCACCAAACATTACCAATTCAAGTGTGGGACAGTATTGTCGTGAAAACCTTCGAATTGAATGCAGGGACTCCGCAACAAAAACATCATCTGCACTGTTAGGTCAAACAGTAACGTGTACTGTTCAAGATGGCCTAAAATGTATAAATAGTCAGCAAGGTGTTATACCGCGTTGTTATGACTATGAAATTCGGGTTGGGTGTTGTGTTTGTCAATCATCAACTTCAACGACTGAACAGCCAAGTACCACAACTAAACTACCCACTACTACAACTGAAAAAACAACCACTACAGAAGAGACTACCACAACTGAAAAGTCCACAACAAGAACTACTGAACAACCAACTACAACTGCTGTCACCACACCTATTAGCAAAACCACAACAACTGTGATTCCAACAACGACTGAACAATCAAGTACCACAACTATGCTACCTACCACAAGAACAGAACACCACTCACCACAAAAACTACTGAACAACCAACAACCACTCCAGAGGTTGTTACAGATTCAGTTAACACAACAGCAATCACACAACCGTTGAAAAATGAAACAACTACCACACGCAGTACAACTCAAGCCTTAACCACCAGGGCATCCACTTTTGAAACGACAACAACTGCAACTACTCACTCACCCACCACTACAACAGAAATACCAACCACCACTGGAGGTACCTCAACAACTGTTGTATCTACCACATCCACTGTAGAACCAACCACGACCTCACCAATTTGCGAGGACTCAGAACTCAAATGTTATTGGACAGAATGGAAAAATGATATATATCCTGGAAATGATCTAAGTGATGGTGATCAAGAAACACCACCAAACATTACCAATTCAAGTGTGGGACAGTATTGTCGTGAAAACCTTCGAATTGAATGCAGGGACTCCGCAACAAAAACATCATCTGCACTGTTAGGTCAAACAGTAACGTGTACTGTTCAAGATGGCCTAAAATGTATAAATAGTCAGCAAGGTGTTATACCGCGTTGTTATGACTATGAAATTCGGGTTGGGTGTTGTGTTTGTCAATCATCAACTTCAACGACTGAACAGCCAAGTACCACAACTAAACTACCCACTACTACAACTGAAAAAACAACCACTACAGAAGAGACTACCACAACTGAAAAGTCCACAACAAGAACTACTGAACAACCAACTACAACTGCTGTCACCACACCTATTTCCAAAACCACAACAACTGAAGTACCAACAACAACTGAACAGTCAAGTACCCACTCACCCACCACTACAACAGAAATACCAACCACCACTGGAGGTACCTCAACAACTGTTGTATCTACCACATCCACTGTAGAACCAACCACGACCTCACCAATTTGCGAGGACTCAGAACTCAAATGTTATTGGACAGAATGGAAAAATGATATATATCCTGGAAATGATCTAAGTGATGGTGATCAAGAAACACCACCAAACATTACCAATTCAAGTGTGGGACAGTATTGTCGTGAAAACCTTCGAATTGAATGCAGGGACTCCGCAACAAAAACATCATCTGCACTGTTAGGTCAAACAGTAACGTGTACTGTTCAAGATGGCCTAAAATGTATAAATAGTCAGCAAGGTGTTATACCGCGTTGTTATGACTATGAAATTCGGGTTGGGTGTTGTGTTTGTCAATCATCAACTTCAACGACTGAACAGCCAAGTACCACAACTAAACTACCCACTACTACAACTGAAAAAACAACCACTACAGAAGAGACTACCACAACTGAAAAGTCCACAACAAGAACTACTGAACAACCAACTACAACTGCTGTCACCACACCTATTTCCAAAACCACAACAACTGAAGTACCAACAACAACTGAACAGTCAAGTACCCACTCACCCACCACTACAACAGAAATACCAACCACCACTGGAGGTACCTCAACAACTGTTGTATCTACCACATCCACTGTAGAACCAACCACGACCTCACCAATTTGCGAGGACTCAGAACTCAAATGTTATTGGACAGAATGGAAAAATGATATATATCCTGGAAATGATCTAAGTGATGGTGATCAAGAAACACCACCAAACATTACCAATTCAAGTGTGGGACAGTATTGTCGTGAAAACCTTCGAATTGAATGCAGGGACTCCGCAACAAAAACATCATCTGCACTGTTAGGTCAAACAGTAACGTGTACTGTTCAAGATGGCCTAAAATGTATAAATAGTCAGCAAGGTGTTATACCGCGTTGTTATGACTATGAAATTCGGGTTGGGTGTTGTGTTTGTCAATCATCAACTTCAACGACTGAACAGCCAAGTACCACAACTAAACTACCCACTACTACAACTGAAAAAACAACCACTACAGAAGAGACTACCACAACTGAAAAGTCCACAACAAGAACTACTGAACAACCAACTACAACTGCTGTCACCACACCTATTTCCAAAACCACAACAACTGAAGTACCAACAACAACTGAACAGTCAAGTACCCACTCACCCACCACTACAACAGAAATACCAACCACCACTGGAGGTACCTCAACAACTGTTGTATCTACCACATCCACTGTAGAACCAACCACGACCTCACCAATTTGCGAGGACTCAGAACTCAAATGTTATTGGACAGAATGGAAAAATGATATATATCCTGGAAATGATCTAAGTGATGGTGATCAAGAAACACCACCAAACATTACCAATTCAATGTGGGACAGTATTGTCGTGAAAACCTTCGAATTGAATGCAGGGACTCCGCAACAAAAACATCATCTGCACTGTTAGGTCAAACAGTAACGTGTACTGTTCAAGATGGCCTAAAATGTATAAATAGTCAGCAAGGTGTTATACCGCGTTGTTATGACTATGAAATTCGGGTTGGGTGTTGTGTTTGTCAATCATCAACTTCAACGACTGAACAGCCAAGTACCACAACTAAACTACCCACTACTACAACTGAAAAAACAACCACTACAGAAGAGACTACCACAACTGAAAAGTCCACAACAAGAACTACTGAACAACCAACTACAACTGCTGTCACCACACCTATTTCCAAAACCACAACAACTGAAGTACCAACAACAACTGAACAGTCAAGTACCCACTCACCCACCACTACAACAGAAATACCAACCACCACTGGAGGTACCTCAACAACTGTTGTATCTACCACATCCACTGTAGAACCAACCACGACCTCACCAATTTGCGAGGACTCAGAACTCAAATGTTATTGGACAGAATGGAAAAATGATATATATCCTGGAAATGATCTAAGTGATGGTGATCAAGAAACACCACCAAACATTACCAATTCAAGTGTGGGACAGTATTGTCGTGAAAACCTTCGAATTGAATGCAGGGACTCCGCAACAAAAACATCATCTGCACTGTTAGGTCAAACAGTAACGTGTACTGTTCAAGATGGCCTAAAATGTATAAATAGTCAGCAAGGTGTTATACCGCGTTGTTATGACTATGAAATTCGGGTTGGGTGTTGTGTTTGTCAATCATCAACTTCAACGACTGAACAGCCAAGTACCACAACTAAACTACCCACTACTACAACTGAAAAAACAACCACTACAGAAGAGACTACCACAACTGAAAAGTCCACAACAAGAACTACTGAACAACCAACTACAACTGCTGTCACCACACCTATTTCCAAAACCACAACAACTGAAGTACCAACAACAACTGAACAGTCAAGTACCCACTCACCCACCACTACAACAGAAATACCAACCACCACTGGAGGTACCTCAACAACTGTTGTATCTACCACATCCACTGTAGAACCAACCACGACCTCACCAATTTGCGAGGACTCAGAACTCAAATGTTATTGGACAGAATGGAAAAATGATATATATCCTGGAAATGATCTAAGTGATGGTGATCAAGAAACACCACCAAACATTACCAATTCAAGTGTGGGACAGTATTGTCGTGAAAACCTTCGAATTGAATGCAGGGACTCCGCAACAAAAACATCATCTGCACTGTTAGGTCAAACAGTAACGTGTACTGTTCAAGATGGCCTAAAATGTATAAATAGTCAGCAAGGTGTTATACCGCGTTGTTATGACTATGAAATTCGGGTTGGGTGTTGTGTTTGTCAATCATCAACTTCAACGACTGAACAGCCAAGTACCACAACTAAACTACCCACTACTACAACTGAAAAAAACAACCACTACAGAAGAGACTACCACAACTGAAAAGTCCACAACAAGAACTACTGAACAACCAACTACAACTGCTGTCACCACACCTATTAGCAAAACCACAACAACTGTGATTCCAACAACGACTGAACAATCAAGTACCACAACTATGCTACCTACCACAAGAACAGGAACACCACTCACCACAAAAACTACTGAACAACCAACAACCACTCCAGAGGTTGTTACAGATTCAGTTAACACAACAGCAATCACACAACCGTTGAAAAATGAAACAACTACCACACGCAGTACAACTCAAGCCTTCACCACCAGGGCATCCACTTTTGAAACGACAACAACTGCAACTACTCACTCACCCACCACTACAACAGAAATACCAACCACCACTGGAGGTACCTCAACAACTGTTGTATCTACCACATCCACTGTAGAACCAACCACGACCTCACCAATTTGCGAGGACTCAGAACTCAAATGTTATTGGACAGAATGGAAAAATGATATATATCCTGGAAATGATCTAAGTGATGGTGATCAAGAAACACCACCAAACATTACCAATTCAAGTGTGGGACAGTATTGTCGTGAAAACCTTCGAATTGAATGCAGGGACTCCGCAACAAAAACATCATCTGCACTGTTAGGTCAAACAGTAACGTGTACTGTTCAAGATGGCCTAAAATGTATAAATAGTCAGCAAGGTGTTATACCGCGTTGTTATGACTATGAAATTCGGGTTGGGTGTTGTGTTTGTCAATCATCAACTTCAACGACTGAACAGCCAAGTACCACAACTAAACTACCCACTACCACAACTGAAAAGTCCACAACAAAAACCACTGAACAGCCATCAACGACTATAGTCACTACAATTACAACGTCCCAACAGTCAAGTACCACAACTTCATCAACTACTACTGTGCCAACTACCACAAGAAGCACTGTCACAACTACTACACCGCCCACATCAACTAGCAGCGCTTCAACTACCACAAAAACTACTTCAGCTACTGTAGAGACCTCCACTACCGAACAGCCGACCGTAACAACACCAGAGGGATGTGTCTGCGAGTATAACAATCAAGACTTCAAACCCGGTAAACTATTTGAAATTTAATGAAATGCTTAATGTGTACAGTGGGGTTGAAAGCTTGTGTACCTTTGACAACATTTCTATTCATGTGAACAATGATTTGAAAGTGAAACACCTAAGTACAGTAGAAAACCAGAAGTTTGCATGCACCGAGTGAAAAGACCTTTTCTTTCTGTCTAAAATTAAATATTTGGCAAAGTTAACTGGCCTAAAACTTAAAATAGGAGGGAAGAGAAAGCAATGTGTCTTTTTAAATATGTGAACTTTCCATTTCTACTGTATCTCCGAAATTCTAGCTTCAATGATGAGATTTTCCCAATTTTAGGCGTGCACTTATCCATCATAGTTTGCTATCAACCTGATACAACCAATACCTGTGAAGAGATTCCTGATCCAACAATAGTTTCAATATCAGAATTATTTCAACACAAAATGTTAACATTAATGTAATAATCAGGTTGTATTTTCATTTTTATGTTTTCATAAAAACAGCAAAGAAAAAATGCCAGGGCAGAAGTTTGGATAGCTTTCAGATTGAATAATTAGTCCCTCCTCTTTAAGTGCATATAGCCTGAACCCCTTTCTAAGCGGCTGAGTTTTATTATTTTGCGATATTCATCCATTCTTCCTACAAAAGTCTTTCTGGGAATTTCTGGGTTGTAAAACTTTGATTTTGCACCTCATTATAGTATCACGCATTTAAATTCCATCGACCCATACATCCGTTTTCTTCCCGTTAATCCATTTCTGGGTCGGAGGGGGCCCTCACTGATCCTCCTGCAGGTGGTGAGTCCACAGGAGCCTTAATCTTTCAGCGGGGCCTTCAAACAAAGTAGGGTTAAGTGTCTTGCCCAAGGACACAACGACAGCAGACATCAGTGGGAGTATTTAAATTGTGTTTAGAAATGTCAATGCTAAACACATTTATATAGATTACGTTAATCTTACAGTTCTTGGAATTTATTCAATCCTTCCACTTGTCCCATGTGCAACTGGCTGTCACAGTCCCAAAGCACTAGCTGTCTACCCAAGGTTAAGTACAGTATTGCACGCTTTCTTCTCCAAATGTATATATGCTCATTCTGGCCAAATAGTAAATGAAATAAATGACTTCCCAAAATGTACGAGGCTTATCTAAATACATTATAGCAAGGACTCAATAAAGTGTAATACCTCCTCTTTCAACAAGGTCTTATCAAAGCTGGCTATGTTGAACATTTGTTTTAAGTTAAGGGAATACCATCAGTAATAACTGATTATTGATACTTATCGAGGGTTGTCAAAACTTTCATATCCCACAATATGTAAAATGTATTTGTTAATCTGATCACTGTGAGGTGTTAACTGGCATACCTTTGTCCTTCAGGTGAATTCATCAAGAAGGTCAACTCTCAAAATGAATGTTATGACCTTTTTTGTACCATGGCATGCACTTTGAAGCAGGTTCCATGTTTACGGGGAAACTGTTCATATCTGGATCCACCACGAGAGGTATTGTTTGTTCTTTTGAATAATACATTTTTAGTTTTCCATGCCTAATATGCAGTGTTTATACTGACTTTTACACTTAAGCCGTTTATTTAGAAGTACATTATTTTTTGCAGAATGGTGAATCGTGGATATCTGATTGTATGATTCACACATGTAAGAATGGTAAAACAATATCAGAACCTGTTCAATGTCCGTCTGTCACAAAGCCAGCTTGTGCAAATGGACGGCAAGCAACTAAAGTGTATGAAAATGGAGGCTGCTGTTACCATTATGAGTGCCCATGTAAGCAAGTTGAACAATATCACTCAACGTCTCACTTTGTATTTGTCTCAATCTCATGAAAATGTTCTAATATTTCCAGGTGTATGTGCTGGATGGGGTGACCCACATTATATCACGATGGATGGCCAGTATTACAGTTTTCAAAAAAATTGCACTTATGTTTTGGTTCAAGAAATTATTCCAAAATACAATTTTACAGTTCATATTGACAATGAAAACTGTGATGCATCTGGAACTACTACTTGTGCCAAAGCTTTGATTGTACAATATAAAAACTACAATATAATTCTTACAGCAGATAAATCCTCCAAATATACAAATATAGTAAGATAACGTTATATTTTGTTATATATATGTTTCCTGTTACTAGTATACGCTAACAATCTTTAACTATTCTTTGGTGATGTAGGTGAAATTGAATGGCAAACGGATATCCCCAACTTACTCCAATGGTGACCTGAATATCATGAGTACATCTGTAGAACTGCGCCTGAGAATCCCAGCGATCCATGCAGTTGTTGTTTTCAAATCACTTCAGTTTAGTGTTGAACTTCCCTCTTCCCTGTTTCATAATAACACTGAAGGGCAGTGTGGTGAGTTCATAATGAATGGCAATATATTTCAGGGCTCATTTTTATCCTGTTTAATCACAAAACTGCTATTTTGTTAAGGCACATGTGACAATGACACCTCGAATGATTGCCGGTTACCGAATGGCCAGCTTCGTCCCTGTCCGACGTCGGCACATGAGTGGCGTGTCCCAGACATTAAAAAGCCGTACTGCAATCATAAACCACCTCCAACCACAGTTCCTCCAACCACAGTTCCTCCAACCACACCTCCACCCGATCCTCTCTGTGATGTAATAATCAGCGAGTAAGAGTTTTATATTTGTCTAAAAAAGTGTCATGCCATCATTGTAAAAATATGTTAATGCAATTTTTCATTTCAATTCAGTGTCTTTAAGAAGTGCCATGTCGCAATCGATCCAAATCCCTTTTATGACGCATGTAATTACGATGTATGGCACAATACAACAGGATGTGCTAGTCTTGAGGTGTATGCCTCTCTATGTGCCCAAGAGTCTATTTGTGTGTCGTGGAGGATTGCTACTGACGGAGTTTGTGGTAAGAAAGTTATTTAAAAAATCTGGGTAAGTATTTCCTTTTGTTATTATATTGTGCTTATTGTATTTTTTCATCATATTTTTCAGACTATAATTGTCCTGCTGGCCAAATCTATAAGCCGTGTGGTTCAACAGTGGTTGAAACCTGCAATGCAAGGTACACAACAAGAGAAGTGGGGCAAAAAAGTATTTAAATTGTGCAAGACATCCAACTTCAAACAATGAGCAATGCCTTTAATCTGTTCTTTTAACCTGTTCATCACACGTGTACCTCAACTATGAGAGACAAAACTGGGGAAAAAAACAGAAAACGTCTGATTTTAAAGTATTTGTTTTAAAATGATGGTGGAAAATAAGTATTCAGTCTATACCAAGGGTCCATCTCAAACGTTTTCTGCAAGTCTTCAATGTTTTCACACATTGTTGCTGATATTTTGGCCCATTCTTCCATGCAGATCTCTCTAGAGCAGTGTTTTGAGGCTGTCACAGGGCACTATGGACTTTCAACTATTTCCAAAGATTTTCTATGGGATTGAAGTCTGAGGACTGGTTTGACCACTCCAGAACCTTGAATTTTTGTTATTAAGCTCCTCCTTTGTTTTCCGGGCAGTGGGTTTGGGATCATTGTCATGCTGAAAGACCCAGCCACGTCTCCTCTTCAATGCCCTTGCTTTATCCAGTACTTGTCCAGGCCCGTCTGAAGTTTGCATGAGAGCGTGTTTATGATCCAGAAGAGGATTAGGAGAATGTTTTATGGTCAGATGAAACCAAAATAGAACTTTTTAGTAAAACCTCAACTCACAATGAGCTGAGTTTTTGGAGCAGAAAGAATACCGACTTGCATCCATCTTTGGGAGTGGGAGAACCTGCACAATTGGTGGTTGACTAAATACTTTTTTTGCCCCACAGTATAAATGGCCACAGAAGATTAAATACGTTCCCACTGACAATACAATGTTATTTTTTAAAGATACAACGACCAATACATTTCAAAATGTCGCGGTCAATCAGTTGCTGACAAAGTTGAATGTGAATCCTTCATGGAGGGATGCTACTGCCCCGACGGGTTGACGAAGTTTAGTTCAGACTCCGACTACTGCGTGTCCTCCTGTAAGAACATTTTATCGTTGCATGATTTTAATAAATGTCCAGGTTTAACATGTTACTGTTGACTCCAGGTTGCACCGGCCCTAATGGAGAACCTAAAGAAGTATGCAGAGCTGTGTCATTATGTCCTATACTACAAGTTGTCCTATATTGTTAAAAAAATAATGTATTTTCTGGTTAAATCAGCTGGGTGAGACATGGAAAAGTGGATGTAGTGTGTGCATCTGCGACAGTAACACTTTGTCGGTCCGCTGCAACACGCTGCCCTGTCCCACTCCACAGTACGTCCCCTGTGACAAAGAGGGACAAGTGCGGGTGAACTACACTGAGGACTGCTGTCAGAAGCATAAATGTGGTAGGTTAGAATACAATTCAGAAAACTATTATCGGTTTGAAGATTAATTTGACTTCCTATGTAACAGAATGTGATGTCAAACTTTGTGATGACACCAAACCAGTGTGCAAGCCAGGATTTGAGTTGAACATAGAAACACCTAAAGACAGTTGCTGCTCTCATTTCACTTGCGGTACTGATCACATGTCTTTTCTTATCTGAAAGAATTTTTTAGTAGTTTAGTGAAAAAGTTGTTTTTAAAATGTATTTTTTCTTGTTTTTATGTTGTTTTCCTTTGTAGTTCCGAAAAATGTCTGCGTTTTCAATGACACTGAGTATAAGGTAAACCCATTCATTTTACAATAACGTTAAATCTTCTCTGTGTATCTTTTCTGAATACATTTATCTGCAAATAATTGTTTCTTTGTGTTATGCATGAAAGTCTGAATCTGGTGCCAGAAAAGGGAATTTGTTGTTGAAGTCATTTCTCTTATAGACAATAAGATAGCATTATTTGAAATTGTTTATTTTTTTAAATAATGTTTAAAATTCAAAATCTCTTGAAATTTGCTTGTTTTTCATTACCAATTATGTAAAGTCTTTTTGTACATTTATAGCCTGGTGCGAGCTTCTCTAATGAACAATGTGAACACTGCATCTGTACTGAAAGGAAAAACACAGAATCATCACTCAATGAATATGAATGTGCTGAGATATCCTGCCAAAAGAACTGCTCTGAGGTAAATTCTAAAATCATTGGTTTGATTGTGAGAGAGGTTGCAAAATTATTTGTTTTTTGTTTTTTTGAATAGGGCTATGTGTATGATGAACCCAATCCAGGACAGTGCTGTGGCGAATGTAAAAAGGAAAACTGTGTCGTGAAATTAGAAGGGTCCAACACTACTGTTATCATAAAGGTACAGTACGTCTCTTTAATTTTGCCCCTCATTGAGTATGTTCTAAATACCAGGCCTCTCAAAACTTCCATTTATTGTATCCACAGCCTTCAACATCTTGGTCTCCACCAGATGACCCATGCACCAAGTACCACTGTAAAGAAGAGAACGGAGAGTTGACGACCACAGAGAAACAGATTGAGTGTCCGACATTTGACCCATCAAAGTGCATTGCTGTAGGTGTTGTGTCTGTGTCATAGTATTGAAATAACATAATTTGAATAACGTTTGCAAAAATCATTGTGTCTTACAGGGAACTGAACAAACTGACGCTAATGGCTGTTGCAGAACATGCACAGAAATAGGTGATTATGATGTGCCATTATATAAACATGCAAATAATGACCAATTCTAAAAAAAAAAATTACCAAGTTAGTATGAAATTTTACAGGATTTATTTACTGTACAATGTTATATTTTCTATATTGCAGTACCTGACTGTGGCATAAGTAGGAATCGAACTTACATTGAGACTGGAGGCTGCAAATCCATTAATACCGTGGAGCTAACGTCTTGTGAAGGATCTTGTGGAATCTCCTCTTCCAAGTGAGATTTATATTTCAAAGACAATGTCCATTACACACGTCTTAAACATGTATAATATTTGCAGGTACTCTGCAGCAAGCAACATGATGATGCATGAATGCACCTGCTGTCAAGAACTTCAAACCAGGAAGATTGAAGTGGAGCTGCGCTGCGCAGACAACAGCATCATGAAACACTCGTACATTTCTGTGGAAAAGTGCGGCTGCCATGTTGCTAAATGTAAAGACAGCTCTTAGGAAGACAGCTTCTTCTTCTCGTTACTTATAATATAATTATTATTTGAATCATCTTCTGAACTTTCTTACACGCTTGTACAGTTACACTAACATACAACACATGAATACACATCTGCTCTGGTAATGTACGTCTTGTCTTCAGTTGTACATTTTAGCTACTTCTCAGAATAGTGACAACTTGATAATGCGTATGGAGAGGAATATCACATATATTTACACCAAGACTTCTTTTTGTCAACATCACCCTCTAATCCAGTCCTGTCTAAACTCACACGCATGATGATCTCAGACTGTACTGTGAAGGTAAAATGAATTGCTTGCCAGCTAAAGTGTGCTTTGTATGTTAACTGTTTTACTGTATACAAGTTTCTTTGTTTTCAATATATCTTTAATATAATAAAAAACTTGATTATAGTGCATCTAAAATTTGCATGTGTTGTGTTGTTTATTACAATCTCAACTGAAACTCAAGTGAACCAAAGTAATTATTTTGTAAAACATAAATACAACGACGTTATACACTAACAATTCATAATGTGTTTACATGAAAATCTATACTGTACATCATATTTGTTTGTAACACTCTGTGATTTGACTTTTATTCCTCACATCACAAAAATATTTGAGTCCACACAATTTTATCTCGGGACCACATTACACCCTAAACCAGGGGTATCAAACTCATTTTGGTCTGGGGGCCACATACAACCTAATCTGATCTCAAGTGGGCCGGACCAGGAGATGCTCTACAAAAATATCCAAAAACGGTACAAAGTCCAACTTTTTGTGCACATAAACACATTTATTTAAAACTTCCTTTAAAACACTATCCTTTAATACTCAGTTTTCTGTTACAAACTTAAATGTAACAGTGAGTTTTCCATAGTGCAAATAATGTAACGTATTTACAATATTACATTGAAAATGGTATTTCACAATATGTATATTAATATTTGTGTGTTAGCTTTGTTTTAAGGCTCATTACAGAGAAAACTTGCTCACAAAGGTAAAGTAGATAGAAAAAAGCACTAAAACACAGCACCTCAGCTTAACCATCTTCAGTGTGGTAAGGTCCATGGTTATGTTATTATCACATTAACCATCTTCAGTGGGGTCAGGTCCATGGTTATGTTATTATCACATTAACCATCTTCAGTGGGGTCAGGTCCATGGTTATGTTATTATCACATTAACCATCTTCAGTGTGGTCAGGTCCATGGTTATGTTATTATCACATTAACCATCTTCAGTGTGGTAAGGTCCATGGTTATGTTATTATCACATTAACCATCTTCAGTGTGGTAAGGTCCATGGTTATGTTATTATCACATTAACCATCTTCAGTGTGGTCAGGTCCATGGTTATGTTATTATCACATTAACCATCTTCAGTGTGGTACGGTCCATGGTTATGTTATTATCACATTAACCATCTTCAGTGTGGTACGGTCCATGGTTATGTTATTATCACAGAGAAAGCATCAAACTGACCATGATTCAGTTGAAATGAATAAAACAACTTCCATAACGTGATCCAATCTTAACGACTGCAGCAGTGTCTCTGTGTAAAATACAGTCAAATGTCCAAAAATCATCACCTCCATTTGCAGCTTTGTCACTACACCTGTTTTTACCATCGGTACCCGTCCACACTGTCCAACACACCAGCAACAACAGCAGAACCAGCAGCAGCACCAGCAGCAGCGCTCAAAACTCCTCTGATAGTTTCAGTAACACCACAAATGAATATGTGACATCAGTAACATCAGTCTCTTATCAATGGCAACATGCTGGTAAAAGCGAGTGGTTTCTCAGACCATGTCTGCAGCCTGTGAGAGTTTTAACAAACTCTCGGTGTGCGACCGAGGTGAAGTTAGCCGAACGTTTGATATTCGCCTGATATTCGAACAAAATCCCCCTGGATTCAAAGTCTGTCCGTATTTTCAGTTTAGTGAAGAGTGTAGTATTAAATGCTGTTCACAATGTTGCCACCTATATAAAAAAAACTTTACTTAGGCTGCAGCTGACGATTTATAACACGAAAAACAATGAAGATGAAGTCTCCGCTCATACGTGTGCTAAGCTCTCAGCAAGGGACTGTCTGCAAAGTGCAAGATTTGACAGAACGTTGCAGATGGGTTGGTGAATACAATAAAAACTGCTTTTAAAAAGTAGTTTTTCCCAGTTTTGATGGGTGTAATAGCTCCATTTGAACAATAGCTAGCTACTACAGGCAAGAATTTGGGAAAAATATGGGTTTCCCCTTCACAGTAACAAAAATGAAATAGGAAAAATTCACTAAAAATCAACAAAGACTTTTTTCCCAGATTTGAGGGGTGTAGTAGCTCCCATTCAATGATAGCTAGCTACTACAGGCAAGAATTTGGGAAAATTATGGTTTTCCCCTTCACAGTAACAAAAATGAAATTGGAAAAATTCACTAAAAATCAACAAAGATATTTTCCCCAGTTTTGATGGGTGTAGTAGCTCCCAATGAACAATAGCTAGCTACTACAGGCAAGAATTTGGGAAAAATATGGTTTTCCCCTTCACAGTAACGTATAATGTAACGTATTTACAATATTACATTGAAAATGGTATTTCACAATATGTATATTAATATTTGTGTGTTAGCTTTGTTTTAAGGCTCATTACAGAGAAAACTTGCTCACAAAGGTAAAGTAGATAGAAAAAAGCACTAAAACACAGCACCTCAGCTTAACCATCTTCAGTGTGGTAAGGTCCATGGTTATGTTATTATCACATTAACCATCTTCAGTGGGGTCAGGTCCATGGTTATGTTATTATCACATTAACCATCTTCAGTGGGGTCAGGTCCATGGTTATGTTATTATCACATTAACCATCTTCAGTGTGGTCAGGTCCATGGTTATGTTATTATCACATTAACCATCTTCAGTGTGGTAAGGTCCATGGTTATGTTATTATCACATTAACCATCTTCAGTGTGGTAAGGTCCATGGTTATGTTATTATCACATTAACCATCTTCAGTGTGGTCAGGTCCATGGTTATGTTATTATCACATTAACCATCTTCAGTGTGGTACGGTCCATGGTTATGTTATTATCACAGAGAAAGCATCAAACTGACCATGATTCAGTTGAAATGAATAAAACAACTTCCATAACGTGATCCAATCTTAACGACTGCAGCAGTGTCTCTGTGTAAAATACAGTCAAATGTCCAAAAATCATCACCTCCATTTGCAGCTTTGTCACTACACCTGTTTTTACCATCGGTACCCGTCCACACTGTCCAACACACCAGCAACAACAGCAGAACCAGCAGCAGCACCAGCAGCAGCGCTCAAAACTCCTCTGATAGTTTCAGTAACACCACAAATGAATATGTGACATCAGTAACATCATCTCTTATCAATGGCAACATGCTGGTAAAAGCGAGTGGTTTCTCAGACCATGTCTGCAGCCTGTGAGAGTTTTAACAAACTCTCGGTGTGCGACCGAGGTGAAGTTAGCCGAACGTTTGATATTCGCCTGATATTCGAACAAAATCCCCCTGGATTCAAAGTCTGTCCGTATTTTCAGTTTAGTGAAGAGTGTAGTATTAAATGCTGTTCACAATGTTGCCACCTATATAAAAAAAACTTTACTTAGGCTGCAGCTGACGATTTATAACACGAAAAACAATGAAGATGAAGTCTCCGCTCATACGTGTGCTAAGCTCTCAGCAAGGGACTGTCTGCAAAGTGCAAGATTTGACAGAACGTTGCAGATGGGTTGGTGAATACAATAAAAACTGCTTTTAAAAAGTAGTTTTTCCCAGTTTTGATGGGTGTAATAGCTCCATTTGAACAATAGCTAGCTACTACAGGCAAGAATTTGGGAAAAATATGGGTTTCCCCTTCACAGTAACAAAAATGAAATAGGAAAAATTCACTAAAAATCAACAAAGACTTTTTTCCCAGATTTGAGGGGTGTAGTAGCTCCCATTCAATGATAGCTAGCTACTACAGGCAAGAATTTGGGAAAATTATGGTTTTCCCCTTCACAGTAACAAAAATGAAATTGGAAAAATTCACTAAAAATCAACAAAGATATTTTCCCCAGTTTTGATGGGTGTAGTAGCTCCCAATGAACAATAGCTAGCTACTACAGGCAAGAATTTGGGAAAAATATGGTTTTCCCCTTCACAGTAACGAAAATGAAATTGGAAAAATTCACTAAAAATCAACAAAGATATTTTTCCCAGTTTTGATGGGTGTAGTAGCTCCCATTCAATGATAGCTAGCTACTACAGCCAAACTTTTGGGAAAAATATGGTTTTCCCCTTCACAGTAACGAAAATGAAAGTGGAAAAATTCACTAAAAATCAACAAAGATATTTTTCCCAGTTTTGATGGGTGTAGTATCTCCATTTGAGCAATAGCTAGCTACTACAGGCAAGAATTTGGGAAAAATATTGTTTTCCCCTTCACAGTAACAAAAATGAAATTGGAAAAATTCAATAAAAATCAACAAAGATATTTTTCCCAAATTTGATGGGTGTAGTAGCTCCATTTGAACAATAGCTAGCAACTACAGGCAAGAATTTGGAAATATATATATACAGTGGGACAAAAAAGTATTCAGTCAGCCACCGATTGTGCAAGTTCTCCCACTTAAAATAATGAAAGAGGTCTGTCATTTTCATCATGGTACATTTAAACTGTGAGTATGGAGGACCAAAAATGACTAAAGTATAAATAAATAAATAAATAAATAAATACAGGAATATATTAATAAATACATTCATTTTGGACAATAAAAACTAAATATTTACATTGATATGCTAAATATTACTCTGAAATCAAATAAATATACTTTTATTTAGGTTATTTATCAATATCTACATTTTTTCCTTTATTTATTTATCCATTTATTGCATATATTTATTTATGTATTTCTACATTTCTTCATTTATTTATTTATGTATTTCTACATTTCTTCATTTATTTATTTATGTATTTCTACATTTATTT